AGCGTAACATAACATTTGTATAAATAAAACTAAAATTAATTAAGTAAATAAAAGACAGAACATCTAAGACATCTGTTATATACAGATGTTTTAGGTGTACTAGATGTAATATAATATGTAAACTCAAAAAGTATTCAGGTCATCAATATATCTAAAATGACAAGCGAGTAACAATAGGGTGATAATCAAAGAGACCTTAATAATAAATATTAATGTGAAAATGACTCGGGCATTCTTTCATGTACCGATCGAGGCCTTTAGGGGAACATTTATTGATAATTTTTTTTTTGAGTGAAAACATGAAATTTGTTTTTTTTCTTTATGAATTATTTCACTTTAAATATCCAAATGAAATCATAAAAAAAACTATAGTTATGAGATATACTATCACTGGTTTGAAAATTGAAACTACAGAACTTGCCTTTGCCTACAACTATGACACTATTAGCCCGTTAAAGTTTGAATGTTAGAAAAATGATGAACTACATCTATTCCAGAAAGCTCTCTCGACTTCTTGCAATTACGGTATAGACAGAGATGCCTTACGTAATTCATGTTCAACTGGGCTCATGCTTACCTAGTCCCAAACGCAACAGTAAACGTGACTGTTTCCAAACAGTGATTTTTTGCCAGTTTCATCTGCGAAAAATGGATCAAATATTGATAACTGCGTCGTCATTTTGACAGCCAAAAATCACTTTGTGGTGTGCTATCAATACTATGTTTTAACATCGAGAAGACTCCTTTGCAAAGAGGCTTGGGCATGCATATCATATTAAAAAGATTGAATTGACGTCTAGCCGAAAATGTTGTTTTGTTTTGTTTTTTTTTTTATATCACTAATGTTACGCTTTCAGTCCTTAGACTATTAAAGCTTCATCTTACCCAGAACCGGTGGGCTAGCCAGAACCCACTGAGGCCCTCCTCAGTGGGTAGGGCGGACAGAGGATAAAGGTTTAATCATTTCTTGTTATGAGCTAAGTCTGAATATAATAATAAAGCTGTACGCTTTATACACGCTGAAAACAAAACCATGAATAAGGAAAAGGGGTATAATTCTTATTTATGGCGTTATACCTTTATAGTTCAATTCCATAGGCAGTCCTAGCGGCAATTATCTTAATTTGTGTTGGCCATAACAAAGCGGTCAATTTGAAAAGATTTATTTATTTATTTACTTACACGCAATGTTAACAGAATAGGTACACGCTCTATTATTAGCGTGTATTTGCGTACTTAAATCAACTTTTCATAAAATCTGAATAAACATTTTTGAAGTGAATAAATATTTTTGTAAAACTTCACAGGGATGAAGTTGCAGGCAGTGAATAGTTTATAATAAAATGTTGATTTTCACAATAAAATGGAAATAAATATATTTTTTATTCCATTTTTCATTTACTTTTTAATTTTCATCTTGCTTGTTTCATAATAAAATATACAGCTGTATCGAAAAAAAAAACATATTTGATACATTATTTTACTGCCCTCGATTTCTTACAAGTAGGAAAAAAGCAATTTCCTAAAGTACACCTTGCTCACAATGTTACGACGTTTGAATGAACACTTGGAATGCAAAAAAAATGAGAAGAATATTATATGAGAGTAAAAACGAACATTTTATAGATATTTATCAGACTAAAATACAGTTCTCAAATACTATAATATTGCACCAATTTCGATCGTCTTTTCGTGTAAAATGTTCTATCTAGTACAAGGATCACAATTCCGATGAAATAAAATGTTTTGAAAGAACCTCCTTTTATTTCTTAGCAAGCCATCGGGTGTTCTACATGTCCATCAGCGGTATTCATTCAACATCAGGCGAAGCGCCTGCCGGCTTGACAACTTACAAAAAAGAAAACCTAAAGCGAATAATCGTATTCAATATACGCCGGCAACATGAATTTTTGCTAGTGGATGCAACAGCTGGCGCTATTGCACGAATAGTAAATAATGAACAGGTACCACGACGAGTGAGGTGACAAAGGCCCACAAGTTTTAAACGTTGGTTTTAGTTGTCGATGTCCATGGGCGATAAACACTTGCTTGACAATTTTCACATAAAAAATGTAAATCAGACCTATTCTTAAATTGGTACCTATTCTTGATGAACAATAAATAATTAGAAGTCGATAGTTAATCTTAAAATTTTACGTGCTCTTGATTCCAATGGTTTTTTAGCTGACTTTCGCATTTAACACGCAATATGTACTCCAACGTTCAGTATACCACCGGGAATGCCATTATGAATTATAATTGATGTAAAATTTTATTTACATCTGTCATTCCACTGATTTCTGCGCATTCACTCTGTTGGCTATATAAATCTTCATCGGACACGGAGCCCGTAGAAAGGATACGTTTGCACTAAGCTTGATAAACCCTATCTAACCAGAAATACGCACATGCATTGACATAGTGAGGAGATTGTCGATTACGAACCGTTAAGGACCAGCAGGCGGACCACGGCATCCTTGGCTGGAAGCGGTGAGAACCGCTCTGGGATGGGGGCATATAGTGAACGTCGTGCTAAATTAAAGTCGCTCCGACTACACGCAATACGCTAAACAATACCCCCACAATGTTCTAATGAGCGTGCTTGCTGCTTGTCAGCACTGGCGAACTCGGGGAGTCCGCTGCCAGAGGCTGCGGAAGCCAGAAGACCCGGTGCTAACAAGCAGCAAGCCTCGTGGCTTACAGCGGTGAACCTGGTCTATGACACGGGCGCTCACCTAGCTTCGGTTACAGAAATATTTCGTTTTAAAAATATTTATAATTTTCCTTAAAAAAATACAAAGAAACGTACTCGAGTTCCGCGCGGCCCCACCAATGCTGCATGAATGAATGAATTAATGAATCAATGAATGAATGAATCAATCAATCAATCAATCAATCAATCAATTAATTAATTAATGCATCAATGAATCAATGAATTAATGTCTTTATTGCCAGAATATGGTAGTACATTGTGATCTTAATTATAATGCTGAAGGCAATCGAATGGTTAAAATTGATCATTCTGATTTCGCGTCCAGACGCTTTACAAACTAAGCTAAGCGGCTGATGACCACATAGCGCAAAAAATCTTTTCACGATATCAGGTGTCAATAGCCGCGATAGCCGTGATAGCTCAGTGTCCGGGCGCTCGCCTTTAATTCAATATACTCGAGCAACCTGAGTTCGATCCCAGGTGCCGGCACCAATGAAGTTTTTAACTTTAAGTGCTGACTTATCACGTGCTCCGCGGTGAAGGAAAACATCGTGAGGAAACCTGCATATTTTCGAAATAATAACAAAAAATATATATTTCGAAGATATGTGAAGTCCGCCAACCCGCAGTGGGGCCGCGTGGTGGACTATGCCCTGATACCCTCCGTATAGAGGAGGCCTTGGCCCAGCAGAGACTAGAGACCAAATACATTAATTGACATATTACAATTGACATTGATCACACATACATCGACCAAATAATTCACAGTTTAACTCCTACTTTCCTGTTAATGAGATCCACTGTTCCAACTTTATAACTTATCATCAAATGAACAATGAAGACGGAAGAAATAGTCGATATTTCTTATTATTTAGCGAAGTCATCACTATCGGTAGTAAAAATCTTGAATCGCGAGTTCTGTTGTCTATCTCCAGAGTTCATCGTGTTATCATTAAGGCGTTATCGTGAAGGAAAACTACATATTTTCGAAATAATAACAAAAAAAAATATTTTTCGAAGATATGTGAAGTCCGCCAATCCGCAGTGGGGCCGCATGGTGGACTATGCCCTGATACCCTCTGTATAGAGAAGGCCTGTGTCCTGGGCCCAGCACTGGGACATGTATAGGCTGTTACTTTACAAGTGTTAATGCGAGCACCCATCTACGTTCAGTAATATTTAAAATTGATAAATAGAAATTATACCAGAACTTTCTAGAAAATATCTGCTATGTTGTAAAGACAGTTGTAAAACCCATTGGGGCGAAAGTACGTAGTCCCGAGCTCGTTTCCACAGATTTTATTACACTACGCGTTGTCTTTATATCCCTCTTCTCACAGTATAAGAACATGTTAAACGAACGTAGATACAAGATTGCCCTTAATCTTCGTTTAGCTCCTTAAACAATGACATTACATAAATGGTATAAATAATAATGAGAAAATTTTAAAAAAATTATAGAAAATTGACAGATTCAGTATCTACCTGTATAAATTTATGACTCTAAGCTGAGAATAAATTTATTTATTTTAAACATATTATTTGGCTTAACGTATTAAGGTACACATGCATGCACTGTATAAAATGTAAACATTTTTATGTATTAACTTTGTATGAAATAGGATGTATGTTACAAACAAATATAAAAACTTATCTCTACATCAACGATGCCTTTTTTTTTCGTCAGTGTACTTGAGCTATTCTTATTACAAAAAAGGTTTTTTGAAAAGCTGTCAAGCGAGCAAGCGGCTCACCTACTGTAAACTGAATACCACCGCCCATGGACATTTACAGCATCTGGCTTGCTGATGCGTTGACCTTTAAAAATATGGGACCCGATTACCTCACTCACCAGTCGAAACGCGAAAGTTCCACTTAACAACGGAATTCTGAGGCCGAAGTACTTCCCCGGACGACCCTGTCCATTCGTGCAACAGCGGAGGCTATTGCGTGGCCCACATGAGGTATGTGGTACATCGACCACAGTTCTCTATCAGTCCATCATTTACCACTCCCCTTACTACATGTGTTGGTGAATATTAAAAGAAATATATTACGAATACCCCATTTATTACTATTCATCTGACTTTACAATAGTCGTCATACAATATAGGACAAGAAATACATATAATCAATAAAAGATCCAAGTCTTAATAGGTAAGAAAGTTATAACATGAATTAAAAGAGTTGCTTTATCATAATTAGAAAAATGTTCAGTCATCATCATCCTTTATGGATAACAAATGGCAATGGTTTTTTTAGGAAAATAATTTATTTAATGAACTTAATTTTCTTCAATAAGCATCACCCTGTTCTTATCAACCCTCACATTTGGAGCACTCTTTAATTTCTTTATAAATTTTTCAGCAATTCTATCATCAACTTCATTTCCAGTTATTTCTTGATATTCACCAAGAACTTTCTTTTGCAGTCTTTTAAAAGGCACTTCATTGTCCTTTTTCTGTAAAACAGATATAATAACTGCATGCCAGTTAAATTTCTCAGTCTGGATTACAGATTCATCACTCTTTGCCACATTTTGATCATGTAATGAAACTTCTTCAGGTTGCACTTTTGGTTTCTTTTGTTGGACCTTTATTTTATTGGTATCTTCATTTTCAATATCATTTTCAATGACATTATCAACAATTTCAGGGACAGTATTAACTGTGTCCTGACGCTTTCTCTTTTTGTTTTTATTCTTTCCTTCAGTTTGAACTCCATTTTCTATACCATCAGTGTCATTGACTTTGTTTTTATTTTTCTTACCTTTCTTTTTTGATTGTGTATCATCAGCTTCTTCTTCAGAAGGTTGTTGCTCAGCACTATGCAATTCAGCCTCATACTTCTTCTTTTTCTTTTCTTCTTTGCGCTGTTTCTTTGACATTTTCTTCTCTGAATTGTCACGATCCCCATTAATTTCTGAAGAAGTGACATTTTTTACTGAGTCCTCTTCTATATCTTTCTCTTTTTTATCACCATTTTCTAATTTATCCGTCAATCCATTGGTTTCAGAAGTTCCATTCTTTTGATTTTGGTTCTTGTTTTGAGAATTCAAGTTTGACAATTCTGAAAGCTTGACAGATATCAAATCCCAAGCCTCATCAATGTCTTTTATATTAGTCTTTTGTCCACATACATTTTTTACAAAATTAATAAACTTTGGTTTCTTTCGGGGGGTGTTGTTATGTTTGCTAATAGTTTCGATAATTCTAATGACATTAGGTGAGGCACTCTTTGCTTCATCTAATACTGACTGCAACATCTCAACCCAAGCATTTTGCTTTTTCTCGCCTTTCTTTTCTTTAGCAGTAAACCCTTTTCCAGAATAACGCTCTTCTTCTGTTACGCATTTGATATGGGCTTCGTAATCATTACCTCTGTAAAATTTAAAAGCTCCTTAAAATTTATCTTTTAGTTCTCAGGATATACTTATACATTTTAAAATTTACTTTATACTTATTGATACAGTACTTTTAGTAAACTATTTGCATTCTTGAATTACCATGTCCTAAATATACACATAGATATATACATACATATACAGCGTGTCGTTACAACAGTGACAATAAATGAACACACATATAGAGGATAACTTTTTAAAATTGTATTAAGCATTTACATTCTTTAAACATCAATATTTACAGAGTTATTAAATTATACAAAACAAACATTTTTAGAACACCCTTACATATAAAACTGTAACTTAAAATTCATTTGTAAAGGTCACAAAGCATATGAATGGGTTGAATGAATTTAAAAGAGATAAAACATACTGTTAGAAGGAGATACTTGTAATGCGATGTTGTGGCAAGTATGAATCAGTCAATTGTATTTGTATAGGGTGTTACAAATTTTGTTTCTTTTTTATTTAATTAGTTTGTTTGAAAAATTTATCTTTTTAATCATGGATTTTCTTATAGTTATATATTTTTTTATGATTATTGGCAAGTAACGTTAGACGTGTGTTCATTTACGACACGCTGTATAAATATATATAGATCAGAATAAATTAGTTGCTCTATTCAATAAAGAGAGCAACTAATTTGCACAAGTATAATATTGCTTTTGTCTCATTCATGGAAAACAAATAGAGATATCTTATAAGGATATATGAGAAAAATAGATTTTTTCACCTTCATCCTTACTCTTAAAATTTACAAAATTTTTAATGTAGAGATATTGAAAAAATTTTAATGATCATTGTTCCAATTTTATTGCAAGACTCAGTGGCAGTGCTGCTTGGTTCGATTCCCACATGGGAAAAGTATTTGTGTGACACACAGATAATTGTTCTAGATCTGGGCGTTTGTTCCCGAGAGTTGACACAATCGACCAGCCCATAGTAAAGAAAACCATGCCAAAACCAATAACAACATGATTTACATGTTGTGCCGACCACACCTATTTGGAACAAGGGCAAGAGGATGATGATGATGATGATAATCCAATATTATTGCTATAATTTCAAACTTTTTCAATTTTGTAAGATACTTTATGTTAAATTTCAGTGTTACAATAGTTATATATAAAAATTTACTTTCCATATGTGTGTGTTGTCAAAACTCAAATATAAGGAAATAATAAAACCTAAAAAAGATAGTGTTTCTGTATACTTTTTATTACGAAGTTCCAACGGAAACGAAAAAAAAACAGCGAAGCACGGCTGGGTTCAGTTAGTAATAAATAATTTTTATCTTTATATATATAATTCTTCTGTACATGTTTATGTAACTGAACTCACTAACTCATTCTAAACAACTGGACCAATTTTAATGAATTTTTTTTGTGTAACTTCAGGTCTATTTGAGAATGGTTTTGATTTTTGCATATTCAAGTGGAGAATGGTATAAATTCACAATTCGGTACAAAATGTTATTTTTAATTCAATTTTATCTGTAAGTTGTAAGATTAGTGTACTTACAAAAAATCTTTAAAACAATCCATACATGACAAATTTGGGGTGCGGTTTCTGCATTTTGTAAGATAATGCTTTTCAACTTTTGGCTTCTGCACAGATTCACCACAATGTCCACAGGTGAATACAACCATTTCTTCGAGTTGATTCTTTAAAACTTGATCCAATCAGCACCTTCCAGTTAAAATTTAATAAATACATACACATAAACAATTAAAAAAAACATTAAATTTAATTAAAGACTATTCAAAACAAAATAGGACCCACTGTTTTACCACAGTAACTTCAAATTAACATTTACATTTTTCAATAAATGAAAGATATGTTCAAAGGAAAGATTTTTAAGTTATGTGGATACATTAAATTGTAAAAAGATTTTTCTATAACATCAGGGGTTGAAGTGAATCTACCCTCTTTGTTCAGTATACACTCTTGAAGCCTATTGAAACATTTCCAATTAAATGGGTGACTTTCATGATGGTGTAAATAGTGAGTGTTATGATTATCTTTTATTGGCAAATTTTATATAGGCTTCTTTAGGTTACAACTTGCTTGCTTGTAAAACCTAGGTTCACTCAGCTTAGGGCAATACTGTAATATAAGCAACATTCAGGTCTATAGAATGTCGTTGAACTGTACCTTATCTAGGTAATACCTTGACAGTCAACCACACTATGAGGATTAACTCACATGTATGCGAGTCAGACTGAAAATGCAGTTGCATTATATCCTCTTTAAACAAATCTTTAGCCAGCTATATACATAATAGCACAACTTCATGTTAGCCCATCACAGGATGCCACAAAGTTGTGGTACAGACCATGTGAGACTCACCAGCCTTAAGTGAATCTGAATCTATCACTCTTACAGCTTTATGCCATATACCATTGTGAACCACTAAATATATGGGCTCATACAGAATTTAAAAAAACCGATAAAGTAATTTTATGACACCAGAAGCAAAACAAACAGATTTTTTTATATAGAGAGCGAATTTTAATCACTTGATTTTTTTATGCCCACTGTGAGAATATTATTTAACCCATCATTTATTATATTTCGAGGATTCATAAACAAGTTTCTTGATGTTTTAATATTGAAGTTTAACACTACCTCTCGACATGTTTATATAAGAAATTTTACGATTAACTTTATGTAAGCCCTATTTAGTTTTGAATGTTATATTAATGAAAACGTGTAATACTTTTAATTAACTATGTTGTACAAGTAGTATTTTTCATAAAACACGTGCTAAACATAAGTTTTGAAACGTCAGACCATCAGAAAACACAAATTTAACCTATTTTTCTGTTGTTAATTTTAAAATGACATATTCTTTCCAGTGTGGTCAACTAATTGATAAAATGCCCCTAAAATCAAGATAAAATAGCCCTAAAAATGCAATTTTAAAAAGTCCCATTAAAAATAGTTGAGATAACTAACAAAACAACATAATATTGACTAAATGTGCGTTTTATATAATTTATTGACATTTTGCCATTTTTTATTCATTTTGGTCAGTCAAAATATTGATTCATGAATAATATTTCATGCCCCTAAAAATTCCTCTAAATGTTTTTGGACCCTATAAAAATCCCATAATGCAGATTTCCGCCCTAAATTTGGGGCTAAAAGCCCTAAGTTGGCAGCACTGATTTCTTCCTTATTAAGTAGGAATGTTCGCAACGGCCATAAATATTCATAACGCGTTATAACGATACGTTACGTCTAAAACGCCTATTATTTTTTACGCTATAATATAATAACGTTCTCTTCGTTCTACGAAGCATTTTGACTATCGTGGCAAGCATCGTGGGCTAATAAACCTTGGATAATAAGGATATGGACTTAAAAATAAAAATACTCAATTTTTATTTACCTAAATAATCTATTCAAAGAAATTACCTAACTTGGAGATATTAGTAATTTACCCTAAAATATAACTAAATGTAGCACCAAACCAACACCACAAATTAATTACAAAATTGAATAAAAACAAATAATCGAGGGCACAATCGCGCACAAATGCACGCTAAATAAATATTTCATTCGAGGTCAAAAGAATTATCGACATTGATTTTTTGTTTACTGAACTAATATATTAAATAATCTAATGTGTAATACGAACAAATATATGGCCACGGAACATATCGCATATAACTGTTATTATTCATTTGAATATTAGTCCTTATACTGTTATGTTAGAGCATTATTTGGCATGTGACAAAAATTAATACCTATTCGTAGTGTGTGGATCTTCACTTGCGTCGTAGCAGTTGAGGGAGAATTATAGAAATAACGTCAGGCGTGCATGTATAAATAACAGACTATATCATCATCATCATTTCAGCCTGTTTGAGTCCACTGCTGAACATACGCCTCCCCCATAGACTGCCACGAAGTACGATCCTGAGCCACCTGCATCCATTGACTTCCCGCACATTTGCACAGGTCGTCACTCCATTTAGTGGGGGGTCGTCCTACACTGCGATGGCCAGTACGAGGCTGCCACTCGAGAACCTTTCTTCCCCAACGGTTATCGGTTCTACGAGCTATATGGCCGGCCCATCGCCACTTCAGCTTCCTAATCCTCTGAGCTATGTCGGTTATCTTAGTTCTACTGCGGATGTCTTCGTTACGAACTCTATCACACACAGACTATATGATTATTTAAAATTTTAGGCTATTTTATCAGTCATCTAATTTATCGAACAATATCCTACAAGTAAGCAATTATGAATTAAAGAGTAGAAATTATATCATCGCTATGATAAAAACTAATTACAATCCCGATTCCCGACATTTAACTGACTGAAATGGCTGTGTATTGAATGGTATGAATATCATCGTTAAAATTCTAGTGCATTTACAAAATATAAAATATGAAAAAGGGTAAAATATGAAAATACAAATAACTATGAAAACGACAGTTATATATACAATATTTAAAAGTTCTTATACACGTTATTTTATTAGGCAACTTAACAAGGATCAACTCTTGTGAACTTACGTGAGTTCTTTATTAAAAGTATGAGAACTTTCTATTGTTTAACTATAATTCGAATTGAACGTGTATGATATCCAAGCATATATTTTACTTAGCAATTGATTTTTATTTACATAAAATATATTTATAACATTGTAGAGTCATGTTGATACGATGATTTAGGAACAGTGAGTGGCGGAAGAAACAAGAAAAACCTGAGTCTATTAATATCATAGATAGTCTTCACAAATGTAGTAAAGATGATAAATATAGTCTGTGTCTCACTCGTTAGTGACCAGATTTAGTAGATTTCTACTTTTTTGGTAGATTTTGAGGTACTGGCAACAGAATTTAGTGTGTAAAAATTATGTATATTTTAGTAGAATTCACACTTTTCAGTTATTCTAGTACTTTATCTTAGCTTATCGAATAAATGCGGGGTATTCCCCCCTTTCATTGAAAGGATTGTAACTATTTAATTTTCATTCTTTTCGTTACAATTCGTGCCGTGAGCATAGAGTGTGATAGGCTAGTGGGAATTCCTTTATTGAGAATTTGAATAAATATACACAAGGATATCGCGATGAATGGGAGCAAAATCCCTCATTTAAAAGTTGGTAATGTAAATCTAAGGTAAACACAATGGAATGTAATTCTTAGTTAATTATTCTGTGGTATCTTAAATTTTGGAGTGAAATCAGCCAAAGCTGATGCTAATAGTAAACCAAAGTATTTTAATTTGGCCCGATTTGTGAAGCAAATGACGATACTACCTTTGTCAAATCCCAAAGAAGAAAGAATATTATATTAACGGTGGTAGGGCCACGCAGCAGCCTCGGCTGTTGCACGAATGGGCAGGCCATCCTGGTAAGTACCATGACCTCACAGAAGACCAGCGTAAAGTGGAAGTATGCCAAATACTTTCGCGTTTCGTCTGGTGAGTGAGGTAGCCGGAGCCCAATTTTCAAAAGGTTGTCAACGCATCTGTAACCCTCGGGTGTAGCAGATGTCCATGGGCGGTGGTATTCACTTACCAACAGGTGAACCGTCTGCTCGTCTGGCAACTTTTCACATAAAAAAAAATATTTTCCGATATTAATGGCATTAAAATTCAAGATCGAAATGGATTTAATAATAAGATTGTTGCTGCAATAACGCATGGAAAAGAAGGGTTACGAGGCGTTAGTTGGAAGGAGGATGTAGAGATTTGATCGTGATAAAAATATGATCAAGTTCTCAAGGGCTCTCAAGGACTCAAAATAGTTTTATGACAATGTTACCCAACATAAAGACGAAGAATCTTAACTTTAAGTTTAATTTAATTTATTTTATCTGTTTAATTATATTTATATTTAGAATTTAACTTAAAAAAAACATTGGTTTCTCTACTTACGGTGGTTTCTTTATTATTTTTATTACTTTATCGTTTAATCAAGAAAACATTCATGTTTTTAGGTTTTAACACGACAACAAAAAATATAATGATTTTTAATATTTTCTCGTTCTCTTTTGGTAGAATTCAGTAGTTTTTAACCTAGACAAGCAGTAGATTCGTCATGTGAAATCTGGTCACACCGTGTTTCTTTGAACTTTGAAGTTTTGATAACCGAAAAAAAAGTTTGTTAGGGTGTGTCACAATCTTAAGATGATTTTGTGTTTATAATATTTTATAACAATAATCGTGTATTAAGTTATGATAAAAGAGTAAAGAATATTAAAAATACTTAAAAAAATGAGACAAATGCATGTTTTTATGTCAATGGTTATGCTTTTAAGTAAGTCAACAAAAACGTAATAGTAAACGTATAATTATTAATTATTAAGTAATCTCCAGCTATTTCCATAAATGCATACCATTTTAGGAATATCTGAAGCAAGTTATTATTACAATGATAACTTATCACAAGTGTTACTGCAAAAGGAAAAGGATAAAAATCGTGAATTTTTGACATGGTGCACAACTTCAGTGGCAGAGCAAGAGAAATGTGAAAAATTGGCTAATGCTACTTTACTAGATAAGGGGCTCTTTGGAGATGACTATATTGAAATGACTTGCAAAAGGGTAATATTTCATATTATTATAAACTAGGGACCCGCCCCGGCTTCGCACGGTGCACTATAATATACATATAAACCTTCCTGTTGAATCACTATCTAGTAAAAAAAACTGCATCAAGATCCGTTGCGTAGTTTTAAAGATCTAAGCATACATAGGGACAGACAGCGGGACGACTTTGTTTAATACTATGTAGAATCTATTTTCCTGATTAAAAATTAGGGTTTGTTCATGTTCCCTTATTGATATCAGCATAAGTAGATTATAATTGACATACATACTATGTGATGATCTTTTTTACTGGGGTACTGAGTAGTTAATTAAAAAAAAATATATTTAAAGATCTTTTCTGTCATGTAAGTGATTTTAATATATTTATTTTATTTTTAGGCATTTGACACAGAAGATTGTATGACATGGGTTGATCAAGGAGAAGCATCTTTATTGGCTCTGGATGCTGGTGAAGTATACATTGCTGGGAGATATCACTCTCTTGTACCTATAGCACAAGAGGTACTGAACTCTTGATATTCTTACATCAAAAAAAAACTACAACAAATTTCAAACATTAATATGTTAGAGAAATCAAAAAAATATAACTTAATACTTCATAACACTGATGTACATTTGAGTTCATTTATAGTTCTGTAGACTGTGCATGTCTTTTGGAACTAGCACCCCTTATGAATAAAAACATGAATGATTCCATGCCTCGGATTCATAATTTCTTGTTTGTGACTTTAAAAACAAAAAAAAAACATTTTTTTTTAATGTTGGTCATTTTCAGTTCATTTTAAAAAATCCTAATCATGTTTTCATTATACTTTGTTATAATATTTTTTCTTAGGAATTTTTTTTAAAACATGCATCATGTTTAATGCTTTTAATTAATAATGACTTTAAATGTATTTTCTTAGTTGTACGGTAATGGGGAACCCTACCAGTATTCAGTAGCAGTTGTAAGAAAAGGTAGTCTACCTTCTGTGCAACAGAGTACTGGACTTTATGGACTGCGTGGTGTAAAGGCTTGCTTTCCTAGTGTCGGTGCGCTTGCAGGCTGGGTGATGCCAGTACATATTGTGAGTCTCCTTAGGATATTTCTTAAAAAAATTGCTATATTTTGAAGTGTGATTACCATATCATTACTTTTTTTAATCAGTTAATGCGAGAAGGAGGATTAAAAGTGACCGACTGCAATAACCATGTCAAATCGGCAGTCGAATATTTCGGAGACTCCTGTGCACCAAATTCCTTGAAGGACATATACAATCCCATTGGTGATAATCCCGATAAGTAAGGGTGTTTCTTTTTAACTTACTTTAGATTTTATCTTTTCTCTGTCTCTTTTTGCGAAAAAAATTAAACATTGTGTTTAACATCTTCCAGATTATGTAAGCTATGTGCTGGTGGTGCCGGTATAAGGTGCACTTTAGCAGATCCCTATGCTGGGTACGAAGGAGCGCTTAAATGTCTTGTTGCTAATGGTACCGGTGACATTGCTTTTGTCAGGGATACTACTATTCAGCATGCTCTGCTATCACATAAAATACTGGGTAAGAAGTTTAAAAATGTTTGTTAAGCACATTTATTTACGTTTTGTACAAACATGTATGTACCATATGAATTCTTTGAATTAAAATTTTAATCTTATTGTCGCATAAATTTCTATAAGTAAATTTGAAGCCAAATAGGTTTTAAAGCTCAATACCAATATGTATTTTTATAGGTGGTATAAGAGAGGATAGCTTTGAGTTAATATGTCGCGATGGTTCACGCGCGCCGGTAACCGAATGGGAGAAGTGCAATTGGGGTCGAATCCCAGCGGATGCAATTGTCACAAGCAGTGCTGCAACTCAAGAACAACGAAAACGGTACAAACAGTGACTCATAACATGCCCAATAATAGCAACCACTTTACTGTTGTAGACGTGTTATGGTAGTGAACAAATGTAATAACTGTGCATGAAGTGGAAGTATAAAACTTTCGCGTTTCATCTGGTGAGTGAGGTAACCGGAGCCCAATTTTCAAATGGTTGTCAATGCATCTGCAACCCTCGGGTGTAGCAGATATCCATGGGCGGTGGTATTCACTTAACATCAGGTGAACCGCCTGCTTGGCAAATTTGCACATAAAAAAAAATTAAAAAAATAGTGGATCACTTTTTTATGTGAAATATCGACCAGTGAGCAAGTGTTCAGTTATTGGCGCTGCCTTTGGACATCTACAACACCTGTTGGGTTATAGAGGTGTTACAAAAGTATATCACTTCTACCTCTCCTTGATCTTTTGCGAGCTTTTACTTCTACTAGCCTATGATCGTGTGGGGAAGTGGACACGGAACATCTTCCCCTGTTTCATGACTATTCCTGCTGTTCCGCTGTTCCGTCGCCATAACATGGTAAAATTTGTTTCATAACTATACAAAGGAAAGATACAACTAAGTAATAATCTTTTTTGCAGTTACCAAAACATTCTACAGAAAATGGTACAACTATATGGGGAGCCCAATCCATCGAACAGAAATCCAAACAATACATTCGGGCAACAAAATCGCGACCAGTACGGCAATTTCGCAACTTCGACCGAACGCGATTCGTACGACCAATACCGGAGGTACAAATTCGATAGGCAGGGCAATGACGATACCAACAGGTTAGTTTAAATATTTCTTTTATATGTTCATGTAATTAACGACCCGATTGGCGTAGTGGACCTGCCTCTCGCGCCAAAAGGTGTGGGTTCGATCCCCACTACTATACCCAAATATTGTGCAACTAACATAGTATTTTTCCAGTGTCTGGGTGTTTATACATGTATAATAATATGTATTTATTTAAAATAGAAAAGAAAAGTATGTTTATCAGTCATCTATTAACCATAGTATAAGCATTGTTTAGATTGGGACTAGAGAATGTTGTGTAAAAATGTGTCCTAAATATTTATTTATTTATTACACGTCTCATGCCGCGAAGTGGTTGAGTTTGTGCTCTAGTCCCTACACACCAAAGTCAATCAATTTGCTTTATTATTATGGCCTTGATTAAGGGTTATAAAGAATTAAATGACTAGGGGTAATCTCTCCTTGTTAAACTGCGTCAAAATAAATTGATATGTACGTAATTTTCAAAGTAGAGTTTCTATATTAAATAAGAGCTAAATTTAACACATTACTTAATGAAATAACATGTTGCTTGTAGTATCAAAAGATCTTTCATTTATTTTGGATTTGATTTATATTCACAGAGTTAGCACACTTGCACCGTTCCAGACCAGAATAGATCGGACTGGTCAACCTATTGAACTGCCCATTCACCTATTTAAATCCAATGAAACAACAGATCTATTACTACAGGTAAAAAATACAGCCGCTTACAAATATTTTAAGAACATTATCTGATTAAAGTTCTCGGGAAGTACCGGGAGACTTTTACATATCTTAAACAGCCTTTCATATTCGTGATTGAGTGAATTTTTAACGTTTTTATTAACTAATAACTTTAATAATCTTATTTGTAAGTTTTTTATTTTATTTAAGTACGTAGGAAAAGCGAGACCGTAAGCCCCCAATCCGTATGATATAATTGCATCGGCCAATGCATGATAAAGTAGGTACATAACACCTGTACTTACGATAAATTTTAAGTGTTGCAATTTTCCAAGAATAGACCGCAATTTGTTACATACATAATCAATGTACCCTTTCACAGTGAGTGTTCATTATTAAAATTATTATTTAGGTGTATTAAAATCATAAACTATAATTTATTTGTGCTATAATTTTCTCTAATGGAAGTGTTAAACTTCAGCGTTTCGTCTGGTGAGTAAGGTAGGCAGGGCCCTCTTTATTAAAAGGTGGCAATGCATCTGCAACCCTACAGACGGTGTTGCAAATGTCCATGGGTGACGGTTATCACTTAACATCAGGTGTACCGCCTGCTCCCTTGCCACATTCTCACATAAATAAAATCTATCTGTATCTAATACATTTCATATTATTTAGGATGCCACCATAAACTTTCGCTTTCTAAAAGAAGAAGAACAAGCGGCCAAGCACATCCTGAACAATAAATATGTGGGTGATCAAGCAGAGAAGGCTGTTTTGGGCGTTAGGTCTTGCCCTTTGAAAAGGGCTATATTGTGTGTTACCAGCGATCCAGAGATGGATAAGTGTATTAAAATGAGGGTAAGTCGAAGAGTGCGAATTTTTTAAATTTATACAAGTCTTTCAAGACATGCCTTCATCAACTGAAGATATATAATATATAAGCAGTTCTTTTGATTTCTTTATCACCAATGAGTTAACTCGGATATTAAAAAAGCCGCAAGGCGTGTGTAAAATCGTTAAGAGTAGTAACCCTTTTTGTATCAACCCTACCGTTTTAAATTGAATCGCTTTAAATCGTCGTTAAATTAAAAAAAATATTCCGTGTGCCAGTACTCTGAGAAAAAAAGGCATTAAACTCAATCGATACCGGTTTAATCGAATGACTTGAGAGTTATAGGGAAATTTCAAAAGGTCATTTTAAAAATCGGGGTTCGGTGTGCGAGCGTCTTAAAAAGGTTTACCCTCAAAATTCTTTCCGAACGCGCCAAAAGGAGTATGAGTTCAACAGTCGACGGCCCCATTAACGTGTCGCCCGTACCGTGACCAGATAGCGCTGAAGGCGGCAGTGCTGTCGCCTACATTGTCCTGCTGGCGCGGGCACAGCGCGCGCCACTGCGAGCGCGCGATAGCGGACGGCACGGCCGACTTCGCGCTGCTCGACGCGGCGGACATGCTGCACGCCGCGTACAAGCACCGCCTCGTGCCCTTCATGCAGGAGGTGAGTGGTCCGCTCGTATCAGTCCGTCCTGCTCACACTGCCGGTTAAAGCTGCCTGTGTGCGGCGGAGCGTGTTCCTCGTATTGCACCCACGTGACCACACTCTCGATGGTCATGTTTCACGCCGCGTACAAGCACCGCCTCGTGCCCTTCATGCAGGAGGTGAGTGGTCCGCTCGTATCAGTCCGTCCTGCTCACACTGCCGGTTAAAGCTGCCTGTGTGCGGCGGAGCGTGTTCCTCGTATTGCACCCACGTGACCACACTCTCGATGGTCATGTTTCACGCCGATACTGCCGGTTAAAGCTGCCTGTGTGCGGCGGAGCGTGTTCCTCGTATTGCACCCACGTGACCACACTCTCGATGGTCATGTTTCACGCCGCGTACAAGCACCGCCTCGTGCCCTTCATGCAGGAGGTGAGAGGTCCGCTCCTATCGGTCCGTCCTGCTCACTCTACCGATGAGGTCTGCTCCTATTAGTCCGCCTGTTCACTCTGCCGGTTAAAGGTGTCTGTGTGCGGCGGAGCGTGTTCGTGTATTGCAAACTTGTGACGACAAAAATTTTGCACTCTCGATGGTGCCCTTCATGCAGGAGGTGAGAGGTCCGCTCATATTAGTCCGTCCTGCTCACTCTGAGGGTTAAATTTGTCTGTTTGCGGCAGAACGTGTTCGTGTATTGCAACCATGTGACCACAAAAAATTTGGCACTCTTGATGGCACATGCTATATGTCAAGGTATATCGTATATCGTCTGTCACGTTTGCTTGTATATGTCATATAATGTAAAGCGGTATAATTTTGATACGCCGCGCAGTATGGACATGCTTCAACTATATTATTGCACATGAATAAAATCAGAATTGGGTTTTGTTTTTTGTTACTAAAAATGTTTCACTTGTTGAAAACTATATCGCAGTATACCGTGAAACGTTAAGGCAAATGTGAGTTGATTAAACTTTGTTTCCAGGTGTATACTAATGGTCATAGTTGGTACTACGCGGTGGCGGTGGCCAAGGAGCAAGACCCAGACACCGACCTGACGTACTTACGTGGCAAAAACACATGCCACACCGGGATAGGCACTGCTGCCGGGTGGATCTTCCCATTGGCCTATCTCCTGTCCAATGGGTGGATAAGGTAAAAAAGAAAGATATGTTTATTTGTTAAAACATGGTACAATATAGGTTTTGTAAAAGTTGTAACGAAGGGACGTTGTTGCGATGTTCTACCATTTCTGGCGTACTATTATTTTTTATGGAAAAATAAATATGGGAAAACAGCGGCAAACGAGCAGAAGGCTCACCTAATTTTAAATGATCACCGCCGCTCATGGACACCCGCAACAACAGAGGGTTTACAAATGCGTTGCTGGCCTTTTACGTTTATGATTATTAGATGAATGAAAATTTCCATAGATTTGAGCATATTTTCCAATTTTAAATAAACTATACAGAACAGTACAAATTATATATATTATAGCGTGAAAACACTCCTTGTACCTGACATGTCGGATAAAGCATTAGCTCCTTCAATCCCGAATTTTATCACAATATATAAACACTTGAGGTGGCAATTATTCTAGCGACTCTAGGGGTGTACCTTCAAAAGTGAAATATGTCTGGCAGGCCGTACGGTTGCGACGGGGCGCACGCGGCCGCTGAGTACTTCAGCAAATCGTGCGCACCGGGCGCCCTGAGCAGCGAATACGTGGACGCCGCCACGGTGCCACATGACAACCTCTGCCACCTCTGCCACGGAGCATCCTTCAGGCGAGTCTATTGCACTTATTAACTGTTGTGGGGCCACGCGACAGTCTTCTCCGTTGCACTAACGGGCAGGTCCGTCCGGGTAAGTACCATATATATATATATATATATATATATATATATATATATATATATATATATATATATATATATGTAATTATATACAGGGTGATTTTATAGATGACGGACATATTAACAGAGCATATGCAGAATTTGATTCTGAATCTGAATCTGGTATGTTTATTTTTAATTTTTCAAACATTATGGACACCTTAAGAAATTCCTGCCTTACCATCTCAATACTATAACCTATTGATGAACACTAAAACCTTTCGCTGAACGCATAATTAACGCATAATTACAAAACCGCTTATCAATAGTGTGACCATTCTTAACGGGATAAACAAACAATGTTTCAATTGATATTTTCCAGGTTATTTCTTGTCAAAATAAAATATAAATATTTTTTTTTAATTATGGAATGTTCAATTAACATTATTTCAAAGTATGTACGTCGTCTAAAAAATCATCCTGCATGTACCACTGCTGAGCAAAGGCCTCCTCTATACATTGGGTATCAGGGCATAGTCCACCTCACTGCGGGTTGGCGGACTTCACATATTTTCGAAGTATCGTATTTTTTTTTCCTCACAATGTTTTCCTCCACCGCTGAGCACGTGGTAATACTTCAGCACTTGAAATTAACAATATCATTGGTGTCGGCACCGGGGATCGAACTCACGCTGCTCGAGTATATTGAATTAAAGGCGAACGCCCGGACACTGAGCTAGTTCAAGTTACACCGAGCTACACTACGTATAAGCCTTGATAGATCAGTGTAACATGAAGTGTACGGACACCGAGCTATCGCGGCTTACGCTACATAAATTATGTATAAGTGTAACTCGATAAATGAACAACGACGTTCGCCGGACAGGACACTTAGCAATCACGGCTTACACCACAGACATGTAAGTGTAACTTGAATAACTTAACAACGCCGCTCGGCCGACAGACGCTGCCGGCGCGACGCGAGCGAGGACTACTACGGGCACGTGGGCGCAGTGCGGTGCATGGTGGAGGGGGGCGGCGACGTGGCGTTCGTGCGGCACACCGCGCCCGCAGAGGTCTCCGGCGGCAGGAGGCGCGAGTGGTGGGCCAGGGACCTGCTGCCGGACGACCTGCAGCTGCTCTGCGCCGACGGTGTGTCACGAGACAAAAGAATACAATAAGATGTACCTATGTGTACTCGTGTACGCACGTTGCCCTGCGCCGACGGTGTGTCAGGAGATAAAAAAAATGTACTGATGCACGCACGTAAGAGTGGTTGGCCAGGGACCTGCTGCCGGACGAGCTGCAGCTGCTCTGCGCCGACGGTGTGTCACGTGACAAAAGAATACAATAAGATGTACCTATGTGTACTTATGTACGCACGGTGCCCTGCGCCGACGGTGTGTCAAATTGTAAAAGAATAAAATGAAATGTATGTATGTGTACTAATGTACGCACGTTGCTCTGCGCCGACGGTGTGTTAGAAGATAAAAAAATGTATTGATGAACGCACGAAAGAGTGGTTGGTCAGGGACCTGCTGCCGGACGGCCTGCAGCTGTACTGCGCCGACGGTATGTCGGAAGATTATTAACTATGTGTACTAATGTACGCACGTTGCTCCGTGCCGACGATATGTGAAAAGATAAAAGAGTGAAATAAAAAGTACCTATATGTACGCAAGTTGCGCCGACGGTGTGTCAAAAAAATACTTATGTACGCACTTTGTCCTGCGCCGACGGTACCTCAAAACATAAAAAATACTAATGTTTACTTAAGTACGCACAAAAGAATTTGCACTTCTTTAGCGTAACAAAAGAAATTGAACTAAAATTTTGACCTCCACTACTCTTTGTTTGTAAAAACGACGTTAAATGTAATTGATAACGGTTTTATTAAACAACTTTGGTTGCCATGGTCATACTTGGTCCCTTTGCAACAAAGTTCATACTGTCGGTTTGAGCGCGCATATTAAGTATGTTTCTGTCTTATTTTTTTCTAATCGCGTCAATAGAAGTATAACCTCAAAAATACATTTATTCCCATAACAATGAGCCCGTGGCGCAGTGGCCAAGGTATTGGCTTCGGCGCCGGGGATCGTGAGTTCGATTCTCTCATGACACCTACTTGTGTGACCTACAGATAACTCTTTCGAATCTGGTTGTTTGTCTGCTTTGAAGAAATTTTGCTCGAGAAAAAGATCTTTAAGCCCCCAGATACTAATTGGTTAGATTTCTGTATTCTGTATTTGTGTTATCTAAGACTTTTTTTAAACACTGTAATTCCCGGCCCCAACTTAAAATAATTTGTATTTATTTATTGGCGAAGTTATACGCTGGCTTCGACTTATGCGGTTATCACTAAGTCCCACCTATGAAAGCTGGGATATTAATGTAATTAATTGATACTTAACTATAAAAAATTTTAAGGTACACGCGCCAAAATGCATGAATACGAACACTGCAATCTTGGCAAGGTCCCCGGGTCAGTCCTCATGGGTAGGGCCAATCACACAGAGTTGGATACATTCTCCAACCTTATGGTGTATGCACAACAATTATATGGAGCGGCCACTTCTGATGAATTTAGGTAATCGAATTTACAGAACAATTTTTTTCAAACTTATACTCCATTACTGATAGACCCAAAGCATTTCATGTTTAACTTCTCTTTAGAAAATCATTCTATAGTAAACTGCAGAACCATTTCTTCTAATTCAAACCCAAAGTCATAATCAAAAACTACTCAAAGTAATGTTTGAATAAAGCTAATTTACAGATTATAATAATTAATATGTAAGTATTGTACGAAAAAATATTTGTTTAGCAGTTTAGTATTTTCCACTGCTTAAAAAAGATGATTGGCACTGACAACTTTTATCATTCATTCATTCATCATTGACTGACAACTTTGTAACATTATATTTTTTTTAGTTTCAGCATGTTCTTCTCACAACCCCCATACGCCGATCTCATCTTCAGTGACGCTGCAGTCCGATTAAAACCTCTACCACATTCCAAGAGATCAGCAGAAATGATAGCAGGCCCAGCTTTATTGAGAGCAGCGAGAATTGTTTCATGTGACGCCCCACAAGCCTCTTACTATGTTGCACCTGATCCGGAGTTTTTATCTCAATCTTATAGAACATATGTGATGGGACATGTTGTTGCTATAACACTTTTTATGATTATGTTATTACATTGAATGATCTTTTGAAACAATTATATATCTAGAAATTTAAAAATTGTTAAGCTTTAAGTGTGTGTGCACAACATATTTTTGAATCCATCCAATAAAGTGATAATGTACATAATGTACATTTATGTATTATATAACAGGTACATAATAGTTTTTGACGGATGTTATTATGTTAAGTTATTTTCAACGAATTCCGTCCAAATGAATCTTATTTTGATATTTTTATAACACCTTTATTTTAAACAAATAAAACTATCATAAGATGTTCATATGTTTGATTTATTGTTATATTTATTGTTAACATGCCTTTCAAATCCATCAGGTAAATTATCAAACTTTTTCATTATGATTTTCAAATCTGTTCTCCTGCATACTTCTTTTACAGCTTGTTGGCAAATTGTTCCATTTTTATACATAGACCTTGCATGTTCTCTCCATCTTCCTGTCATGCAATTTGATTTAGCTAGTTCAGATTTAATAATTGGTATGAGTTTACTACATTTCGGCGTAATTTTCGCAATCAAATACAATGCCTTATATGACAAGAAACGAAAATGATTTATGCAGTATACAAAGATAACACCACCAGACATATTTTTTAGTATGGTTTCTATAATACAATTGCAAAGTTTAACTGTAACTTTCTCCTTATATATCAAAAAATACTTATCAATATCACTTTCATCACAGAGTATAGACAACATAGTACAAAATTTATTAGCTGCTAAACACATAGTTATAAAAATATGATTCCATAAAGATATTTCATCATTATGAACTAAATTAAATATATGACTATTTATATGAATACCTGATAGTCCTATACGGTTCTCTATAAATTTTTTAACATTAACTATTGCATTAGTAAAATTTATTTTATAACACATTTGTCCTGAGTAAATATTACTAGCCTTGCTAACATTTAAAGTGATAGTGTCATAGCAATGGCCCAAAAACGTAATCTTATTACTGTATTTGATAAATTGGTGTGTAAAATTTACAAAAGTCTTCTCATAATTAACATTTTTGTAATTAGAAAGAGCATTTAAAAATGAATGAGCATCTTCTATAGAGTCTGTTATATACAAATAATCATCAACAACTCTAATAAATAACTTTATTGTATTTGCTACATTTTGTATGTGATGGCTGAAATATATTTCATCCATGTAAGCATAATAAACTTCAGAAAGAGCTGGTGAAAATTTATAACCTTGCACTAAACCTTCTTTCCATTCATAAATTGCAGATCCAATACGAATTAGAATAGGTTTTTGCAATTCTGATAATATTTCCTTAAAAATCTGTTCATTTTTCTTTCTTAAAAGTAAACATGGTTCATTTTTCTGAAATTTTATGTATAGATTATATAGAATCTTTAATAGTCTATCTCTATTTATTGAACCAAATGCATTACTTAAATCTGTTTTTACAAAATAAAGTTTAGGTCGATTTTCTTGAAGCCATTTTAAATATAAAATCTCATATTGCGTTTCAATTCTACCTTGATAATTTTTTGACAACATTTTTAAAAATTTCAACTTTTCTTTTAATTTATACTTCTCTGCTTTAGAAAGTTGGCCAGTTTTATAGCATACAATAGGTCTATAAGATTTTCTTGATTTAAGAATTAAGTGCAATTTTGGAATGTCCCTTTTAAGAATGCTAAACTGTAATCTTTCCTGAAGATTAAAATTCCTTTTTCCTGTCTTTGGCATACCTTTGTGTTGATATTTAGCAATGATTTTAGCAAATACCAGTTCAGAGATTATTTTGTCATAAAAGCTTTGCCAGTGCTCTTTCTTAAAGAAATGAAGTTTATTGTCATTAGAATCAAATTTGCATGTAGTAACATAAAAGTTTAGACATATAATTGACGATAATATCTTTTCCAGTATCCATTGCACAATTTTATTAAGAATTTTACTTGATGCATGGGGCGGCAATGATTGCCATGGCTGTATAGAATAGTCCCATTTTTTTAGAAATTGTGTTAGTATTATATGTTGTCGATTCATACTGTAAATAGTTATGTGAATAAGTTGCTTCAATAAATTATAATTATGAACTCGACCAAAAAAGTTTTTTGGAATAATTTCTTCAAGCGCTCTCATACATCCTAGAAATACATACTCCTTGTCAATTGTGCCCAGGTAATCAGTATAAATTTGGTGCTGGAAGTATTGTTTAAATTCGTGTTTACTGCTATATTTCAAGTTTCGTCGTAACTCATCAATAAGGTCAAGAATTATTTCAGATGCTTCACTTATCAATGCTTGATCTTCAAGTACATGTTTTTCAAAAAAATACCCATCGCCATTCTTTAAGTATTTTAAATTTATAATATTACTAAAAGATCTTACATTTTGTTTATTTACAAAGCTATAGGCAAAACATATTGAAATATCCATAGTGCACAAAAATTAAGAGTTAAGAATTATTAGATATTAGAATTTATTGATAAAACATTTCAATTTCAGTTTAAAAACTTGAAATTTTGCGGTAACTTGTTTTAACATGTAACATACGTTCCGTTTTTACTGCTTGCCAGGTGCATTTAATAAAGCGGTCACATGTGGATAAATATAAAACACGGGTTTTGTTTACTTATTTCAATTAGAAAATCTGTCAGCCAACAAATTTTTATCAACAGTACTTTTAAAATATAAAAAAAAACGTATGTACACACGTAGGCATGTAAGCAATTAAGCATTTATATTTCTATAGCGTGACAAAATAAAAATATCTCCCGTTTGCCAGTTAGGTACTCTTTGTTTGTGAAAAGAATGTCTTTCTTTTGAATAATTTTGAATACAAAAATAGATAACGGTATAGATAGATAAGAATTTTAAATGTCAAAAATTTGGTAACGGTTGCCATAGGAACACCATGACGTTTGTGTCACGCATAATAAAAAATAAAAATGGTTAGAAGTCACTCATCATTATTCCCAAACGTGTCAAGAAATGTATAACTTCAAACATAAATTCGCTCTATTATGGAAATAGAAAATACTCTAACTTACTATAGAATAGAAATTGAAACTACTCACTAACTATCACAGGAAAAAGTATAACATGCAATGAAAAAAATATTTAAAGCGTATATATGACATAGCTATTTATACCACGAATTGAGATGCTTTTTTTGTTTTTTATAAACGTTGCCCTTATTAAACGTTTCCTTGAACAATATTGATCTCGATCTGAAGACAATAGACATTCTCTCAAATAAGGAAGAATGGATGGTCAGTTGTTCACTCAGTGCTAAACGTAGTGATTACATTCTCTTTGCTTTGCTCAGTGCAAGTTACTGTCAAGTGGCAAGGTGTCAAGTCAGATCTCTTATATTTTTTAGTTTATAGTTTGATTTTTGATTTAAAACATACAAAAAGGATATAAAACAATATACATCAAGACGCGGGAAGAACAGAAAGGGATAAGAATAGCAAGGATTAAAAACATGTGAAATGAATACCAGGTTCCTTAAAATAACTGAACGCTTTACATAATTCCAATATGAATGTTTGAAAATAGGTTATGTTTAATTTTCAGGTTGGGACAAATCGTTTGTATTATCGGTATACTATCTTTATCGTATAATAGTAAAGCTACTTGCAAATTATGAGTGAAAAACAAGTAGGATTATTATACAAGTTGGCTTCAACATTAACATCTAGAAATGACCAAGATAATGCTTGCACCCAACTATTGAGGAGTCATTATTTGTAAGGATGTAATTCACAAATTAATTTTTGCGATGCGATCATATTTCAAAATCTTAATAATATTTTCTTTTCACTTAAGGATGCGTTGTAAGGAAATCACAAAAGGATATGGATTACCAAGACAGCAATTTTCAAATAAAAATAGATGTTCCTTCTGTTGTTTAGAATGGACGAAGCAAACTGTGACAAAAGTAAAATGATTTTCTATATTAATCAATTGCGTAAGTTTAAAAAAAATTATCCACCTATTATGGAATTTTGTTTTACAAAAATAATTGTGTGATTTTAGGTTAAATCAAATAGAGTTAGTAAAAGACAAAGAAAACGTATAAGACAGAAGAAATGTCATAAAGATTTATTACATAGTAACAAAGTTGTAAGTAGAATCTGTCAATTTTTTTATGATCCTTAAGTAGTGTTGATTCTCATAATAATAGACGTCATATATTTTTAGGAACAAATCTGCACATTTTGTAAGCATCATAATGCACGGGCAGTGTTAAAACCAAGTGTGGAAACAAAAAAGGATATTAAACAATATGATAGTATTACTTCAGACACACATCTAAAAAACAGTTTGGTTAAAATAGAAAATTCCCTGCCTGTAAAAAACAGAATAGGAAAATTAAATGTATATAGCAAGACAAGAGAAATTTTTTCCTTAAGCAATGAGAATAATAGAATATCTAAAACTATTCATAATGAACCAAAAACCATCAAAAACAACAAAAAGAAAAAGGATAAATTTGCTGGTTTGTGCAAACAAGCAGTTTTGGCTACAGCTAAATTAAAAGAAAAGAAAGAAATACCAAATAAACTATCTTTATTTCTTAAACCATCTGCTTCATAAAATACTTGTTTTATTAAGCTTTTACTTAAAATTCATAAGGAAGAGCTTGTAAATATCTACTAAGATGTATATATATTATATAACCATAAAGGTCTTGCAACTGAGCAGAATTCCAATTGTAGGGAGTGCTTCCTCTGCTGAAGGAAAATCCAGATGACACTGTAGTCAAAGGGTGCATTAACATTACCATATATTTTTAAAATCTTATAACATGTAATGTATTCCAAGTTGGTTTCTTTTACATTTTTGAGGTGTAAGGTTGTGAATAATTATCTTGATCAATGACTAGTATTGATCTTTTTCACATAGGTATGCCTCAATCGCAACAATGCTGGATGTTGGTACTTTAACAAAAAAACGTTTAAGAAAAAATTGTAAATACATTACAATAAAAAAAAAAGATCATAAAACCATGTTAATCATTTTGTTTTGACCGGATTCTCATGAGAATTGATTATGGTCAACTTTGGAGGGCTGTAACAGCATTTTAAATTAATGAAATGGAAAAAAATTATTATTGGTCTGAGGTAATTTTGTTGTAAAATTTATAAAAATAGGAAAAAAGAAAATTTTTATAGAAATGTTCTCACTTTTTGCTTATAACTTCTTTAATTTTAAATTTAGGGCAAAAAGTTATATGAACATATTTGTAGGCAAGGCGATCTGCTACAAATTATGTCCTAAGGAATTTTTTGGAGGACGCATAGTTTCCGAGATTTCGCTAAAAAGGTGTTTGCACCCCTTTTTCCAAGATGGCGGCTGGGGGTCAAGGGCGGCAAACCCAAACTTGAGGTTAAGCTTCTATTGACCCCCAAACATAACCCAAAATAAAATTGCCTCCTCTAAAATAAATGTAAAGCTCACGTAACACTATGGACTATTAGTATTACAGAAACGTAAGATTTACTATTTGACAGTGTAATTTTACTACTTTGGCATTTATTTATATTAAACTATAAAGTGTTTTCTTTTTTCCGTGTGTATCAAGCCAACTTATTTACAGATATATAGACATTTACAGATAGATTAAATGTGTAGGATATATTATATACACAGCACAGAATAGGATTAAAAATAAAAAATATGTATAAAAATGAAAATCAAATATATTGTTACATTTGTGCCCCCCCCCCCCCCCCCCCCCCCCCCCCTTAGATTCGGGCCGATCTCTTTATTAAAATTAAATGTATGTCCATTACATTGGTATTGGTGTGCCCAGTGATTACATGAAGCTCACCTTTTTTGAATTTCTTATAAAAATTGTATGAGTCATTATTTCCAATATAAAAATTGACATCAAGATTTTCTTGTTGTGATTCGGAAATTAAGTCAAGGTACCCTATAGCACCAGCAGCATCAGTTGGTCCGTCAATACCATCGGTACCAGCACTAAGGAAATGTATTGTAAAGTTGTTTAGACTTTGTTTAATATTATGCAAGGAACTTGAGAACTCTAGCGCTAGCTGCTGATTTCTACCCCCTTTGCCAGTTCCATTAACTTCAACAGTGATTTCTCCCCCAAGTATTACACAAAGATCTTTTAAATATATGAATTCATCTAAAGTATCTACAAAATTATTAGAAATTCCAGGTACATTGAGATTGCTAACAACATTTTTCAATGAAATTTTATCAATTTTTTTATTTAAAAAATCACAAAAAGTTTTAGTTAGATAGGCATATTCATTTGCAATCTGTTTAACATTACCAGTAACAATGTTGGAAAGTTCTATTGGTTCATAATTTAGACTCATTGCTTGTTCACATGCAGCATTGGTGCATATCTTATTGGAGCCTATAATAATATTTTTTACAGTGTTCTTAGGAAATACTTTTAAACCATCATTTTGATTTAAAACTGTTAAAATAGAAAGAGGAATATTTTCAATTAGATTATACTTTTTAATAATGTTTAATGCATCTAATGGATGGTCATTATTTTCTGTAGTAGGCCCACTAGCAATTAAGTCCAAAGGATCCCCTACAATATCCGAAAGTATCAATGCAATAGTCTGCACATTGTTACTCTTTATAGCCAACTGACCACCTTTAAGGCCAGATATTTTTTTTCTAACAGTATTCAACTCTATAATATCTGCACCAGAGTGGGCTAGTTTCTTTATCAACATTGTTTTTTCTTCAAGACTAATTGGTTCCTTTGGTAAAGGTAGTAAAGCAGACCCACCACCAGATATTAAAACTATAAGAAAATCATCTTTTCTTAAGTTTTTAACAAGATCATCAACTTTTTTAGCTGTAGTCATTGCATCATTATCTGGCAAATTGTTTTTGGCACCTTCATAAAAAAACATATTTGTGTTTTGATAAGTTATTTTCATGCTCCCCTTTGGTATGCTTATTATTCCTTTTTTAATTTTTGAACCAAAGATTTTTTCCACTTCAATAGCCATATTTTGTGCAGCTTTTCCAGTGCCAACAACATAAACATTTTTATTTTTTAAGTCATATGTTTCATCATTAATAATCATTTGCTGGGATTTCGGACTATAGCTGAGACAGTTTTTCACGAGATTCTCCGGCAACACTGCATTCACACTGCTTTTAAATATTTTCAATAAATCACTTATTAATTTTGCCATAACAGTAATGTCTTGATATAAATTGTATTAATACTTTATTTGAAGGGTACGGAATTACTGTTATCATGTTAAAAAACTTAATGCTACATTAATTTAACCTTATACCTTATACGATAACGTATTTTGATAAGATAGTACTATCGCAGAACAGAAAAAATTGGATAATTTTTTTAATTTTGCGGATGGAAGTATGTGAATTTTTAGTCGGCATTAATAATGTTTGTTTGGAGACCAAATAAAAAACTAGAAATTATAATCGAAATAAAAAATATATATCTTTTTAATGCTGTTGCTGTCACAGTCAATGTTGCACAGTGAGTACTTTGGTTGGTATAGGAAAAATGCAATGTTGTCAAGTCAAGTTAAATCAAACAATAACAACCAATAACCAAACAATTCAAATATAAGTAAATACTCTCTATGTAAAACAGAAGTATTCTCTGTGACAAAATCAAAATCTTTTGTTCTGAGTTTCTTTTACCTGTTTCTTCTTCGTTATAGGAACCTCATTACGGGACGGTGTAGATTTAAAAATAATGTTTATCGATAGATGAAATGTATGTTTCTTATTTCAATGATGAAATGATTTTGAACCCCCATCATATTCCACCCATGGCGCATATTACTGTGCTCACAAGAACGCCTGTCGGTATCTATCCTGCACCTCTTCGGTCCCACCATCTTTCATGACCCCAACAACCTTGCGGTTATAACGGCGAACTCGTGGGGGGTATTCCGTACTCATAGTCTGGGCGCGAGGTTCTGCGTGCGCCTTCTTAACTCCCTGTAAATTTTTTACTACACCTTGTCCTCATGACGAACTCTCATCCTCTAGGGCTTGTCAGTACAGAAACGTTGTACTTTCTGTTTGCCAAGAATGCATAGCCGCCATGTATTTTCAGCATATGCCAGTGCAATGAGTGAGTAATCCTCCGTACCTTCCCAGAGTTATTCTCCAAGGAAAGGAGATCAGAATAGTATACCAGGCCGTGCCCTGAATGATCTCGGACCGTGCATCTTAGACTATGCTGCCAGTAAATAATTTAAATGACCCAGAATGTGATATATGAATTTATTATTCCGTTGCTGTGCTACAACCCATTGCACCGCAAGAACTCAGCGAATTTGCCTCGTAGGGGTCAATGATCATTGACGCTCTACCACGAGGTTCGTTATTTATAGCTTTCATCCGATATTGCCATGTGCCACGCCATTTTTAAATCATTAACGATGTGTTTTTATTCATTATTCAATAGCGAGTCTGCATACGATTTATCGCTCGTTGCAAAATTATCAGGCAAAAAGCCAGTATTTTGAGCTTACAGTCTGTTAGAAGAAAAAAAAAACGCGCCAAAAAGTTTTATTCAACAGTTTTTTGACAGTTAAATAGAACTTTGTGAAATTCTGGAAAATAAAAACTTGTTTCCAGGAACGTATTAATAAACGCGAAAGTCTTGTTTTTAGTGTAAATATGTAACAAATTTTACTACTATCACTTTGTCTATGTGTACAGTGTTTTTAAAATTTAGCTATAGGTACTTAAGCATTACGGATATATAATTGCCGGGCAATATAGCAAGCATTTTGTATTGAAAATAATTATTTAAGCACTTCACACAATTCAGACAATCGTAGGAAATAGTGTGATATTATAAATCATGGATGTAGCCGACACATACGCTACTCAAAAACAAGTTAAAGACGAGGTAGGCGTGCGTTGCCAAAAGTTATTTCAAGACTTTTTAGAGGAGTGAGTATTGTTAAACCTTAAAGCTTTAGATGATGACAGTTGTTTAAATTTATTGTTTATTATTTTTATCTTCTAAGTATTAAGTGATCAGTCATAAACATGATCGATTTAATAAAACTATCATAACCTCATTGGTAGTAAAATTAACAAATTACATTGTGCTATTTTTTTTTATTATTTCAGGTTCAAAGAGGATAATGAATTAAAATATGAAAAACAAGCAAAAGAGTTGCTAAAACCTGAATTGAGTACATTAGAAGTCAGTTTTGATGATGTAGAAAAATATAATCAAAATCTAGCAACAACTATAATTGAGAGTATTACAGGATATATCCTTATCTCAATCAAGCTATATTGAACTATGTCCTGAGTTTAGCTGATACTGGTATGAAAAAGGACTTGCAGGATAAAGAATGCTATGTTTCTTTTGTAGATGTCCCAACAAGGCATAAAGTTAGGGAACTAACCACTGCCAAGATAGGAACACTGATCAGAATTTCAGGTCAAATTGTCAGGACTCACCCTGTACATCCTGAGCTTGTTTTAGGAACATTTGTTTGTCTAGATTGCCAAACTGTTGTCAAAAATGTTGAACAACAATTTAAGGTATTATATGTATATTGTATTTTAAAACCATTGACTGTATTAATAAGTGTTTAAAATGGACAACAGGCATTTAACAACCATTCTGATAGTTAAGTTATATGTTTCTTACAAAAGAGTTTATATGGACAGTGTTGTTGCTATCCGGTTCAGCTCACCTTGGATGGGTGTTTATGGGTTTGATTCTCCCATAGGACAATATTTGTATTTAATCCCCAAATTATTTCTCAGTGAATGCTGTGTCAATGATATATATATTTATAAATTCTTTCAAATAATATACTATGTAACTTGTACAATAGATTAGGTGACATCTAAAACAATTAAGTGTAAATAATTTTAAATATTTTGTTAAAAGCCACCTTAATGGAAAGGGTCTATTATAATGTCGAGGAATATTTTGAGGATAAGGATGTGTGGAAATGACTTCTGCTCCGCACTTGCAAGTCCCCTGGCTCCTACAAATTTTGTGCTTAAATACTTTTGTAATTAAATAATTATTTGTATATTAATAATTTATATTAAAAAAAGTTATAATGTTTCCACAGAGTTTCTTGCCGGTTCTTCTCTTGCAGGTATATTTTAAGTGAACCGGTGGTAGTTTTTGACGTTCAATAAAAAAGTCTATATCAACTTACAGAACCACATTGAAGATTTGTGTTATAAAATGCTATATAAAAGCTACAGTTGATTTGGATGAAACTATAGTTAACTTTAAATTATGGTCTGTAAAATGATAATGATTGTGTGAATATAAAGAAAAAAAAATTGGCCATATGCGAGTTACTCACCCTTTTTAGCACAATATAAAACATTTAGACGGAGCCACAGGCGAATAGCTAGTTCACATATGTTTTGCATTTCAGTACACAATACCAACAATCTGTAGAAATCCAGTATGCGCTAATCGCCGCAGATTCATGCTTGATGCAGACAAATCAGTATTTGTTGATTTTCAAAAAATTAGAATTCAAGAGACACAGGCAGAGCTACCTCGTGGTTGTATACCAAGGTCCCTTGAAGTCATATTAAGGGCTGAAGCAGTGGAATCTGTGCAGGTTATTACAATTCTTTTATATTATTCCTTTTTAAATACATATACATACTCTAAATTAGTTAAGGGCTTATTTAAAGTTAATTTTCAAGAGGAGGATATCAACGTGCAAATTATTTTAAGTTGTGTAACAAAAACATTTGTATTACAGGCAGGCGACCGTTATGACTTTACGGGCACACTTATAGTTGTTCCTGATGTAGGTTCATTATCATTCCCCGGTGCCAAAGCTGAGATAACTTCAAGAACGCGACATGCAAATGAAGGACAGATGGAGGGAATCAAGGGGCTTAAAGCATTAGGTGTTCGGGAACTACATTACAAGTAAACCCATTTATTGTTACTAAATTTCTTTCATATTGGAGAATATTTATAGGATGTCAGTTCACAAGAGTTTACAAGTTAGACAGACACATTGTTTTGATAGAAAATGCAATTTTACTACTAACTTGCTTATTCTACTTATATATGTCACTCAAGACTTTTTTTTATTGGTATTACACTCTCATGAACATAATAATATTCTTTTTTAAAAAACAATGTAATAAGAGTGAAGCATTAGTGGTTATCGGTCATATTTATCACTGTCCCTTACAGAACTTACCCTCCAAACTAAAATTCTGGAACTGTTGGAACTGTACACAAAAAAAATACTTTCAGGACTGCATTCCTTGCATGTAGTGTGCAAGCCATATCACGTCGATTTGGTACTGCCGAGCTTGCCACTGATGACCTCACTACTGAGGACATGAGGAAACAGATGACAGATAAAGAATGGGACAAGGTAAATTAATTAGCTGTTATACATCAAATCTATTATATTTTTGGCCCTTAAGTTTTTTTTATAAATAAACTTTGTTGTAAATTGTTGCATTAACTGATGCACCTGTTACTTTTGGTGAATGGTGATGCTAAACTTAGTTACACTGCACAGCGATAAGGCTGCCAAATTGTCCATTCTATTAATTTGTTTGTCTATTGTTAATTTTGTGTATCCTTTTATGTGTGGTGGAAAATAAAGTATTCATTCATTCATTCTTTCATTATAAAATGAATATTCCAAGTTCCCATTATTATTTTTTAAATAAAAAAAAAATTTTTTTTTTCATTGCTTATACTATTCATCTAATAACTCTGAGGCACTATTGCTAAGCTATTGGCTTCGGCGTCGGTGGACTCGATTCCTTCATGGAACAACAGATCCATGTGTTTGTTTTCCAACTAGGGTTGTTGTCAGGCTGGCGGCCGGTCTTAAAAATATAATCAAAACCGCTTACAACATGATTCACATGTTGAGCCGATCACACCTAGGTGGGATAAGGGCAGAAGGATGATGATCATTCATTTAGTGCTTATTTCTGCTTCAGGTATATGAAATGTCCAGAGATCGAAACCTATACAACAACTTAATAACAAGTCTATTCCCGAGTATCCATGGAAACAATGAGGTGAAGAGAGGGATACTTTTGATGCTGTTCGGAGGCGTCGCTAAAACCACTGTTGAAGGCACGTAATTTTTGTTAGTTAAGTATGCTGGGTAAAGGCTCCTATGGAAATTAGGGCATAGTCCACCTCATGATCTCACTATGGAGTGGAAGATCTCTAATTTATACCCAAACAAGTTTGGGTATACAAACAGCTAAATATTTAAAAATAAAATAATAAATTCAATCAGTAACTAGTACTAAGAAAAATATGTTTTGAAATACCTATTAATTTATTGTTATATATACACCTATTGTTAAGGTTATAAAAGATTGGCTTTAAAATAAATTTCCTACACATCATCATCCCTATTTCTCAACTAATTCATTATTTTAAGTGATAATTTCTTATTATTGAATGTATATGATAATTTCGTTGATATATGATAAGTGTTTGACACGTCGAGAAACAAAGTTAAAACAGTTTTGTTTACATTGTCAATGCTTTATTTCTTAGGAACAACCCTTCGTGGCGACATCAATGTGTGTATAGTAGGCGATCCCAGTACGGCTAAGTCGCAGCTGTTGAAGCAAGTGAGCGAAATAACGCCACGCGCTGTTTACACTAGTGGGAAGGCGTCATCGGCTGCCGGTTTGACCGCCGCCGTAGTTAAGGTAAACAATTAATGTATTCTTTATTGCACAGCAAATAAATTGCGGCGCATCACAAGTGACATTCAATATACGGCGAAACGGTGATTGAGCAGGTTAAGTTCCAAGTTATCAGTATAGCCAGCGAAAAAGGAATAGAACAGTTCTGAAAAGAACCCTTTCAACTTATCAGAGTAGCCCTAAAAAGGATTCTGAGAAAAAAAATTGCAGTAGCCCTGAGAGGTGCACGTACAACGTACGACATGAATACTTAATCTTCATCCTATATTTCTATCTACAAGTCTGCAATTTAAGCCTTAAGGCGCTGTATGCAGTGAATTTTTAACTATTTGGGTGGTGAAGTATGAGGAAGCGGAGGAGGGGCGAATTTTTGCAGAAATTACGAATTATTTATTAATTTTTGCGGAAATATTAGAACGAATACAACTTTTTTTATTACGTTTTTTTATATATTAGGAATTTTAATTTATCCCTTAAATGTTCAAGATTTACTATGTTGTGTTACTTTCTCAACTAGAATGAAATTTAAAAAACTATCGATAAAATCTTTATTTGTATTGCATTTGTAAATTTTATTTGTTCTTAGCCTGCTATACTTACATATGGCTGCCAAGTATCATATTTAAGTACTTACATGGGCTTCATCTAAGGGAAATCTCTCCATAAACATCCTTTTTTCAAGATTCTAATGACTTGCTCGATTTTCACCAATTTCGCAGGTAACAAAATGTCTTTTAGGCATTTTACAATGAAATAAGCATTTACGAAATTAAGTTTTGACAAACAACATGGTACTTCTTGTATTGCAAGAAAGAGAAACCGCATTGAGGGAGAGTGATAGCAATATCCGCCATTATTTGCCGCGTAAAGTCCATAGAAAAATTTTTTGTTCCTAGTTTTGGCCATCACGTTCGAATTAATTTTAATGAATTAAATTAATATTTACAAATATCTTACTTCAATCAACAAATTAAAACAACAATCCTTTTTATTAATATATTCTACACCACTGATATTAATTTCATTAAGATTTGTTCATGTATTACGTTCATTTTTGGAATTGAATTTCTGTTTAGAGGTGGTTTCATGGTTTTTTTCTATCGAGAATATGTTTTGAAAACAATGGTCCATTAGAATGTACGATCAAGGTTAACAGTATATTTTTTTTTTGCTGCTATAAAATGTGTAGATTTTGCTAAAAAATCTTTTGAAAAACCTATTTTTACTGCATACAGCGCCTTAAATGCGCACGTCTTCACCCGAGGGCGGCCGTAGCGTAAAAAGGATCCATTTAAACGCACAGTCCACCTATTTGTTATGAAAGCAACAAGGATCACAGTTCCAAGTAATGAGATTTTACTAGTTTTTTAAAATTAACAATTTTATTGGCCAGCACGGCATTTAAATTCAAGTTGCTTGAGTATCAAGTTGTAAAAGCGAGCGCCCGGATACCGAGTTAGCGATAAATCAGAATAATTTTTTACTATTAATAAAGTCGAAGTCACAATTAAAATTTGTAGAAAAGTAATTAAGTGCTGAGATTAGCACTATAAAAAATTATAATTTCTAAAAAGTCAAAATTGCTTTATTCCTGTTTAATTTTTTCTTATCAAGAGAAGATCTTTGTTTTAAGCTCTTATCAATCGCGTTTGTCTCGCATTCACGCCAAAACTATCAAACCGATTTAAATGAAATTTGGTACACAGATAGTCAAGAGCCTGAGAAAGGACATAGGCTATTTCTAATTGGATTTTTTTTTAAAAGAAAGATATTTATTTAAGGTCTTCAACGCGAGTGAACCGCGGGCGAAAAGCTAGTATTGTGTAAATAGAATGAATATTGACAGGATGAGGAATCCTTCGACTTCGTGATCGAAGCTGGTGCGCTTATGTTGGCCGACAACGGCGTGTGCTGCATCGACGAGTTCGACAAGATGGACCCCGGCGACCAGGTAGCCATCCACGAGGCCATGGAGCAACAGACCATCTCTATCGCTAAGGTGAGAATATCCCCTATATCTCTTTACGAGGCGTGAATGAATAGGCGTCTAAGAAGACAAGCTACGAAAATCTTGATGCATCATTAATTTAGTGGAATCATATGATAATCCAGTTCTTTTCGAAATGAAATTGTTCATCTTGGATTAAAAGTAGAATGCAATTATTGAGTTGTAAGTTATTTGCGATTTTAATATAATACAATTTCAATTATAATACATTTAACTTATGTGATTTGAAGAGAACACAAACTGGCAATTTTATAATAGAGAAATTATACATGTGTTCTAGAAGTTGATGTCAAGAAGACGGAATTGAGTCGTCACAGTTAACAGAAAACCATAAAAAGATAGCCTTGCTAAGTACTTTAAAAACTACAGCCATTTATAAAAAAAAATCAAGATAATCCATGTCCTGTGTCGTTTTTTAACTCCTGTTGCTACAAATTTTAACTATAAAATTAACGTCTGATAACACAATCGCCGAGCATACCTTGCGAGTGATGCAAAGTTAGAAAAGCCCTACAGTTACATGGAGAACTTTTCATATAAATTAATCAAAAACTAACAAATTATTTTTAGGCTGGGGTCAGAGCAACACTTAATGCTAGGACATCAATATTAGCCGCTGCCAACCCCGTTGGAGGCCGCTACGACCGCGCCAAGTCTTTGCAGCAGAACGTAGCTCTGAGTGCTCCAATCATGTCCCGTTTTGACCTGTTCTTCATACTGATCGACGAGAGCAGCGAAATGGTTGACTACGCTATTGCCAGGAAAATAGTGGACTTGCATTGTAACAAAGAAGAAACCTACGATTGTGTGTACTCGAGGGATGACTTGCTGAGATATATCGCTTTCGCGAGGTCCTTCAAGCCTATCATAACTGAGGTTTGTAATACTTTTTTTTGATACATTATTAAAAAAAGATTCAATTGTTTTGAATGTAAAAAATGCTTTGCGCTTCTAAAGGATGTACATCGAGTAGTAGTAAATATTTAAAACCTAAGGTTCATAAGGTATCTTATAATTTGCACATTAGTTTCAATTAAAATCATATTACACATTTTGTAATTGAATTTGCATATGCTGTAGCTTTAAAATGTTATTTTCGTATAATCGACCCCGGCTACCGTCAATTATTTTGTTTAACTATGACATCAAGACGTATAACAACTTAGTCTGTCCCGTGACCATCGAAACTTCGGCAGTTATAATACGCGATAAACTCCGTGAAATAGTTTCATTTAATATGTACAATATTCGCGTAAAATCAAGAAAAAAATATGTGAGTAAAGTAAAATAAATGATGACAATAGTGATTGTCGCAGGAGGCGGGCAAGTTGCTGGTGGAGTACTACGCGGCGCTGCGGTCGCGCGACGGCGGCGGCGCCAGCGGCGGCGGCGCCTGGCGCATCACGGTGCGCCAGCTCGAGTCGATGGTGCGGCTCGCCGAGGCGATGGCCAAGATGCACTGCAGCGGCCGCGTCTCCACCGCCCACGTGCACGAGGCTTACAGGTGGACGGCGCCCCCCACTAACGTCCCGACCTCGATGATCATTATTGTATATGTCTGCGTAGAATAGGCTGAAGGCGTAATATTCGGACAGAAAGATATATATCTTTCTGTCATGAAATATGTATATAAATTATAGCCTATGTTTTATTCTGATGTACAAGCTATATTATTGTAAAGTTTCATTAAAATCCATTCAGTAGTATTTGCGTGAAAGGGTAACAGACATCCATCGATACATACAATCTTTCGCGTTTATAATATTAGTAAGGATGAGTTCGAAGTTAGATATGACACTAGCGCACCGAAATTGGGGCACTTGAATTACACCAATTGGTGTGATTACATTGTTTCCGTGTAATATTGGCCAAGATGCACTGCAGCGGCAGCGTCTCCACGAACCACGTGCCCGAGGCTTACATGTGGACGGTGCTTCCCATTCTAACGTCACAACCCGACGTCGGTGATATTATATACAAATGCGAGTTTATATACGACGGTTATAGCTCAGAGAACCGATGGCCGTTGGAGCAGAAAGTTTCTTGAGTGGAGACCACGTCGGCGCAGCGTAGGAAGGCCTCCCACAAGGTGGACGGACGACCTGGTAAAGATCGCAGTGACGCGTTGGATGCAGGCCGCTAACGACCGGTCGAAGTGGAAGTCAATGGGGGAGGCCTATGTTCAGCAGGGGACGTCCTACGGCCGATATGATGATGATGATGATACGAGGCATTCGACGGCACTCGAATTACACCAATTGGTGTTATTAAATTGCATCTCTTTCAGTGTCATACATTCTATATTATCTCTCACATTCACTTAAATTTATGTTGTATAATGTGAAGCGGAACAACTTTTAAACGCCGCGAAGTTTGGTCATCTCACGCGTCATCTTAATCAAAACGTCGTTGCCCGAAGTAAAAAGTGGGGTGTTATAAGTTTGACGTGTCTGTCTGTGACTGTATCTGTGCGTCTGTCTGTGGCATTGTATCTTTTAAACGAATGGACTGATTACGGTGCGGTTGTTTTTGTTTGAATGCCGACGCGTCCGAGATGGTCCTTAGCAAGAATTTACGAAGATCTGTGTAAACGTGAAATAATCATCAGCTCATGAATTGTTACTTAACAAAATAGGTCGTACTAACCTTCACAGATTCGATTGATTTGTAATTTGGTGTATTGCTACTTTTTTGGTATTTCGAAGTCATGCTAACCTTGAACTGATGCTATAGCATCTAATAGTCTGCGGAACATTCAATTCCTAGGAAATTTACAGCAGATAGTGTGGTTGGAGACTCATAGGAATAGTCGCAATGAGAAGGTGTTAGATAGATGATAATCAAGGTCATGTGGTAATAATAGACATGCGAAGAAGCATGCAACATGCTGCATGCATGGATTCTGTCAAGGCTCCGGTGCTGTTTTTTTTACTTTTTAGTTTTTTTTGTGTTGAGAGTTTATCTAAAATTTTATATTGTTGAAGTAAATAGTTTTACTTTAGAGGCAGCGCCAAAAAACAATAGCTTCTTTGTTGCACGAATGGGCATGTTGTCTGGGAAAGTAACAGTGGTAATCACTTAACATCGTGTGATCCACCCGCTCCCTTGCCATCTTTTTGCATTAAAAAAACGGTCGATTTTATGCAATAAATCTAGACAATAATCTAGATGATTTTTTAACATATTTTAAGTTCCTATATGTAATAAGTTGTTGATAACTATCCAAGATTAAAAAATCTTATTTTAACCCTATTTTTCGACAGATTACTAAATAAATCAATAATTCGCGTGGAGCAACCTGACATCCATCTTGATGAAGATGAGCCACAATATGAACCCATGATGGATGTTGACCAAGAAACACCTGAAGGCAGTGCAGGTATTAACTCTAAACATTTTACTTTATCTGTGGAATCTCGCAGCTTAGCTTCTAAGTGGTTTTAGATAACTTTTTATACTTTTGCTCTATATCTGAGTGAGATAACTGGTTGGCCTCCTAAAGGTTGGCAAGGTAATTGCCACCACTTGGGTTATGTGGATGAGCATGTGAATATGTCATGAACATTAGAACTACTTCCTTGTAAACATCTTTAAAATTAGTTGATATTAGTGCAATTTACTGCTTTTAATTAGTACTAAACCTAAAGTACTAATTTGTAGTTACAAAATGTGTTATGTGGCCAATGTTGCATTTCATTGCAACATACATCCAGCCATGCACAGTCGAAGATAATAATAGATCCACAAAACTCCAATTCAATTCAAACAGGCGGTTGTCTCAAATTACAAGAACCAGCAAATGAACTTAATAACTTTTTCATTCGTCTTTTCGAACAGGCTAAGGTTTATAGATCATGCTGCTGCCTAGTCTTCAGAAAAACAAGAATTTAGACAAAGTGATGAAATCACCCGTTACAAATTTTAATTATGCAAATTAATAAAATTAAAATATTGCTTGCAGAAAAGACAGTAAATGGAGATACGGCGCCGAAGAAGAAGCTGACATTGTCGTTTGAAGAATACAAATCCCTCAGTGACATGCTGGTTGTGTTCATGAGAAAAGAAGAGGCAGATGCCGAAACTAGAGGTAAGAATAACGTTTTTTTTTTTAATTTACAGCTAAGTATATATGATATAAATAAGACATACAAATGATTATAATTATGATATATGACATTTAAAAAGTTACTAGTACAGCAAAGAGTTGACATAGTTGATCATCATGTAGAAACTCAAAATAAACTACCATCTCAAATATACCGATATTGTCAAAACTGTTCCAAAAGAAAAGTTTGTGCCTTTAATTGCAGTCATATTGTCTACAGGTGAAGAGAGTGCTGGCATGCGAAAAAGCTCTGTTGTCAATTGGTATTTGGAACAGTTGGTGACACAAGGGCAAATAGAAAATGAAGATGAACTACTTGAGAGAAAAATACTAGTGGAGAAGGTTATTGATAGGCTTATGTATCATGTAAGTATATCTTTTTTGGAATATACTCCTCCTTTTTATCTCTGCCAAGAAAGTGATTTGGAATAAATGATAAACAATGCGATTCAAACAATAGTAGGACTGATCCCGCGCCATCTTGTGCCAAAAAGTTTTAATCCGAATCTTGCTCTTCAATTCGGTTAATTTTTGTATCACTGTCTGAGAAATCATCATTGTCAACATCATCGCCCTTATAAAAGTAGATGATGTATTAAATTAAATAATTTGACTGTTATTTAAACTGTTACTAATCAGCAAATTAGGGGATTGATTTATCATACAAATTTTTAAATTCAAATTTTGTGTGCAGTGCTGAAAAGGCTGGAAGCAATAAACAAATGTCTGCTGTCGCTCTTTTTGAAAATTGGGCTCCGGCTACTTCACTCACCAGACGAAACGCGAAAGTATTTGTCATACTTCCACTTTACGCTGGTCTTCTGTGAGGTTGTGGTACTTACCCGGACGGGCTTGCCCATTCGTGCAACAGCTGAGGCTGCTGCGTGGCCTTGCCACCACTCTTATATGAGTATAACACTCATGTTGCGTTTGTTTTGTCGTTTGCGTATGATTGTATGAGCTTTTGCTTTACTTTCGTCTTGTGACTATTTTTTTTTAACAAAAAGTACTATGGCCACGCAGCAATCTTTGCTGTTGCACGAATGGGCAGCTCCGTCCGGGTAAATACCACGACCTCACAGAAAATCTGCGTGAAGTGGAAGTGTATATTTCTGCGTTTCATCTGGTGAGTGACATAGCCGGGTCCCGCTTTATTAAAAAGTGGCAACACATCTGCAACCCTACGAGTCTTGCAAATTTGCATAGGCGATGGTTTTAGAAAAAAAATTGCTGAAGTATTTCTTACGTCAATATCGGCGCTGGCAGTGTTTTACCGACCAACTGAAAGACGATAATTTGGAATATATTATTAAACTTACGTACTAAGATTGTTTTACCAGATAATAAGAAACTAGTTTTCAATAGTGCCCCTATTAATACTAAGATTATAGTAAAAGTGTAGTCTAAGTCATTGACGTTCCTATTCTTACGATTGGGTTTATAAATGTTTGTGGTTGTAATGTATGCTTGCAATCATTTAATATTATTGCATGGCACAAATATTGAGGTTGTATATAGAACCTGTAGTGTAAATAGTAAGACAAATCTTTATTTTTAGGATCAAGTAATAATTCCACTGTCTACTACTGGTCTCAAGGCAACACAGAAATCATCAGATCAGGAAATAGAAGATGATCCCCTGTTGGTTGTCCATCCAAACTATGTTGTAGATACTTAACATTAATGTAAGCTGGTCTTTTTACAAAATAACATTTTGATTTTAATTTTGATCTTTTATTCAGAATGTCAAATATTTTAAATAATAAAAACATTTGGTGTATAATAGCAGTGATATCTCAGGTGCTCGCTTTTAATTCAATATACTTGAGCAACCTGATTTGCAAGTTATAAGATCATTAGGAAGTTAAAGAGGTGATGGCAAATTTGCGGTTCGTCGATGGATGCGGGTGGCTCAGGATCATACTTCGTGGCAGTCTATGGGGAGGCCTATGTTCAGCGGTGGACTCAAACAGATGATGATGAGCAACCTGACTTCAAATCCCTGTGCCATCAGCAATAAAATTGTTGATTACAACAATTGCAGACTTATCATCTGCTGAGCAATGAAGACAACATCGTTATGTAACCTTTTATTTTCGAAATACCGTAATAAAAAAATATTTCGAAGATATGTGAAGTCTGCCAATCTGCAGTAGGGTTTGTATGTTTGACTATTCCCTAATACCCTCTGTACTCAGGCGGGTTTGCCCAGTAATGGGATATACAGGCTGTTACTTTACTTATACGTAATACACTGAATTTGTCCCAAATATTTTGAAACAATATCGCACCTTAACTACTGCAGTACTGAGTATAATAAGGCAAAGTTATCCTCAATACAGAGCAAAGTAATGAATAATAATTTAGGTAAATAATTAACGTTTATTTAAATTAACATCTTTCAAATACTTTGTAGAGATCACTTAAATTAGCAATTTGTAAAATGACACCATTGCTTAAAAAACTAGTAGGTGGCAAGAAGTTTCTTCTTATTGCCGGAAATATGACATGCTCTTGTTTCCACTCTTCAGCCTTTTGAGCTTCAACAGTGCTATCTGGATTTGGTTGTGAGTAAAATATTGCGGTCTGACGACTGAATGTCTCAAAGCAGTCCTTTTCAGCTTCCCAGTTCACTTCTGTTACTAAGCGCACAAGATAAGTAGGTAACGCACCCATAAAGGGAGTGTGGCCATCTAAAATGTAAAAAATAACATATAAAGATATAAAATACGATAGTTTATATAATCAACTATTGATAGACTATTGTATTTTGTGTTAAATTCATATTATTAATTGATCTCACAAACAAGCTTTGATTAAAGTTCTTTTTTGTAAAAGAGCATCTTAACTAAGCATTGGTTTCAGTTTTCTTGGACATAGTAACTTAAAAAAGGACGTGTGTACTTATAAATAAATAAATTATGTACGCACGTAAGAAGTTCTTAGAATAAGAATACTTCTTTAGCGTAAACACATTAAATGCAATTGATAATGGTTTATTTGAAAAACTTGGAATTATTGGTAAATGTCAAAAAGTTGTAATTGCCAAGATGGAATTGGTTACCAAACATCATGTCGCTTTTTGATGGTTGGCGTGTGCGCGCATCGTAAAAATTTACTCATAATTTTTCTAAACGCGCCAAAAAAGTATACCTTCAAAAATATTCTAATTTATTGAGGTAGCACAGCGCACTTAAAATAAGGATTTTTATTCATCTGTCTACAAAAATTTTATCTTGAATGAAGACGTAAGCAGTAAAATTAATACTAAAGGTCACTTTGATAATTTCCTCATTACAGCAGTCACGGCCTTGAGTAGTAAGGGCGACTGATTTGAGAATTGCGGCGATTCGGTTTATCCAACTCCCCAAATTCACTACGACCAAAGTCATCAAAAATATTTGTCAAGTAGCTGACAAAATTATTATTCAAGAAAAGTCTATGACTTTCAGTTTCATTCAGAATTCATCAGGTGATTTCAACAAATTGGAAAGTTTATAGAACTGAAAGTGAACATATGGACAACAAAATCGCGTCGTACTTGACATTCCTCTAGTGCACTCGCTCTACAAGACAACACACCATTCAACCAGAGAGTGATTCAGCTCATTTCCATTTTATTACGAATTGGATAACATTTTATGTGGTATTTCTTTTTAAACTTCTAAATGAAATACGTTTTTCTACCGATTTCCATCAAAAGGATTTCAAAGTAGATGCATTCATGAACTTCCACCAAAACATTAACAGTGAGTCAACAATAATGGCCAATACCACCGATAATTATGTACACTAAAAATAGAAATAAAAGTTATCACAGTAGGTACCTAGTAACAGGGGCAGTGCTAATAAATCACCGTCGTTGCTAATTTCGAATGAGAAATACTCAAATAGCATCTCCTTTTTGCTAACCAACAATTTGGTCATCTGTTGGGCCATTTCTCTCATGTCACCTGAAAAAAATGTCAGCGAGACTATAATTATATAAATACGGTATGGTATTTCAAAAACACAATTATTTATCACACTCAGAAATGACATCAGTTCGCGACACCACCACCCTCCATGCGCTCGTGAAGTTAGTGGTGTCATTCCCACAGGACCGCAAATTCGTCGTGTGCTTCGAGGGAGCCGAATCGGCGGTACGATGTATCAAAGCCGGTGTACCCCAAGGTAGTTGTCTGTCGCCGCACCTGTATACGGTGTACACAAACGACATTTTCGTCTTGGAGCATAACGCCTCCGACTGGGATGAAGACGCACTGTTGGCCCTGTACGCGGACGGCAGTGCGTTCTTCACGTCTACACACGGCGCGGCGTGAGCGGCGAAGAAGATGCTGCGTCAACTGGACCAGCTGCCCGAGTGGGGGATGTCTGTCAACGTCGACAAGACGTCCGGCATCTAAATTCGCCACATCATCATGAAACCCACGCTTGAGCTGCGAGGTCAAGCGATTACTAACTAGAACACCAGGTACCTTCGCTGCCGGATAGACCCCAGGAAGCCAGGGCAGCTTGAGCCATGCTATACCCTATTCTGGCATTTAAACTACGCTAGTCCGCTCGCGCTTGACCTACGCCGCTAGGGCGTGGTACGGTCTGGTTGCCACCTCGCAGAGGCGCAGGCACCAGACGGAGCAGAACCTCGCCCCTCGAGCAATCGTGGGGGCTAGAAATTACGTCAGGATTGACGTAATAGCCCGTTACCAAAAAATGGGGTCCATCGAGGAGTTTGTGTGTGTGTGTGTGTGTGTGTGTGTGTGTGTGTGTGTGTGTGTCCATCGACAATGGGTCACATCCACACCTAGAAAACATCGCAACTCTCCACGCCCGTCCTCCTGACGGACACCCACTCCCAGGAGAGCTACTGCGGTCGGAACAGGCCAATGGGGGCCAAACCCGACCGCAGCTCCGCAGCTCCGTCGTTTCGAAGACGATGTCGTTTTCGCCTTACATCTCGAGTGTAACGCCGTGTAAAGAGTAAGGAATGACCGTTGGCCATCCTGACCACCGACCAGCCTTCTGCTGATCGATATCACGCGCAATGGGGAACAGGCCCCGAGGAGTTTATCAACAGGGCCTTGCACCAGCAGTATATCACATAGCTAGTGTTAATTTCGCTCGTAGGCGTAGGTCAGATTAAAAGTCTATACACGACACATGTTACATAATACCTTGTACTTCTTTACACTAAAGTTATAATAAGGTTACCTAATTCTGGATTCCATTCGGCTTCTTGTGTCCGCAGTCCAAGCATAAACAGTTCTTCCAGAGGCAGCGAGTTGGAAAGCTTAATTAGGCCAAAGTTTTGGAAATCGTACAGCATGGTCTCGTAGAAAAGCTCCTCTCTATAAAATATAGGTTTAATTTTTCTTCAAAACCGCAGCAGACATGTAATATCGGCGGCAAAGACCGTCACAGTACACATATTTTATCCTTTAATTACTATTTCTGTTAAAATAAATCCAAACTCTCACTTTACTTAATTTATGTCTGACATATATTATGTAAAGTGATTTGTCTCTGACATACAGCCGAGACAACTGAGTTCGGGCGTTCACTTTTATTAATACAATATACTCGAGCAACTCAAATTCAATTTCAGTTAACCTAAAAACTTTTTTCTTTTAAAATTGTTAACTTATCACAGCTTAATCTGTGGTGGGGTCAGGTGGTGGACTATACCCTAATACTCTTTTTACAGCGGAGGCCTTTGACACAGCAGTGGGACAAATGTGAGCTGTTACTCTACACCTATTTTACTTTATGTGATAGCTTTATACAAATCTGACGCGAAGAGTGCAATGCAAGAAGCAAGTATTAAGAGAACGTACTGAAACGTTTACTCACGTCAATTTCGTTGTATTACACAAGTACAGTTTAGTGGAATGCTGTATCAGTGATTGGTGGCAGTCGATGCAAGCGATAAATATCAAGTTGGCCAATATTTCCCTCAAACTCATGTTGCATTTCGCCTCGACGTCCATCCGCAGTTGCTTGACGCTGGTCAACTTCGTTTCCACTCTCTCGTATTTGAACGTTCGCGTTTTGAACGATTCTTCGGGTCGATATAAGTTATGTTCGCCTGCTCTACGCCGGTGTGCACGTTCCATTTGTCGTTTGGTCTACTGGCTTCTTTAGGTTCGTGCACCAAAGAACTATCCAGAACATCTGGTTCGTCTTCAGTAGCCTCCACAACGATTTTTGGTAGTATTTCCGTTTCACTCGCACTTTCTCGTGACTGAACTACGTTAGCACTTTCTTCTATACCCTTTTCGGTATCAACAATCTTTTCTGCATCTGTTTTGTTATAGTTCTCTAGTTCAGTTTGTTTGGAGGCGACTTGGAAGAATTTATCAATTTTCTGTGTGTCAGAGCTGACCCTGACTAAATCTTTTGCGTACACTTTGGCTCCATCCGTCATCTTTTTGATTATTTCGTCAACCTTTGTTGCACCAGGTAACCGAGCCTGCAATTTTTATTGTATAACTAGAATAGTTGATTGAATATAATAGATAGGCTCTCATGATGTGTTGTGTCTAACCTGGATATTTATTAAAGAGTTTTAGCATATTGAATCTTAAATCACTTTACCTAACTAAATGTAAAATAAAACGTAACAAACTCTGAATACATTTTTATCATAATATAAAGTAATACAAGCTTTCCTTTGCCTTTAAAAATAAACATTTCATTTACCTGTGTGTACATAACCCTTGATGAATTGCAACTCAATAGTTTGCTTTCAATACACGACTTTATCCGTTCGATAATTTGCTCCTCGTGTAAGAATTGTACTTCGTGTTTCGTCGGATGAACATTGACATCAACATTTCTTGGATCTGAAATGAAATAATAAAATATATTTTTTGGGTATTCAATAGCACAAGTTCGTTTTGTAAATGACACATTATTTTTATTCATTTCTATTTTCGTAATTACTGCTTTGTCTTAAGGCTTAAGCACATTTATATTCTTCACAGGGATAGAGAGTGCAACTGTATTAAAAGTTATCTTTGTCACAGTGTTGAGATTTCAAATCTAAACAGTTTTATGACAAATCTCAATGTTCATAAAACAATTCCGAGGTGTGAAACTATCTCAACGAGGTCGCCACATCACATAAATAAAAACATATATGTACTTAATATAATAATACTTAATTTATTAAGCATTGAAAATAATCTTCACCTAGCTGAATACTGAGGTAGACAAAGGAGTGTGCGTTCTTCGGTAAATAAGTTGAGTATACGGAGTCCACAGCTTTTCGTATACCTGAAAGATTTTTTCCATTGAAACATGATTGTAGTATGCAAATAATTCTAGAGACTAAGAATTTAGTATTTACTTATTTTCAGACATAAAATATTATATTAATGATGCAGCACAACAGCTAGGGAACGAAAAATTTTGTAAATAGGTATGAATTAGAATCTATTATATCAATAAAAAACAGGAAAAAATTCAAGATCATGCACAAATTTTGGGTCAAAACTTAAATTCGGCATACTGAGTGAAAAGATTAAGTTATCCTTTGTTAACCACTAACTATCCAAATAGAAGTACACTGAATCGAATAACAACTCTTTTCGTATTTTTACATCAACATAGTGGAAGCCACACAGGAAGTTCGAGATTTCAACTGAGTTGGTATGAGTGAGAGGGCTAACTTAACTTTAAAGGCTAAAAACTTCAGTTTTGTCCACTCTATATCACACAATTTCTTTTCATAACTATGACTATAACTAAGCAACTCTCATGGTGCTTCAACATGTTCATGACTGGAATATCTCAGAAGCGAGGTAAAGCCATTCCACTGAAGTGATTGGTATGCAGCACTTAATGTTTACTTAGTTTGCTAATATGGGTCACTTTAAATAATTTTCTTGCATGAAATCTTCAGTCTGTATGTGTAGGCTAATATTACTTATGTATAAGCTCCCCTGCAATAAATAATAAAGGACTTACTTGATGAATCCACAAGCCTATGATTTATGAACAAAAGCATAGTGCCTTTCTTGTGCGAGTAGTTTACATTCGTAACATATCCATGTAAAGACATCTTCAGGGTGGTATCATCCAACTTTATCTCAAGCAGTTCTCGTGCTATTGAATTTCCATGGATCTGCAAATAGAATATAACATATAAAATATTAGAGATTTAATTTTTTTATAGTGTTAATCTCTGCACTTAAGATAAAACATTAAAATTTGTAGAAAAAGTACGAAAAGACTGTCTGTTGTAAATGTGTAAAAAATTGTCAATGTGGCAATCAGTCGTTTAGCTTAGTGGCTAAAGCGTCAGGCCTCGAATGCCGAAGATGTGGGTTCGATTCCCACAGCGGCGACAGTCTTTTCGTAGCTTTTCTACAAATTTTAATATTAAATATTTCTTAATAAATTAAATTATAAAATATTTCATTATTTCGAATTCAAATTACACAGATTATTTATATTGTTATAATTGGTAAGTAAGATATTGAAATATACTTTTTTGTCAAGACTTACTATCCTTATATTGTCTACTACAGAAGAGTTTATGGCGGTTTTAATGTCGGTCTTTTCACCGAACTTCTTTAGTGTGAAACCCACATGGCTATTATGTATTGCATAGCCACCAACAACATCCATAATATGCGTGTACTCCTCTGTAGGGCTACGGAGGGATCTCTTACGCGCTATGACATTGTAGAAAAGGTCTTCTACTGTTATCTGTGTCCCATTATTTCCAGCACATGCTTTGATAGGTCCCTTAAGTTTGCCATTTTCATAAGAAGCTCTGGAAGATTAAGCAAAAATAATGAAAAATAATAATTATTTGTTATCCTTATCTCACTGTAATTATAGAAATTTCCATTTCTTGGACATTCATTGAAGCTATAGAAGCAGGAAAGGACATTAATGAAATTTGAATTATATTATTATGCTTTTGTTATTGAGTATGGACATTCAATACAATATTAGTAATAGCACACAAGTGTGGAAGATTTGTGTATTGCAAAACCTGCAAATTATTAAAAAATTATAGAAACCAAAATGATTAAGAGGTACATACTTATAAGCACATTTATCAGTAGAAGTCTTTGTAAGAATTGTAAGATGTGATATGTAACTAATACTTGCTAAAGCCTCGCCCCTAAATCCATATGTATTGATTTCTTGGAGATCCTCATACTGTTGTAGCTTAGAGGTTGTGAATCTTTCACACACAATGTCCAAATTGTCATTTCTTATACCAGTGCCATTGTCTTGGATCTGAAATGTAAACATAAAAATGTGGTAAACACTTCTATCAATCCATATATTTCAAAACTCATTCCCAAAAGGAATGTTATAAGGGATATTTCAGATTTATTGCCTTAACAGTTTTATGATGCCTCATCCCATCTAGGTAGATTCAGGGGCAATGTATGGGCTTAAAGCTCACATGCCTGACGCAAAGATTCCTTTGAAACAACATTATCAGCTAATACTAATGACTAGTGTATCTAAAGTAAAAAAAGTAAAGTAACAGCCTATACATGTCCCACTGCGGGGCAAAGGCCTCCTCTATACAGAGGGTATCAGGGCATAGTCCACCACGCGGCCCCACTGCGGATTGGCAGACTTCACATATCTTCGAAATTTTTTTTGTTATTATTTCGAAAATATGCAGGATTCATCACGATGTTACCCTTCACCGCGGAGCACGTGATAAGTCAGCACTTAAAGTTAAAAACTTCATTGGTGCCGGCACCAGGGATTGAACTCAGGTTGCTCGAGTATATTGAATTAAAGGCGAGCGCCCGGACAGTGCGCTATCACGGCTCATACTAGTGTATCTATTTTTAACTAATTTCGTACGCATTGACAATTCAAACCAAAAAAAAAAGCAAATGAAATTATGCTATGTAAAGCATATTATTTATTTATTAGGAGGACTGATAAATATTTTAAGTTGACCGTACCTGTAAATACTTTAAGCCTCCGGCTTTTACTGTTATAATTATATTTGTAGAATGGGCATCCAAACTAAAACGTACAAAACATCATATAGTATATGTACTAATTGTAGTATACATTTAGAAAAGGCATAAAGGGAAAAAGTCAATCATGACCAATTATAAGAAAAATGTTATTAAGATAGATACTTAATACATGTTTTTTAATTTAAATGTATGTTGTACTCAACTTGCCTATTTTCTATTAATTCTTTCAAAGCATTAGCCGGCCTTTGTACAATTTCACCAGCTGCAATTCGATTTACTACATTCTCTTCTAATTTCCTAATAACCCCTGGTTCTGCCATCTTTCTCTAGGCACAGCTAAATCAAAATTCAACTCTCTTGCTTAGTTTCAGTTCAGGTATATATAAAAGTATTCTGTCTGTCTGTCTGTGCTTATTTTTGATTTTCTAAATTCGCGCCCAAGATCAAGATCATTTGAGTATATAGGGACGCCGATAAAATATCGATATATCGATATTTTTTTAAAATATATCGGTATTTTTGGTCAATATATTTTGATCCGATATATCAATATACCGATATAAAAAATTTAATGTCGAAATCGTATCAAAAACGATATTTTTATTCAAACTGATTCAAAGCCGTAAAAGATAAAAATGAACGGAAAAAAACTGTGGGGTATTACTAGTATTGTCGCGGATGTAGAGTTGCATTTTGTACTATAATTATGGTATTTATACTACAATTTGATCTTTAGTACTTTGTACTATCCACATCTTAGGTGGATATGACAAATACTTTTGCGTTTCGTCTGGTGAGTGAGGTAGCCGGAGCCCAATTTTCAAAAAGTTGTCAACGCATCTGTAACCCTCGGGTGTGGCAGATGTCCATGGACGGCGGTATTCACTTAACATCAGGTGACCCGTCTGCTTTACAAATCATTTAACTAAATATGATGTTAATTTATAAAAAACATGCAAAATATTAATGGCATCAAGTAAAGTTGCTTTACTTTAATATGTAAATAAAGTTAATAAAGTTATAATCAAATTCTCAATAATTAACGCCCGGTTTCTGAAACGCATCACCGTAGAAGTCATACATCTGACAGCTGATTAGTTGACATCTACACTGATCAGTGTTTCGGAAACCGGGTGTGAATGTCACATAATATAATATCGAGTTTTCATAAAAAAATATTTGACGTCATTAAGATGATTAACATTGAACCACATAAGTGAGCCGTGATAGCTCAGTGTCTGGGCGCTCGACTTTAATTCAATATATTCGAGCAACCCAAGTTCGATCCCCGGTGCCGGCACCAATTAAGTTTTTAACTTTAAGTGCTGACTTATCACGTGCATCCTGAGGAAACTTGCATATTTTCGAAATAATAACAAAAAAAAAATATTTTTCGAAGATATATGAAGCCCGCCAATCCGCAGTGATGCGGCTTGGTGGACTATAATACACTCTGTGTAGAGGAGGCTATTGCCCAGCAGTGGGACATGTATAGGCTGTTACTTTACTTTTTTTTACTTTAAAAGTAACCTTTTGTAATTGTCGTTCAGCATTTTCATGTCAATCAAACATTACTAAATTATGATGGAATGTCTTTTTGGACAAATCACTGCGGGTTTCTTTTTGACCCATTACTAACTTCGTTTTAAAAAATTCTTTATGTTTTGTACCAAGTTACATGTTTTTTAATTAGTTATTTTTTGATTCGAATCAGGGCTAAGGAAACTGATTTATCTTACTATGTAAGCTGTTTGTTTTTTTTTTTTTCAATAAATGTCTTGATAAATAACATATCTAGTAATTTAGATTAATAAAAGAAATTTGTAATTTAGATTAAAATTAATAAGTTTTATTAAAATTTCTTATTTATTTAAATAATATGAATTTAGTATAAAAATTACTATTACTTATTATTGAATCAGACTGAACTAAATACGTTATTTTTTTAAAACTAAAAATTTGACCCATATATCGATATTTTATTTATCGATATATCGAGACCGATATTGATGTTTTTATAAATATCCATGTATCGATATTTTTTCGACTTTCGGCATCCCTATCAGTATATATGTCAGGGCAGATCAAGATCAAAATATATTTTTTTTTCTATGATTGTAGCATTTTGTTATTCCTTGCCAATGACAAGTCTAAAATTAAAAATATTGAAAAATTTAACTGAATGTTCATAACAGTGTTACCAACTGTTCAAAAATAAAACTCCTAGAGCAATTAAAAAACACAAATTGACTAATTTCAAACAAAAACTACCTAAATTTAAAATCACGATTTTTTTGTACTATCAAGGTAAAATAATTATCTGATAAAATTAACCTTTAAAATAAATAAAATAATAAGTTTTATTGTAAAATATATTCGACGATAATGCTAAAACCCTTTGGCATTTTATATTAATTTAATTATGACTTCAATATATTTTAAGTAGATGCATCATCAGTTACAATGTTTTTTATATTTTGAGTAAGACATAAAACATTAAATATTAACGTCTCATCATCATCATCATTTCACCCTGTTTGAGTCCACTGCTGAACATAGGCCTCCCCACAGACTGCCATGAAGTATGATCCTGAGCCACCTGCATCCATCGACTTCCCGCACATTTGCACAGGTCGTCACTCCATCTAGTGGGGGGTCGTCCAACACTGCGATGGCCAGTACGAGGCTGCCACTAGAGAACCTTTCTTCCCCAACGGTTATCGGTTCTACGAGTTATATGGCCGGCCCATCGCCACTTCAGCTTGCTAATCCTCTGAGCTATATCGGTTATCTTAGTTCTACTGCAGATATCTTCGTTACGAACTCTATCACGCAGAGAAATACCGAGCATAGCCCGCTCCATAGCTCGCTGAGCAACTTTGAGCTTCCTCATACGGCCAGCAGTGAAGGACCATGTCTCGGTTCCGTAGGTCATCACTGGCAACACACATTGATTGAAGACTTTAGTCTTCAAACATTGAGGTATATTCGACGAGAAGATTTGCCGCAGTTTCCCGAACGCTCCACATCCGAGTTGGATTCGCCGATTGACCTCTGCGTCGAAGTTGGACTTACCTAGCCGGACTAACTGTCCTAGGTAAACGTACTCGTCAACAACTTCGAGCTCAGTGCTCCCAACAACAACCGGTATAGGCGTGACATGGACATTAGACATGATCTTCGTCTTGTCCATGTTCATCTTAAGGCCTACCCATTGGGAGACACTGTTGAGGTCATTGAGCATAGCACCCAGGTTCTCCAGCGATTCTGCCATGATGACTATATCGTCGGCAAATCGAAGGTGGGTGATGTATTCGCCATTGATGTTAATACCTCGTCCTTTCCAGTCCAGAAGCTTGAAAACATCTTCCAACGCAGCGGTGAAGAGTTTCGGGGAAATGACATCACCCTGTCTTACACCCTTCTGCAGTTGGATAGGTTTTGTACTACTGGACTGTACTTGGACGGACATCGTAGCCTTGCTATACAAACACCTCAGCACTTCGATATACCGACAGTCAATTTGGCACCGCTGAAGAGCCTCGAGTACCGCCCACATTTCGACAGAATCGAAGGCTTTCTCATAGTCCACATACGCTAGGCATAAAGGCAGATTATACTCTTCGGTCTTCTGTATAATCTGCCGCAAGGTGTGTATGTGGTTTATGGTACTGAAGCCTTTTCGGAATCCGGCTTGTTCGGGAGGCTGGAAGTCGTCGAGTCTGGAAGCGAGACGATTCAAGATGACTCTTGAGAACAGGTCTATGGCGTCTAGTCGTATGGTCTATGGTCTATATATTAACGTCTAGGGCGGAAAAATTTGAAATATACATACAAGACACATAGAAACACTCAAAGCAACACAGAACTTCTAATTATAATTTTTTAAATAATTAATTTTGTGTAGTTTTTTTAAAAAAAATGTGAATAAAATTTAACTCTTAAAATATTCCCAAAAAATAACCGCTACTTAAAAAACTTCCATTGTACATTCTTTCTTCCTAAATTTAGGGAGAAAATTCATAAGTTTGCATCCCTGATAGCGATCATGGAGTTGGGTCGATACGATTTTAAATGATAAATATGTTGTATCGATATATCGAAAATAACGATGTATACAATCTATGATTATAAATTCTATATTCATTCTCCAAAAAAGAGCTGTCCAAGCAATCTATAACATCGGAGCCCGGAATTCATTCAGAGATCTTTTTAAACAGATTAATATACTCACTGTTGCGTCCCAATATATTTATTGTAATATTTTGTATGTTAGACATAATCTTAATGGTTACCAAACGAATAGTGGCAGACATAAATTAAATACTAGAAATAAGGACAAATTAATTATGCCATTGTTTCGTCTACAAAAAGTAAAGAGATCGTTCATGGGGCAACGTGTGCGCATGTATAACAAAATCCCACAGTCAACATTAAGACTGCCACTAGATATATTTAAAAGCAAAATTAAAAATGAACTGATGGCTAAGGCATATTATACCATTGCGGAATATCTTGACGACGTCAATGTGTGGGGTTAATACTGTTGATACTCACGTACGCTAAAATAAGACATACTTGATCTATTATATTGTAATCTAATCGTTTTAAAAAAGAACAACTGTTGAATTTCTTGCCGGTTTCTTCTCAACAGAAACTGCGCTCCGATCCGGTGGTAACATACGAACATATTAATTTTTATGTAAAATTTTAATTTTGACATTTCATAAGAACGTGCAAGCGTCTATGTGAATTTATTGAAAAATATTAGTATTAATATTTTCGATTTTGATTTTGATACAATCAAAAATATCGATATATTTCTTCCCTTTTGACATCCATATCACGGAGAATTATGATATGATCTTAAACCAGTGTTACCAACAGTTTAAAAGAAATATACCTATAGCAATTTAAAAAAAAATAACTAAATTAGAACCGACTTCAAATAACTCTCTTAACATTTAAAATAATACTAAGTCTAACATGATCGAATCTTGAAAATCTAGCCTATGTGACCTAAATAACAAAATTTAAAAATTTTCGGACTCGGTGCCATTGTTCACCACATAGAAGATACATATATACTGAAATACACACATAGTTAGTACATATATACTGATTCACCATAGTAATGGCTGTACATCATAACACCTTGCTAAAAAAATAGAAAGAAACTAAGCATTGAATACATCTGCATAACCTTTTCAAGTGTACAGAGTACAGATGTGATGTCATGTTGTGCGATTGAGCAAAATATTATGCGATAGCAGTTTTAGAAAATATATAAAAAATATTGTTATTACCTATAGTGACCTATAGCATTTGAGAGTTGCCCTCGATTTCGCTGGGATTCTATCATCAGATTCTGATATCCACCACCACAAGAGTATACTATTTTAAATTAAAAAATAATTTTGAGTATCGGTCCACAAATGGGTAGAAATCGGTGAACATAAATAAAAAAAATACACGGTCGAACATAGAACCTCCTCCTTTTTTAAAGTCGGTTAAAAACCCACAACAATCCACAAAATTTCAATAAATTCAAACCAAAACTTCCAAAATGGAAGGAAATTTAGGAAGTTTTGCTTTGAATGTCCGTCGTAAAATAATTCCATTGTAATTTTTTTTTCTTCCTTATGAAGAAATCTCCTTAGTTGATATCCGTGTCTACAATTCCTATGTTTTTTCATTTCTCTGTCTACGAGAATATTGAATACAGATAGCATAGCAATAAGCAATTAGCGGTTAGCGTCTTCGATATTATTTTTAATTTAATACTTTCATTAATCCAGTTCATGCAGACTTTCATCAGTTGATTCGTTATATTGTCATGGTATACTGTTCGTAATATTTTTAAACTGTAAGTAAATAAAAAAAATATCATTTACTTAATGAAACTCAAAAACTCTCCGATCACACTCTCAACCACTGGAAAAAAAGACGTGAGATGCGGTTGCAGTCTTTAACTGACATGTCAGACTACAGGCGGCAGAATAGGCAGAACTCTAAATAACAGCTCGTATATATAGGGAGCTATAGAGCGGAACGTAGGCTGAAACGTCTTCGCCAGAGATCTGACTAAGTTGAAGACTGGCAGCGGGGCTATACACCTGCTTAGTGCTTTGCAAAGTGCTTTGGCAAAAATGCATCGATTGCATGGGTGATTACTTTGAATTTCTGTCTCCCTCTCATTTATTTTTCCTACACGGTACCAGCCGTGATAGCTCAGTGTCCGGGCGTTCGCCTTTAATTCAATATACTCGAGCAACCTGAGTTCGATCCCCGGTGCCGGCACCAATGAAGTTTTTTAACTTTAAGTGCTGACTTATCACGTGCTCCGCGGTGAAGGAAAACATCGTGAGGAAACCTGCATATTTTCGAAATAATAACAAAAAAATATATATTTCGAAAATATGTGAAGTCCGCCAATCCGCAGTGGGGCCGCGTGGTGGACTATGCCCTGATACCCTCTGTATAGAGGAGGCCTTTGCCCAGCAGTGGGACATGTATTGGCTGTTACTTTACTACTTTTTTTTACTTACACGGTACCAGAGTCTACCTTTCCTGTCTTTCGCTTCCACTTCGCTCTATCCGTCGCATCGTCATGGGTCACATTGCAGGTGTTAAGATCTTTTCTCAGTACCTCTGTCCATCTTATTTTTGTTCTTTCTTGTCTCCGGGAACCTGGGATGTCCAGATGGTACGCTTAAATAAAAGAAATAAGAAAGTTTGAAAAAAATATTGCCGTTTTTTATAAAATGAGTTAAAGTATTTAATTATATAAAACGGCAATTTCGTAAGTATTATTTATATATTGTTTAAATAATAATACATTAGGGGTTTTCCGGATTTTTAATTTAAACTTTAGGGACAAATATTTTCGAGAGTTGGTAACACTGCTATGAAACCAGCCAGATTTCAAAAATCAATATCTATTTTACAAATTAAGTACATTTTAGGTACTTACGGTACTAACTAATTAACAACTAAGAAAGACACAGTTATAAAAAGGCTGGTTACAAATAGAGTATTACATTTATTATCAGTGCTTATTATTATACTCCTATCCTCTATTAGTAGCTGAATTTTAAATTTGGAAAATTAATATAATGGAGTTTGATTTTGAAGACAGTGACTGCGATAGTGACGCAGAATTGAAAGATTTACAACACCTCCATGCAGTTCTCGTCTCTGACGAGAACCTATCACCCAGTGCATCTACCTCGCAATTTCCTTCTTCTACTAGTAGCGAAAGCAGTTCTATAAACGCAGTATATGACTTTTCTAAAATAGATGCGGCTTTATATTTGAATAAGTTATATGATGAGAAGCTAAGAAGACTGGCAACAATCTTAACAGGAAGATTGCATGAATGTGACCAAAAATTAAATGATATAATAGAAAACAATAAAAGTAATAAAAACATTGACAAACAAGAATCATTCAGATATGTAAATTGTGGTAAACCATATTTTAAGGATAGATCAAACTTTACTCCTCCAAACAATGAAGATACTGTTACTATGGCTAAGTCAGGAATGTATGACTTTTCATCTGTTGTATCTGTTAGTGGCTGGACAGTAAAAGATAAAAGCCTGTTCCTTAGTTTAATACTCAAAATGTCAAAAGAACTAAGAAAGAAAGAAATAGAGAAGAAAATTTCTGATTTGAGGCGTCAAGGTAAGGCTGCACCAAGTGATGAGATTGAAAACAAAATTGTTGCACTATGGAAAGAAATGGAAAATGTTAACAGAAAAAATTTACAAGATTTAGCATTGCCTATTAGTGAAGAATATGATTGGGAGTATGTAGCTATTAAATTAAATTGCCGCCATTCAGCACAAGAGTATCAAGCTTTATGGAAATTATATTTACATCCTAGCATAAATAAAAATAATTGGAGTAAAAGTGAGCATTCAGCTCTACAAAAAATTGCTTATCAAAGTAGGTTTCAAGATTGGGATGACATAGCTGCTAAACTTGGAACCAAACGTACGGGCTATCAATGTTTTGTTTATTTCCGTACAAACATGAGCAATACTTTTACTGGCCAAAAGTGGACTAAAGAAGAAGAAGAATACCTTAAAAGGTTAATTGATTTTTATAGAGAGGAAAACTATATTCCATGGGGCAAAGTGGCTACATCCATGGAAAATAGAACAAAGATTCAAATATATAACAAATATTATCGTCTTAATGAACAAAGAAAAGGGCGATTTCTGCCAGAAGAAGATGCAGTTATTCTGACATGTGCTGATCATTTCGGGCCTAATTTTAGAAAGATGACCAGCTACTTACCGGGCAGGTCTAGCACACAGCTGCGAATACGGTATCAAATTTTAGCCAAAAAGAGAATATCTACAGTGTGGACAGAAGAAGAAGACAATAAATTAATCAAGTTGCTGGCAAATGAAGATTCACCAAGTGTTTATTCAAGCCTTACAAAGCACTTTCCTGGAAAAAACAGAATGCATATAAGAAGTAGATATGTAACACTAATGAAATGGATGAAAATGCATCCCAACACAGATATTTCCCGAGCTCCACGGCGTGCTGCTAGGCGCTTGGGGCATGGTCAAGCATTAGACAATTTGAATAAAGCTATTGACAATTTAAAAAAGAGAATACAGTCAGAGGTTGAAGAACGCAAAGGTAAAAAAGTCACAAAGAATTCTCCGGATAATATTATTGATGATGCCATAATGGCTACATTGTTAAATCACATTATAAGAGAAGAAGAAGATAAAAGGTCACAGGAGTGGGAAGATGAGCAATTGGTTCTAAGTGACGATACTGTTATTTCAGCTCAATCTTTAAATGCAACCAATTTAAGGAAACTCTTAATTCTTTTTAAAGCTAAATTGAACAAAACACAATTAAAGAATAGCAAATATTCTGTAATATTTCCAGATTTAATAAATGGTAAACAAGATGTTTCTTTAATAAATAGGAAATCTTATTCTAAAAAAGATTTGTTGAAAACAGTTGTAACACAGATTCCCGATATATTTGGTGTTAATACATTAGAAGAACTAGAGTATGTTCTACCACCACATTATGCAACAATAACTGGGTGCAGGCAATTAATGGCATGGATACCAGATAATAAAATGAATATGGCAACTGATTTTAATATAAATGTATTACTTCGTAAAAGTGAGCTGCTAAAAGAACATTTTTTTATTTTGATGGAAAGATTTAATAGCATGTTTTTGTGGCCAATGTTGCTTTCAAATGAGTCGCCACAATTAAGTAAGGTTGACATAATATATAAAGCAGACAGACCTTTACCTAAGACAAATGATCCATCACTAGGCATAGGCATTGCCATTCCAGAGATGAAATCAGATGTTGTTAATGATACTATAGATTTGGAAGAATCTGAAAATAACAATGGCAAGATTAACCTAATTGAAATTACTATTGACAAAGAAGCTGTGGATCCCGATGATGTGGGTTAATATATGCAATTAATTCAGCAACATATACAATACTAATATACATATAATCAACTAAAACTTATTTGTGGACATATATCAGTTCAATATGTATATAATGATTTTCTCAAGGATTGTAGTTAAATCATACTGTTCCCACTGAAATGTTATATTATAAGGTCTACAGTTGATTTGCAGGCAAAAATAATGTGTTTTCAATTTACTTGATTATTATCTTCAATTAACTTTTACTTGATTATTATTATACATTCTTATGAAGAAAGTGCATAAAAACACTGTACATTTAATTTAGTTTTCACAATTTTTTTATCCAAAGTTTTTACTATTCAAATAAAGGAAAGTATAGTGGATCAAGTAGTGCGAAAATAAAAGAAAATTAAGCTATGAATAGAATTAATTTATTTGTGCAACCGGAACTTTGGAATAGACTTGATAATTGCCAAAAGATAAGTGTGAAAAATAAAAGATTCAGCGATGAGGTAGAGGTAGATGATTATTGTTTTTTTTAGTTTACTGAAAAACGCTTAATCATCTTCAGGATATTTTTGAATATGGATTATTAATGATTTCATTAAGTATGGTGTCGTAATTGTCTTCATGTTCTCACTTGGTGCCTCAATTCTGAGGATCGTGATCACATATTGTTCTCTCCCACTGCGTGCGGTTGTAGGCGCAGTGAACTGTGCGGTGCATGGTGAAGTTTCCAGTGGCTATTGATATGGTCTAATATTGCACCATTTATGGCACACTTTTAATTTATTAATTTAAATAACACGGACTAATGAAAAGAATCACTTTGCTGTAATGTTTTAATGTAGGAATTTTAAACCCACCTATTTATTTATCATACATAATTAAACATATTTGTCACATAAAAGGTTTGCGTATTTTTTACTCCTAGCTAGCAGAGGTGGCGGGTGAAAAAAAAATAGGCAGTCTCATGGGGATTAGGGGATAAGCAAACGCGTTGGGATTTTTAGGGGCGTTATATGTTTAGGGATTTTTGGGACTTCTTGTATTTTTTCCTACGTTTTATTTCCTGTAATTTTTTTATTAAGAAATATAAAGTGTTTTGAGTATCTTGTATTAACTGATGTTTTTGCTTTCAGTCCCGAGACTATTAAAGCTTCATCGGACGCAGAACCGGTGGGCTAGCCAGAACCCACGGGTTTGGACCCTCCTCTATGGGTAGGGTCGCGCATGTGCTCATGCGTGCGTTTAACTACTATGGTGTGTCATCTAGTAGTTTGCTGCGCTTACCACCAGAGGGTTGGGATGATGCTGGGCTCTATCGAAGAACCGTTTTGTCAAATCTTTAAAATGTGCGCGAATCGTCGGGAGTCTGCAATCGCTGTGCAGGTCGACGTTGCGCTGATACCATTGCGCACCGGTTGCGCGGCGGATAAACTTACTTTGAACTACTTGCAATTTGTTAATGCGCGTAGGATTTATATGTGCGAAGATCATGCAAGCGTAGGACATGATTGGCCTTACGCAAGCTTTATATAACAGTAGTTTGTGCCGTAAGGGCATTTTACTATGCTTATTCGTTAAATTGTGTAGTGGGCCGGAGACGAACGCGGCTTTATTTCGGACTTGATTGATGTGCATAGTGAAAGTCATACGCGAGTCGAAAGTGACTCCTAAATATTTGACCGTTTTCTCCCAGGGGAGAGTTTGGCCATATAGTGATATTTGCCTCAACTTTCTGTACTGGCGAGGACCTTTGTAACGGTGTGGCGGATGGGGTTGGGGGTGCTACGAGTGAAGTGAATCGCCACACTTTTTTCTGGATTAATATCGATTCTCCATTTGCGGAACCAATCGCCGAGGCGGTCGGCGGCGCTTTGGAGTCGAGTTGTTAATTGACTGAGGTTGCGATCTGAGTAAAAGAGCGCCGTGTCATCCGCGAAAAGCGCGAGATTGACCTGGGGGTCTCTAGGTATGTCGCTCGTGTAGAGCGTAAATAGCAAGAGTGAGAGGCAGGAGCCTTGTGGTACGCCGGCCGTGAGGCGGTGGCTTGTGGAGAGGGTGCCCTCGACTCGAAATCGAAAAGAACGGTTCAACAAAAAGGCCCGGATGGTGTGTACGAGTCTATCTGGCACTTGGAGTGTGTACAGCTTGTAAAGCAAGCCGTTGTGCCAGACTTTGTCGAATGCTTTTGCGACATCGAAGAAGAGAGCCCCTGTGCTGATGTGTTTGGGGTGGTTTAGGCCTTTTAGGATGTGCTCCGTTAGGCGGTATAACTGGTCGGGACAAGAGTGTCTAGCTCGAAAGCCGAATTGTTCGTGGCAGAAGGCCGTTGGAAAATACGTGCTCTTTGAGCCTGTTTAACAATAGCCGCTCGTAGAGCTTCCCCAGGCAACTGAGGAGGCTGATGGGACGATAGCTAGAGGGCTGATTGGCTGGTTTATTCGGCTTGCGAATGCCGATAACCGTGGCTTGCTTCCAGTCGTCCGGAAAGGAGCAACTGGAGAGAAGGGTAGGGTTTTGAGTAACGCAATCTACCCAATCGTGTTTTATTGACTGGAGAGCTTAGCGACATCTAGTTTTTTTAATTACAAGAATTATCAAGAATGCGGAGTTGAACTATGGAGAGTAGATAAAGTGTCCTTATGTTACATCTTAAAGAAAGCGCCAAAAGTAGTTAGAATTTTTTATCATTTAATATTAATCTTTTTGGAATAACGATAATATTGATTGTCTAAAGAAGTCATAGCAAACAAAACATTTTTTTATAAAATTAAATTCCCTACAATTTTTGTTGAAACACTTCTTATCGCTACAATATCTTCAATTTATTGTTCCATTCATGTGAAAATAAATGCAAAAATCTTTGCGCTATTTGTTTTTCATAATTTTTCATAATTACACCGAGAAAGTCATACGTACTATAGTTAGGTAGTTTTAGCATTCAAAAGTTGTAATATTTCGCCTCCGATAAACTTATTGTTTGCGATGGGAACAATGGCTGCCGTTGATATGTCAAATACAAAGAAATGTGTGTCTATTTTGACCCAAAACTGTGTGAAAATGAATAGTTCATAATTAGTGTATCAATAAATGCTTTTAGGAATCTATTACTTAAACGATTGTGTTCAATACTTTGCGCCTGTTATTGTCAATGATTGACGTGGGTGTCTTTGGGTATGTCGCCCGTGTAGAGCGTGAAGAGCAAAGGTGAAAGGCAGGAGCCTTGTGGTACGCCGGCCGTGAGGCGGCGGCATTCCGCTTCGTGCTCTCGTACGGAACGGACGTCTCTCTAAGACGGAGGGCACATGCTACCCCAATTAGACTTAGGAGTCACTTTCGACTCGCGTATGTCATTTACTACGCACATTAATAACGTTCGTAATAGAGCCGCGTTCGTCTCCGGCCGGCTACACAATTTAAATAACGCTAAAAGTAAAATGCCCTTAAGGCACAAATTATTATAATATAAGACCTGCGTACGACCAATTATGTCCTACGCATACATGTTCTTCGCCCACACGCACCCTACTCGCTTGTATGAGCTGCAAATAGTACAAAATAAGTTCATCCGCCGTGCAACCGGTGCCCAGTGGTATCAACGCAACGTCGATCTGCACAGCGATTGCAGACTCCCGACGATTCGCGAATATTTTAAAGACCTGACCAAACGGTTCTTCGATAGAGCCGAACATCATTCCAACCCTCTGGTGGTAAGCGCAGCAAATTACCAACCCGACACAAACGCGAACGTCAACAAGCGTCGCCCGCGAAACGTCCTCATCGACCCGGTCGAGGAAGGGGACTTAGATACGTCGGACCCACCGCCGGGGGTCCCGCCGGACAACACTACACCCACAGTTAGTGCAACAACAAACACACTAGTTCGCCCTCGCCTCCGAGCACGGCGAGACCAACACAACGCGTACACAAGGTACACCCGCGTTCCAGGGCGGTTCTCACCGCCCCCAGCCACCGATTAGCTAAAAACACAGTCGACGGCCATCGGGGTCTCGGTCCGCACCGCAACTTCGATGGCCCTTAGATGACATGTCGTAGTTAAACGCACGCATGAGCACATGCGCGGCCTTACCCACAGCGTAGGGCCCAAACTCGTGGGTTCTGGCTAGCCCACCGGTTCTGCGTCAGATGAAGCTTTAATAGTCTCGGGACTGAAAGCAAAAACATCAGTTAATACAAGATACAAGAGGCGGCGGCTAGTGGAGCGGGTGTCTTCAACTCGATATCGAAAAGAGTACGCAAAAGTATTACACTTCCACAGCCACTTCATGCCAGTTTTCTCTGAGGTCGCGGTAATTCCACAACGGACCTGACCATTCGTACAACTATGAGTGTGAAGACTGTTGCGTGGTCGTACCACAGTTTAAATAGGTTAAGTAAAATCCGTGCTGAAAGGCAAATAGCATAACGCAGGGTTGCAGCGTTGTCGCCTTCCGTCAAGAAAGAGCTGCAGCAGAAAAAACATTATAAATTATAATTAATGTTGTTATTAATTTTAAGTTCAAAATATACTAAAAAACAAAATATAACTTATAAAAAGTGAAATTTTGTAAGTAGCCATTAAGAATTACTCTGAAAAATATGTTGTTTAATTTAATTTAGAATTGACTGCAACTGTATTTTGTAAACTTTATATAAATAGTAAAGTTGATATGTGTAATATTTTGCATGCTATATAAAAATTTGCATAACATGTGGTACAATATTATGATTTGTAACACCTTGTGAAACCATACTATAAGCAAATAAATAAATAAATAACTTTTTAACAGGGGAGACCATTGCCCATCTGTGTGATATTATTATATATACGCTTTACTTTAACTTCTTTGAAAAAAAATCAATAATAAAGCTAAGCTTTCACTCTAATTATAAACTTTTTGTTAGAAACACACAATAAATAGTCAGTTTGATAAATCTATTGTATATAACCAGTTAACTTCCATACACTTTTAACCTTGAAAACTGAACTTGAAAACCGCATTGACACAAATATTAATGAAACATTTATCTCTCAGGATGATGTAAGAGAAATGTTATTTATTTTTTAATTTGTGTATCTTATTATTTTCAGCATCTTCAATAATTTTGGGAGTGTATATTGATAACCTTTTACCGTCTACATACCAACTAACTGCACTACCCACAACAGGTAAAAATTATATTTTTTATTTTGAAAGAAAATCCACAGAATTTAAAAATATATAAATATTACTTACTAAAACTTGAAGCCAATTTGGATTTACATTCTTTAGCTATAGTAAAAATATAGTGTATAGTAAAAAGCAAATAACTTTTAATACTTAAAGACAGGCAGAAGAGAAGGTAAAAATAATTTTTAACTATTGGTATTAACACTTACAAGAAGCTTTGTGTATGGCTACTCCAAACTATTAAGTTTATTCAACGTTATTCTTAATTGATTCGATTGTGTTGTTGACATAAAAAGACGAAGAATTATGTATATAATAATACAATGTGATCTTATTTTAAATCTCTCATAACTCTTTTAACGGTGGTAGGGCCACGCAACAGTGTTGCACGAATGGGTAGGTCCGGCTGAGTAAGTACCGGGACCTCACAGAAGACCGGCGTAAAGTAGAAGTGTTGCACTTCTGCGTTTCGTCTGGTGAGTAAGGTAGCCGGGGCCCACATTATTAAGAGGAGGCAACGCATCTGCAACCCTACGGGTTTTGCAAATGTCCATGCGTAGGCGGTTATCACTTAACATCAGGAGAACCGCCAGCTCGTTTGCCACTTCCTCACATAAAACTCTAATGCCAAAAAATGTTGTAAATCATTATGCGGACGCACTAAGAGTATCGGTGCCTTTAATAGTATCGATCCCAAAAATTTAATTCAATCATTATTAACAGTAATAAACTTGTATTTTTTTTAAAATTGCTACTTAAAACTTTTTCTACTTATTAACCAAATTAGCAAATCACTGATATTACGGACGATGGTAAGTGTCATGCTTGCTGCAGCAAAAGTCATATTCCATGCCGCACTGTATTTAAAACTTAATAATTTGAAATCCTGTGTGACAATCCACTTTGCTCATCATTCTTAGTTATCAGATTAATAACAGGCAATAGTACGGTATTTTCTTAGATCAACTGTGGAAAACTGATTTCTACCACTACATTTCATTACCACTATAAATTTGTATTATATTAATTATACTTTATATTTTTCAGAAACACCTACTGTTTTGGATGCTCATATGGATAACCCTCAATATGATATATATTTATACAGTCCAACTTCGGGTTGCAGGTAAAAAACCAAGTTATAATTCATAATGTAGACATAATACAATGTCAGGAATAATTCATGCTTAAACAAAAAGCAAATAAATAGACTAAACATTCAATATTCATCAGAAAACAAATGATTTAAAAAAACAAAAGAAACTCTATAAAATGTACACTTTTTACTAAATGCTCCTTTTACGATGTGCTCATATTGTAATCTACAAATATTGAAAATTGCCTGTAAAGACAAAGTAATATACGTAATATAAAATAAAAAATTAAATAAATAATAATAAGTATAAGTGATAATATAAAGTAAAGTGGGGTGCAATTTTTTTACCCGGTGCACATCAGCGACGGAACCAGTAATGCTTAGATCCCAAATTTATAGAATATTACTACCATTAATGCAATGAGCAAATCACTGATATAATGATAAGTGCAAGGCTTGCTGGAACAAAAATCATTTTTCTCGCTACCCTTATGCATTTAAAACTTCAATAATTCAAAATCCTGTGCGGTAATTCACTTTGCTCATCATTCTGAGATAGTATATAATTGACAGGCATTTCCTTAGACAAATTGTGCAAAAATATTGTTTTCACAACTAAATTTCATAATCATTATAGATATTTATGTAATTAATGAAACTTTATTATTTTCAGAAACACCTACCGTTATGGATGTCCATGGTTTACATTCCAACTACCGGTTGCAGGTAAAATTAATCTATACAGTAAATTAAACAGGAGTGTCTGTTTGTAATATTAAAATAACCGCTTTTTACTAAATGCATGTCGATGTTGACATTTTTTACAATTTTTGTTCCGGTTAATCTCTGAAACGGCTGGGCCGATTTTGACTGAACTTTCAGTTGCAGATAGCTGATGTAATAAGGAGTAACTTGGACTACTTTTATTTTACATTCCACGCGGACGAAGTCATGGGCACAGCTAGTTTATAATTTAACAGTAATATAATAGTAAAACTCTATGCTTATACAAAAATCATGTAAAATTTATCATCCTTTAAATCTTATTCTTTAAACGAGCAATTCTTATATATATATAGTACCTGGAGGACTTATAGGATTTTATGCTTATGCTGTGAGACCACCAAGGCAGTTATGCATAATAATATTAAAAATTGTATTAGGATAACTTAACATGGGAATATGAACCTCTTTTAATATTCTCATAACTCATGTGATAAAAACAGTAATGCTGTTATTATGCTAGATATGTGAGATGTGTATAAGACTACTAATTACATTAACCATACAGTTGACATAAACATTAAATTAACGACTCTTCTGGTAAAACTAATTTGGAAAACAATATAATCCACACAAAAATATTTTCATAATAAGTAAATAATAAGGTAATTTATATTTATATGTTACAGGTACAAAGAAAGTAACAACTTAAAGCAAAAAATTACACAATTAAGAAGTAAAATTAGTAGACTAATGCCCAGTTTCCGAAAGGCCAATCAAAGCAGCAATCACATAACACTATGTCAAAAATGATCAGCTGTTAATCTCTTGTTAAACTCCCTTGGGTTTCTGGAAGGTTTGTTCAAGAAAAATTAGCTAATCACTGTATAACCAATGGTAATGAATGAAATGAATGATTTACTTCAACTAACTCTTTCTATTTTATAGCTGTCCCTCTTTAAACAAAACTTAAATTAACGTCATTATCCAGTGCTGTCACCGTGTGATTGCCAACGTAAAAATCCGAGTTATAATAAAATTTAATTTATATAAATACATGCAAAATGTCAAGAAAAAAACTTTACAGAACGTGAAAAAAATGAACTTTTATCCATAATAAACAAGTAAGTATTATAAAAAGAAAGAATCCATATTATTTATTAACTTTTGAATTGCATTTTCTATTTTTTCTAATCGCATGATATGTTCGCATAATAATAAATAGGTAATAGAACACATGAATTTCCTTACAACGTACTAGGGAATTATGTTTATTTTTAATAAAAACTAAGGTTTTTGATAAAATACATTTTTAAGCAACGCTTGATCATCCAAATTGACAGATTACTTAATAAAACTTTTGACAGCTCGTTGACCACCGAAAAACGCTTTCAGAAACTCGATTTTCTATTGATTGTCCGCTAATCAGTGACTAATTGCAAATCAAAATCAATGTTGTTTTCAGACGTTCTAGCAACTCAGATCATGTTAAACAACGTTTGACAAGAGATTTATCGTAAATTAAAATTGATTGCGCTTTCGGAAACTGGGTGTAAGAAAAAGAAGTAAGAATTACAAAAAGAAACAGCAAATACCCAGAAAATATGAATGAAAAAAACCCATGAAGAACACGAGTGTTTTAGCTAAAATGTATATTCAAAAATAAGAAACACTAAAATATCCAAAGGGACCGGCTGAAATGATATTTGGACGATACAACAATGAATATTATTTTGTAAAGTCGGTACCGATCGATCAATCTAATTTAATGTGGGAAATAGTTGTAAGATCAGTGTAAAAATGTTATTTTAACAATCATAGATATAATAAAAGCAAGAAATAAATAACATCGTTTTACTTTCACATGTAATTGCTACTTCATACTTAATATATTTTAAGTTCTTCATAATTATAAACGTATATCTATTAATGTAACTATATATTTTATTTATATAATAGTTACATTTAATAAGTTCACAAATTCGTGATGAATGCCTTATCAGTATGGCATTCATCATTAAATTGTGTACTTATTAAATGTAACTATCATATAAATAAAATATACAGAGTGTCGTTACCATCGCGACAATAAATGAACACACGTCTAACGCTACTTGCCAATAATCATAAAAAAATATTAACGTTAAACAAAATCCATAATTAAAAAAAAACTATTTTTCAAACAAACTAATTAAGTAAAAAAGAAACAAAATTTGTAACATCCTATACAACTCGCGCCACAGCGTCGCATTACAAGCCTCTCCTTCTAACAGTATGTTTTGTCTCTTTTAAATTTATTCAACCCATTCATATGCTTTGTGACCTTGACAAATGAACTTTACATTACACTTTTATAGGTAAGGGTGTTCTAAAATTGTTTGTTTTGGAAAATTTAATAACTCTGTAAATATTGATTATTAAAGAATTTAAATGTTTAATACAACTTCAAAAAGTTATGCCCTATATATGTGTTCATTTATTGTCGCGATGGTAACGACACGCTGTATAGTTAGATTAATAGATATACGTATATACATCATATAGGTATACACCGAATGTTTCGGAACAAGAAATATAGATGTCGCTAGCCCGCGATGTTGACCAAAATAATATGCGAGATGGCTCTCTATTTCTGTAGTATTACTTTACTCTATGGTGTTGAATGTTCAATGTTGACAATGACATGCGTATCGTCTTAGTAGTCTGTGAATGTTGATGTTTTCTTTTCAGAATTTCTATGAATTTGGGATTTCATATACTTATTATTTATTAATTAAATCAAGTTATCATGTGATAGTGTTGAGAAAATTGCAAAATGATGGTTTTGAAAGCCTGTGCAGTATGTTTGAGCACCGATGTTAAATTTTATAATATGGATATTGGACAATTAAGACAGGATTATAACTTGGTGTCTGGTCTAAGAGTAATATCATTTTGTTCTATATTAATACTGTTCATAAATATATGAATTACTGCATCCCTTTAATTTATTTTAGACACACAAGGGCAACGGTTTACCTGGGTATCTTTGTTTCGAATGCTCCGCATATTTAAGACGTTATAAACAATTTAGAGATAAATGCCAGAGAGCACATTATGCGTTGAAGCAAGTCCTTTATAATCAGAAACAGGTAAGCGAAATTCTTTTTTTCATGTTTGTAATATCATTATTAAAAATTATTAACTTTAAAGGTTTAGTATGTTAAGTTTAAGTTTATATTATACACGCTTGTCTAAGCATGTTTAAGAATGAGACCTCCTATATTTCATGTTGTATTTTCAAAGTTTACTTGTTTTTGGAACAGTTACAGTAAATGTTTTCATTACAGATTACAAAAGATGCAATAGAAATAATTGATCGTAAGCTTATTGATATTCTGCCATCCCTATCTTATGTAGACAAAAGTAGAACACACTATGAGGAAGTAAAGTTCCAATGGATTAAGCAAAGCCGTTGTAATAACATTAAAGGTGAAGTGCCTATCATGCATCATAGCACAGATGACACAATTGAAACTGTAATACCAAGAACAGGCTCAAACTTGAATAAAATCTTGGTCAAAACTGAATTTGAAGACACATCCATTGACAGAGATTTCGCTTTAGACTTACCAGATTTAGATGATGGACCAAAGGAACCCGATTCTTTCGACCAATCAGCAACACACAATGAAACCGGGTTCTCAAATGAAGCAACCCTATTCCAAGAGTTTTTTATCAGTAATGTTCAAGACTATGCTAATAATGTTGATTCACAATGTAAAGATGAATCATTTGCATTGAAAAAAGATGATCAGGATGTAGACGGATGTAACTTGGATGAAGAGTATGCTAGTGTAGTTCCAATATCTATTAAAGAGGCAAAAGCTGCTGTAGAAGTGTATAAAATGTTTAGTCACGGCAAATACTCTTGTGATGTTTGTACAAAAGCATTCTTTAGTGAAAATCGTTTGAAAATTCATATGCGAATGCATGACAAGGTAAGTGAAAACTATGTATGAAGTAAAATTATTATATTTTTGTCAGTACTTTTTTCTTACAGTGTTATAATAACAATTTTTAATTATTTGCTGTTATTGTATATTGATATGCTTTATTTTTTTAGCATGTCAGTGGCACATTCTTTTGTGAATTGTGCAATTATTATTATAAGACAGATTTTCTTTTGCAAAATCATATGACTGAAAAACATATGTATAAATACATATGCAGAAAATGTCCTGAAGTTAGTTTTGACAGGTAAGTTTCATTATAATAAAAATTAATTACTACTCATGCTAACTTATAATTAACAAATACATTTTTAAGCTTGAAGTTCTTTAAAACACTACAATTATAAATAACCAAAATAATTTGAGCCCACACAATGCAACTCAAATTAATAATATGACTGGGAAAGCTTTTCAATGTATTTAACCCTCCATTTCCCTTTGTCTATTGGCCGGTTTCTGTCTGTAGATTCGCAATTTTATAAATTTGACATATGTTTTAGTTAAAGTTAATATCATTTGTGTTTAAACAACTATAGAACATCAGCCAAACAACACTTTATTTGGACACACCTGCAAAAGGGCAATAATAAGAATGCAAACTGGTATGAATCCCGTCCCACTTGGCTTAATAATAAAGGTGGAAAGAGGCTCAAAGGCGTAGTGTCCCTTCGTCCTGTCAGGAAGATCAAGAAGTTACCTGAAGATTTCCTTGTGTATTCTCCAATATCACAGGAAGAGCAGTACAGAATAGTCGAGGCTCGACAAAAGAGCATGAATTATTTAGAGGCCGATTTTAAGTGCAAGCTTTGTTTCAAAGGCTTTCGAGAGACTACTACATATAACAAACATATGAGGAAGCATGACCCGGTAATTTACATAAATAATGTTACTTTTATTTGCCATAGGTTTATTCTTGTTTTATTTGGCAATACTAAGATTTTTTCGGAAACTCACAACTCGTCTTCATAACATGATTTTAATATAATGTTGGATTTTTTTCTATAGGCATTTGCAGGTAATCTCCAGTGTGACGTATGCAAATTATATTTTAAGGATACAAGGAAAATGTACAAACACATGAATATCACTCATCTTTTCAAATATTCATGTCAAATTTGTAGTTATGTCTGTTATAATAAGTAAGTATAACATAATTATATCCTGAATGTTTGTATGTTATGTCGGTTAAAATAACGCTAAAAATCAAATTATCGAAAAAAATCTAATCAGAAATAATGTTGAATTGGCCTTATGAACGGCCTCATAGTGTAAAGACATTTAATGAATACATTATAACAAAAATATAGCCATTTAAATTTTTATAGTGCTAAAATTTCTAAAAAGCAATGGCGACATCTCTCATTCGAATTATCGTTGTAAAACGATATTCAAAATTGTTTGTATGCTGGAAAGGACATAGCCATGAATGCGCCAAGCATTACGTTAAGATGTTTGTTGGTGTGGCAATCAGGCTGTTAGATTATTAGTTATATTTTAGTGGTTAAAGCAACAGGCCGCGAATGCCGAAGACGTGGGTTCGATTCCCACAGCAACGATAAACTTTTCGTAGTTTTTTCTACAAATTATAATAAAAAAACATAGCCAAAATTAGTGGTATCATGTATGTGGGATCAATTCATACAAGTTGTATGGTTAATTGAATATTTAAGTATAACTTTGAATTATTTCGAAGAGAGGATACTTTTTGTTTTAAATTGGTTTAAATTTTCAGAGGACAAGCGCACCTGCACTACAGATGGCATAAAAATGTCACATACCAGTGTCAACACTGCAAGATGGAGTTCAAGTGAGGATTTTTTTCAATTATAATTGGAATTCTAAATAATAATTTTCCACAACAGACTGCCTAATATTGAAGTAGAACCAATGTTGTCAATTATAGTTCCATAAAAACGATGTTGGTCGAATGTTTATAAATTGCGCCATAATTTATTACTTAGTTTATTAATTTTAATTCTACATAAAAAATGTATTGCAATCGCAACGACTGCGTATATAGTAATGGTTGATCGTGGTCACCTGGTCAATGGACAACAATTAGTTGGACTTTAGTTCAAATGTGAATTTTTGAAGATAAATAGACTAACGCAAATTTTTTCGTCTTCCAAGTAACGCGCCCATACGCTACACCAACTCGAGAGAACCACGAGTAAATCTCGATATTCACTTTCTTTATTACATTTTTAGCAACTCACTGCGCCATGTAGTGTGCATACTTTAAAGGGTGAAACATGTTACAAATAACATTTAAAGATAATTGTTTGTAACGAAAGTTTAACTGTGGTAGGGCCACGCAACAGTGTTCGCTGTTGCACGAATGGGCAGGTCCGTCCGGGAAAGTACCACGACCTCACAGAAGACCGCCGTGAAGTAGAGGTTTTACATTTCTGCGCTTCGTCTGGTGAGTGAGGTAGCCGGGGCCCAATTTATTAAAAAATGCCAACGCATATGCAACCCTACGGGTGTTGCATATGTTAATCGGCGGCGGTTATCGCTTAACATCAGGTGGACCGCCAGCTCGTTTGCCACTTTGTCACATAAAAAAAGTCATTGGTTTGAAAATTTATATAATATTTACACGGGACGCAGGTTCGAATCCCGCCGTGGCCGAATAATTTTTTCGATTTGTCTGCAAAAATTCACATTTTATCTTTCATCTGGAGTGCGGAAATAATTACAAAAATATATTTTAGTTGATCAAATAGGTGTATACAATATTGGACTTAATTTTTGTGAGAAAATCCCCACGACACGAATTATTCTCGTTCGCGAGTCGCATTAAGTATGGGGAAAATATGTTTTTTTAATGTAAATAGTAATTATCAATATTATATAATTTAATGTGTTTGCAGCAAAGCTTCGACCAGGTTGACTCACATTCGAATAAAACACCCATCGACGAACATTTGCAATCTATGCGGGCACAGTTTCGTAAGCGAGACGGGCCTGTATTGCCATCAGAGAATCGCTCACAGCAAGGAGGTAATATTAATATAGTATTAAATAATATTAACAAGCGAAGCGAAATCTTTGGATCCCTTTTTAAGAATATTTCGCGCACGGAGGAGTGTGCGATTTGATATTGTTAATCTTGTTACACTTATAAAATCGTTTGCCATGAGTGAGAATATTCATACAAAAGAGAGCTGAACTTCGGAGTCTTGGTTTATTTATATCATGGAATTATCCGCTAAGAAAGATTTTTTGGATAATACAACTTTAAGCTGGGTAATGGAAAATTTAAATGAAACTGATAGGAAAAATAAAAATTTGAATTACAGCTACGGAGAGCCAATAAACAATGGACTCGGGTCAGCTCTTTTTATACAGCGTGTCGTTACCATCGCGACAATAAATGAACACACGTCTAAAGCTACTTGCCAATAATCATAAAAAAATATTAACGTTAAATAAAATCCATAATTAAAAAAAAATATTTTTCAAACAAACTAATTAAGTAAAAAAGAAACAAAATTTGTAACATCCTATACAAATCGCGCCACAGCGTCGCATTACAAGCCTCTCCTTCTAACAGTATGTTTTGTCTCTTTTAAACTCATTCAACCCATTCATATGCTTTGTGACCTTTACAAATGAACTTTACGTTCCAGTTTTATACGTAAGGGTGTTCTAAAATTGTTTGTTTTGGAAAATTTAATAACTCGGTAAATATTGATGTTTGAAGAATGTAAGTGTTTAATACAATTTTAAAAAGTTATCCTCTATATGTGTGTTCATTTATTGTCGCGGTGGTAACGACACGCTGTATATATTATGTATACTAGCTGATCCGGCAAACGTTGTTTTGCCATATAAATTATTTGTAGGAGAGAAAAAAAAAAAAAAATATGTTATAAATCTATTCTCAAACCTACTGAATGTACATATAAAATTTCATCTTAATCGGTCAAGCCGTTTCGGAGGAGTATAAACACTAAAACTGTGACACAAGATTATTACATATTAGATGGCCATACCGGTTTTTTGAAGACGAATCAAACTTGCAAAGCCGTGGACAAAACGTATACGCTATCAACGTCAAACAGATAATGCAGAGAGTACATATTTTCAAAAGTTTGCACAGAGTAAAATATAAGATAAAGAATTTTAAGGTTGAATTTCGACAAATGGTTCGCCCCCATTGTTCGTTGTTCCAATGAATGTTTTTTATTTCAAAGTTATGGCATTACAGCAAGCCATTATTGATGAGTGATGGAGACTAACACTTGAGATGTTCCCCGCTTCCAGCTACTGAGAGGTCTTTGATCATATCGCTCGCGGTACGGAACGCAAAGCTATGGATTGAATTCATTTATTTTTATTTTTTTCTCTCGTTCGAATTATCGTTGTAAAACGATATTCGGAATTTTTTTTATGCTGGAAAGGATATATAAACACGGATGCGTCGAGCATTGCTTCGAATGCTAAAAAACAATGTAGATAAAAGTCGTTGAGATTTTCTTCAAACTGAAGTTCGTCGAAGACGCTATTAGAAATTGTTTTCTATGACAATTGAATATTTAAGGCCTTCAGATTATTATGATCAGTTCGAGTTATAAACATGTAATATTTGAGCAAAAAACCAATTTATACCTTGCCAAAGAAATATTTCGATGCTCTGATCCAGTATGATAACCACAATTGCGAATTACTCACGATTCCCGTAATCGTGTCGTTGCATTCGATATTGTACCCTATTATGCAGGAATAAGATCGATTTTCTCGTTCTCAGGATATCGGTCGTGGCTGTACTGAAGTATGGAATGAAACAATTACGAAATAGTCACAATTCCTGGAAACTTGTTGGTGCATTCGATATTGTACTCTATTGTGCTAGAATAAGAATCGATTTGCTTGTTCTCCGCAGATCGGTCGTGGCTCTACTGAAGTACGGAATAAAACAATTACGAAATAGTCACAATTCCTGTAATCTTGCTGGTGCATTCGATAGTGTACTCTATTTTGGAGGAATAAGGTCAATTTGCTCGCTCTCAGATCGGTCATTGTTGTACTGTAATATGGAATACCACAATTACGAATTACTCACAATTGTAATCCTGTTGGTGCATTCGATAGTGTACTCTATTGTTGAGGAATAAGATCGATTTACTTTACGATTCCCAAAATAAAGTCGTTGCATTCGATAGTGTACTCTATCACGTAGGCATAAGGTCGATTCGCCCGTCCGCAGGAGATCGAGTGCAGCGAGGCGCTGGAGGTGAACGTGGAGGACCCGCTGTACTGCGCCGAGTGCAAGATCCAGTTCAAGAACCAGGACGCCTTCGCGACCCACTTCGGCAGCTCGAAGAAGCACTCCGTCACGAACCGGTATCGTTTCACATGATCCTTACTGTCAGGGCCGGATTTAGAGGTACGGAGGTCTCGGGGCAACAACGGAGTGGAGGCCTTGGGAGATTATTTTCCATTGTTTTCTGTTAAAATTTAATGTGATCATGTTCGTACATAGTACTGTAGGTAAAGGTAAAACGCGAAAAAAAAATATGAAAGGAAAAGTTGTTTACTAGTGACTAGTAAATAGTCTGGATTTGATTTTTTTTTCCCGAAGTATGTAATGTCCCCCACATTAGATACTTCCCTCTTTTGTGGAGGCCCCGGGACTGTTGCCCCGGTTGCCCTCCCCTAAATCCGGCCCTGTACAGTACAGTATAGTACTGTACTGTACTCATAAAGTCAAAGTATATTTATTCAATATAGGCTGTAATTGTATTTGTGCCATTTGCTGTTGAAACATTAGGTCCGTGGGGTCCCCGCACATCAAATTTTTTTAAAAGTTTATGTCCTAGGCTTAACGCCGCGGCTGGTGACAAGAGAGCTGGTACTGTACTGTGAGCATAACTCATAAATGTCAAGCGTGGCACCATGCCGCGTGGATTAGGTTTATTAGATAATATGTAATTTTCGATAGATTTAATCTTGTAAATATTAGATCAATAAAGATTGTCTGTTCCCTTATATAGGCCTAACTTAAGCTCTTATTGAACGTCAACAAAAAATCTACCACCGGTTCACTAAACTAGACCTGCACAGAGAAGAACCGGCAAGAAACTCTGCGGTCTTGTTCTTTTTGTTTTATATTTTTTTTTTTGATGCAATTATACACACTTATTTAGGTATAAAATCAGCAGCAGCCAGGGGTCTTGCAAGTGCAGAGCAAGAGTCATTTCCAAACATCCTTGTCCTCAATGTATTCTTGGATATTATAGTATGCCCTTGCCATTAAGGTAGCTTTTACAAATTGTTTAAAATTGTTTATACTTAATTGTTTGTGGATGTCACCTATTTTATTATAAAAGTTGATGCATCTTCCAAGAAACGACTTTCTGGTTTTAGCCAATCTAAACCTCGGTACTTCCAGAGTGTCACCACGGCCCCGACGCGATGTGGATTTTTTTTTTTCGTAAATAGGTGGATATTCTTACGTACATACATGATGTTCTCAAGTATGTAAAGCGACGGGAGCGTCAAAACGTTTATTTGCTTAAATATATGCCGTAGTGACTCACGTGGACCCAAGCCATAGACGGCCCGTATAGCTTGCTTTTGTAATACAAATATCGTGTCTAAACCGGATGCGGAACCCCAAAGTAAGACACCATAGGACATTATGCTGTGAAAATAAGCATAATAAACTAATTTAGCTGTTTCCTCGTTAGTTAGCTGCCTGATTTTGCGTATGGCAAAGACGGCAGCGCTCAATTTCTTAACTAACTTATCTACATCAAATCCCCATTGCAACTTGGAGTCAACGCTTATTCCAAGAAATGTTGTTGAATCCTCAAGGGGTAGGATTTTCTCATCAATAGAGAATCCTGATTGGTGACACAACTTTGAAAGAGTAAATCTAATACATTTTGTTTTATTGGAGTTCAAAAGTAAGTTATTGGTAGCAAACCAGCCAGACACAACATCTAGTATTTCATTTGGTTGTTCCAGTGCATTATCTTTCCTTTTAACTTTAAACAATAATGAAGTGACATCCGCAAACAAAACAATTTGAGACCTTTTTTCCACTATATATGGCAAATCATTAATATAAACTAAAAACAGAAAAGGGCCCAGGATCGATCCTTGAGGAACGCCCATTTTTTACTTTTGACCCCGTTGACAATATACCATTTATGATTACTTTTTGTTCCCTGTCAGTAAGATATGAGGAAACAAAGTCAATGGCACTATTTCGAATACCATAATATTCCAATTTCCTGATTAGAATTGTATGATCTACACAGTCAAATGCCTTGGAAAGGTCACAGAACACACCAATGGTGTCATGAAAGCTTTCCCAGGACTGCAGGATATGTGAAACTAATTCTATCCCTGCATCAGTTTTGGATCTACCTTTAGTAAATCCAAATTGGTGCTGATTTAAAATTTTATATTTGTTAAAATGAACTATCATTTGATCCAGCATTATTTTCTCAAACACTTTGCTTAAGGCCGGCAACATAGAGATAGGACGATAATAAGAGGCATTATCTCTCGAACCCGATTTATATACTGGCACAACTTTACTATATTTCAATATCTTTGGGAATTTGCTACTGTCTAAACAAGTATTAAATATTTGGGCTAATGTGTAAGCGATGTCATAGATTATAAGATCAATTGCCCATAAAACCGTTTGTCCTGACTTGACTGTCAACGCACAGGCAAAACTACTAAATCTCGAGAGCTACAGCTTAGGGTATTTATTTTATTTCGTCATGTGAGCTTCCGCTGAGGAAAGATTTTTTGGGGAATTTAAACTTCAAGGGATAGGGCGGACCTTGTGCGAAAGTTTTTGCGTGAAAATTTTAATTACATTTCCTCCAATAAATAAACGGGTTCTAAGTTTAAAAATAATAAAGGGGTTCTAGGTTTAGGTAACGTGTTTATTATATGTAAGAAGTTCAACATTTGAATTTTATCATCACATTGCAGTTCCGTGGTCAACAGCAGCCCGGGGAAGAACGTGCAAGCCAAGAAGCGGAAGGTGACCCGTCGCGACGGCTCCATTATATTGAACAACGGCGTGCCGACGTCTACGAAGTGCGAAGTGGTGAGCGATACGGTCACAGTTTTAACTGTCGGCCATAATGTATGCAAAACTGTATGAGCGAACTATCAGCCGAATAATGGGTCGTGATATGTATACATACATACATGGATTTTTTAAAGTTTATATTTTTTATGATTATTGACAAGTGGCGTTGGAAGTGTGTCCATTCATTGTCGCGGTTGTAACGCCATGCTGTATTATAAATCGTATATCCGGTGCTATTTAGTGTTTAGTATAGTTAACTAGCTGCTACCCGCGACTACGTCTGCGTAGGATAGGCTGAAGGCGTAAACACACAGACATAAAAATACGTATATGTATAAATTATAGCCTATGTTTTATTCCGATGTATAAGCTATATCATTGTAAAGTTTCATTAAAATCCATTCCGTAGTATTTGCGTGAGAGAGTAACAAACATCCATCTACATACAAAATAACGAACTTTCGCGTTTATAATATTAGCAAGGGTTATGCATGTCGATGTTCGCAGTGCGGTGAGTTCCTCTCCAACGACGTGCAGGCGAGGAAGCACTACGAGGCGGAACATCCCGGCGTGGAGTTCCTCAAGCGGTACATGTGCGACGTTTGCGGCCACACGACCAAGGTGGGCGATGCGAACGATTCTTCGAGAAACAGCCATTTTTAGGGTTCCGTACACGAAGGGTGAAACGGGACCCTAATACTAAGACCCCATTGTCTGTCCATCCGCCTGTCACCAAGCTGTATCTCGTGAACCGTGATAGTTACGACAGTTGAAATTTTCACCACGATGTATTTCTGTTAACAACAAATACTAAAAGATAGAATAAACAAATATTTAAGGGGGCTCACATACAACAGACATAATATTTTTGCCGTTTTTATAGATAACACTACAGAACCTTTTTGTGGGCGTGGGCGACTTCGCGGCGTTACCAAGGCAACCGATGCATTTTTTTTACATTCACCTATGATTCCGAGTTATTCAATTAAGCCGTTATCAATAGTATTTAATGTCCTTTTCAAAGACAAAGAGTTCAGGCACGGGGAATATTAAGTTTTAGTTTTTTTTTTAATTGATTACTTTATTATTTTTCTTTTGTTACTGTAAAGAAGTATAACTTGTTGCGGGCGCACATAAGCACACAGACACACACACTCCCATACACATTTTTTTATTGTCCCCAGCAATACGCCAACCTGATGGTCCACATGCGCACGCACACGAACGAGAAGCCGTACCAGTGTCCGCAATGCGACCGCCGCTTCAGCATGCCCAGCAACAGGGACCGTCACCTCGTCGTAAGTGGCTTAGTTGCGCAGTGGCGCAGTGGAGCAGTTGCGCAGTTGAGCAGTGGCGCAGTAGCCGAGACGTCGGCCCCGGCCCGCGGTCGCACGTTCGATTCCCACACGGGACAGCTGTTTGTGTGGCGCGCAGATGATTGTTTTGGATCTGAGCGTTTGTCCGAGCGATATTTGTGTTTGTGAAGTGTGTTTATAATGTTATCCAATAGTGAGGGAAATTTAAAAAAAAAAATAGTGAAGAAAATGTGATTATTAGGTCCTCAAGATGAATTTCAATTTCGATGGAGCAGTTCGAAACGCATTCAACGATTTCATTGATTCTCGCTCTTGCAATGTTTTCAGGAACTGAATTAATGAATTACGTATAAAAAGGCGAAAGCGCATAGGTAAATAACAATGGTGCATACTGCGATTGACTAAATATATAATTTTAATCTTTTTTCCATATAAACCGCCGTATATTTCTAACAGGCGGTTATTGTCGGTACGCCGCAACTTCCATAATTCTTCATAGAATTTAACGTGTCGACCACCATTTCAAATCTAATGTCTGCATATACGAGAGGGATATAGATTTGGAAGGCCCTGGATCGGAACCTTGGACTGATCGGCTGCTTTTTGAACTCCGTTAGGTCCACACCGGGGAGAAGCGATACCAGTGCCAGCTGTGCAACCGTCGCTTCACCCAGAGCAGCGCCGTCAAGCTTCACATACAGACGGTGCATCTGAAAATACCCTACGCGCCGTGGGACAAGAAGAACAGGTGCGGGTTTCTACGAGTTTTTAAGAAGTTATACACTTTGCAATTATCACGATTGGCGGTGGAGGAAAACACCGCGAGGAAACCTGCGTATTTTCGAAATAATAATTTAAAAAAAAGTATTTCGAAATAAAATATGTGAAGCCCGCCAAGCCGCAGCGGGGTGTGGACTACATTCTATATAGAGGCTTTTCTAAATATATCCATTTTTTTATTAAATTCTAGACTAATAAAATATATAAAAAATGATAAATATTTAAAATCACTCGTAAGTAACTAAATTACATTCATTTGAACTTATCTCAAAAAGTGCGTGATTTATACGCAACTCATTTATTTTACGCGCGATCATTCATAACTAACACGCACACAAGTTCGTGCACAGTAAAAGGAGAATGACCAATTTTGGTACCCGTTTTTCTTTTGCGCCCGAATGAAATTAATATTATTAATATTGCTTTTTATTTTCCTCTTCGTTAGTCTAACAGAATTTTTGTTTTGAACCGGGGTTTTATTTTACAACAAAATAAAGTTTTGTTTCGTATTATCAACAAATCCGGAAACGCACCGGCAATTGACAGCTGTATACAAAGTAAACAGATCTAATACTAGATAATCGATTGTAAGTATAATATTGTATTTAATTATTATCGATAAATTACAATTATAAGCTTGTGTTAGGTGAAACAGCACAATATACATATACGTTATCTAGTTACAGTTATTAGTAGTTATATGTTATTTTTAAATCTACTCTGATACTTTATTACATTATTTATAAATCTACATAAGAAATCGATTTCGGAAACTCGATTGTCGTCGACAATCGACTTCAAGTCATGGTACCCAATATTATTAATTAATCTGTTTGTTATGTAATGTGTTCATCGTCTTGAACTCTTTAAGTACCTAAGTAACATTAGCAAAGTGATATATCGTTTATTGTTTTGACTTTTATACTTCATACACGTTATATATACGTGTATTGTTACGACGGGAAGTTTCTTAAACAATTAGTTGTGTGAAGTGAATTGACTCAAAATGCCCACGCAAGGAGTCGAACGACAATAAAAACTATAAGATAGAATACAACAAATAACAAACGCAGCGCTTTGGATAGGCGATGCGTCGAACTACTAAATAACATATTACGGTTTTGGAATCAATCCTATACAGGTAAGCACATTCTAAGACTCCTTGAATGAGTATTGAGTACAAAACGTTCTTTTAGTTGTGGATTAATTACTTCCAATAATATCAAGATCAGTATTTTATTATCATCTTATTGTTATATAATTTATAACAACTTTCCTTTTGTCATCTCTAATAAACTATATATTTTAATTTTATAGGCAAAACATACATAAATAACAATATACACTAAAAGGAATATTGATCCCTTTATAAATTGTGTATCTCTAAATAGTTACTTTTAGAAAAATGTTACACAAATATTTCTTTTTTCTGATAAACATTTTTTCCTTTTGAAAAAGACATATTTATTAAAGTATATAAGTGTTAAAGCCATAATTATTTAATAAGTAAAATATACAAATAAAACTTGGAATTTCATGCTAATATTATTTTGTTTGTTACATTTACACCATAAAAAATTAGATTACATAAGCACCTAATATAAAACAATATTTTTTCAGCTCTCTCTGGAAAGCATCAGTTGTAATGAATGTTTTGGAATAATTACAAAAGAAGTAAACACAATGAGTGAAAAAATGATTCAACACTGCCTGGATTGGGACATGAGTCTATGTTGTGTTTTCATGTGAATTATTTTGCTAGCACAAAGGGTTTATTTGTACAAGAAAATATCAAGAAAGGACATTTTTAGGAAATTGATTCCGTGTCACTTTTAAATTATTTTTTTTGCTTCCTAGATAATTCAGGGATGATCCCCTATAATGACCGCCTGAGATGGAAAAAATTATAATGTAGATACTTTATGAATATTCACCTCCACATTTGTGTAGCTTTTATAATTTGCTAAATTGTATCCAGTATGTTAGTATATACTCTTCTTACAACACAAGTACCAAGTGGCACCACAGCATTGTGTATTTTTATTTCATTTTATAAGGGTTAAAAAACAGCAACAATATATGATATAAAAATTAGATTACATAAGCACCTAATATAAAACAATATTTTTTCAGCTCTCTCTGGAAAGCATCAGTTGTAATGAATGTTTTGGAATAATCACAAAAGAAGTAAACACAATGAGTGAAAAAATGATTCAACACTGCCTGGATTGGGACATGAGTCTATGTTGTGTTTTCATGTGAATTATTTTGCTAGCACAAAGGGTTTATTTGTACAAGAAAATATCAAGAAAGGACATTTTTAGGAAATTGATTCCGTGTCACTTTTAAATTATTTTTTTTGCTTCCTAGATAATTCAGGGATGATCCCCTATAATGACCGCCTGAGATGGAAAAAATTATAATGTAGATACTTTATGAATATTCACCTCCACATTTGTGTAGCTTTTATAATTTGCTAAATTGTATCCAGTATGTTAGTATATACTCTTCTTACAACACAAGTACCAAGTGGCACCACAGCATTGTGTATTTTTATTTCATTTTATAAGGGTTAAAAAACAGCAACAATATATGATATAAACAGAAAATCTGCTGCTACTGTTATGTATTATACTATTATGTTACAATTACTAAATACAAAAAAGAAACACTTAAAAATATATAATTATTTAAAAGTAAAGCTTAACTTATTTAGTGTTGGAACCATTTGGTTTCATGTATTTATTTATTTAGTGTAAAAATCAAACAATTTATTTAAGCAATTTATGATTGTATGTTGTGATGGCTGTATTGTGATATGTCTTGAATATTTGGCTATATTTTATATGTTATCTTCACATTGTAATAAAATATTTACAGCTTATTGCTATGCTTTAATAGGCTAATAGTTTTAATTAATTGCTTGTTAATATTTGTTATAACTCTGTTCTGACTGAGCTACAGATCATTATTGTGACTATAGCTTCTGTTTTTGCTTCCACATAGCTCCTTTTCTGCATAGGCCTGCCGAATCAGGAAGTAAACTAGTGACCATACCTGCGGCCGATTGAAATAAATAATTGTTGACTAGGAAAGGGCCTTAATTACTTCCCCAACATTCCCATGTATATGACTGAAATAATTTTTTGGCGTTTTTTATTTTTGCCTTTTGTTTTACTGATAACCTTATTCATTTGCCTGGAAGAAATTGCTACCTTAGCAATAAAGCCGCCTGTATGTACACTTTATTTTCTATGTGTTCCCTTGTGTGCAATTACGTACATTCTATTCTACTCAATTCTCAAAGGCATTTAAGGTTCGCAAAAAAGTAAGTGTCTACTTCCTATAGTCTATGACTCAGTCCCTTCTTGCCCCCGCGTATAAAGGGTTGATAACAATAAAATAGAATGACGAATACGGTATTTAATACTAAATAGTTTACATCAGTTAAACTGAAAACATGAACCTTAATATATACCTTAAATATTGGACCTAGGAACTGCTTACATTGGTTTTGAGGTTATGTTGCATTTTTAAAAATAACTTTAAAAACCAGTTGTTAAATTAAAAAATAATAAATAAGGTGAGTTAAGGAATATTTATAAAGCCTTTATAAAAAGTTTGGTTGGGATGCATTTCTAGACGGCGCTCCATACATTTTTAAACATCTTTAGGTATTTATTGCACGAATGGGCAGGTCCCTCCGGGGAAGCACAACGGGACCGCAGAAGACCGACGTGATGTGTAGGTGTTACACTTCTGCGTTTCGTCTGGTGAGTGAGGTAGCCGGGGCCCAATTTATTAAAAGGTGGCAACGCATCTGCAACCCTACGGGTGTTGCAAATGTCCATGGGCGGCGGTTACCACATAACAGTTGAACCGCCTGCTCGCTTGACAGCTTTAAAAGAGTGCTACTTAACCGCTAACATGAAAAGAGAGCTGTTATAAGTTTGACGTGTCTGTTTTTGTATAACTGCCTGTCCACGAATGGACCGATTATGTTCAATTTTTTTTGTTGTTTGAAAACTAACGTGATCTAGATGGTACTTAAAATTTATAATTTTATATCGTTTAAGTTGTCAGGTTTAATCTCATTACTAAGATGTAAACAAGCATATTCTTCTACTTATTCTGGATGAATATGCTTATCTGATGATGATTCTACTTATTTTTGAAGGTCACCGCTGGGACTATTGCACTTAATAGTAATAATAAAGAATAATATAAATAATATCCTCTTTTATCAGGAAACGTCGTCGGGAAATGGAGGCACCGTCCTTGCCAACCGTCACCACACAGCCTCCAGAGCAAAAGATCATCATCGAGACGAACACCGATTACTTGAACGCGTACATCTCCTACAACGAGTGAAATTCCCCTCTAAAATTGTTAATTAACGGGCGCTTTGGAGAGCACAGTCGGCACCAGCATGACCCGATTGGTTTATTGAGTGGCGACCCTGCCTCTTGCGCCAGAGGGTGTGGGTTCGATCTCCCGCTACTTGAATTTGTGTGATGAACATGGTGTTTCCAGTCTGGGTGTTTATATATTTATAATGTTTATTTGTTTACACAAGAAAGGATGTTTAAGTATGTTTGTCAGTTGTCAAGTACCCATAGTGCAAGTGATGCTTAGTATGGAACTAGACAACGATGTCCTGTGTCCTGAACTAGTTATTATTTTATTAAGTCAAAGTTTCTTTGTTCAACATAGGCTTGTTTTAAGCTCTTATTGAACGTGAAACTATCACCGGTTCACTAAACTAGACTTGGCCAGAGAAGAACCGGCAAGAGTCTGCGGTCTCATATTTTTTTAAATGATATAAGTATACAAAATTATTTAGGTGTAAAATCAGAAGCGTGTGTGAGCAGAGCAAGATTCATTACCACAGCAACTACAGATTTACGAGACTGCGAACGACGTAAATGGTGATATATCGGTTGTTAAGATCCAATTGCCGCTTCTGTTTTTGTTGTTCCACTCGACAGCACAGTTGTTAATGAAGCAGCTTTAGTTAATTTAAATAGTCCTATTTTCAACTGACTTCAAAAAGGAGGTTCTCAATTCGGTTGTATTTCTTTTATGTTTGTCACCTCAGAGCTCTGTCGTTAATGAACCAATTTTAAAAATTCCTTTTGCATTGGGTTCACTTTAAATCCCATGTGTGTCCTGGAATTCATTGATATCGGACCTTCGACTCTGGCGTTACATCAGGGAACTCCTCAAAATCGAAATGAATACATAAAATGAGAGAGATATTTGAAATCGGTTTTGTTTTTTGTTAATAAAATGTACCATACAATTGTATTAACACAACTACATTTTAAAGACGAAAGGTTGAGGTTTCAAGAAGGTTGGCCACCCCTGCATTAAGACTAAATTTAGTCTTAATGCAGGGGTGGCCAACTTTCTGCAAACCAAGTGCGCAATGAAAAATTTTTATAGCGCTGTGAGCGTTTCTTTGCGATTTATAAATTTCATTTGTTCAAGAAATGCTTTTGTTACAAATATCAAATTAAAAAAAATGAACGATATTATTACTTAATTTAAAATTATTTTAATTGAGTTGAGAAAAGTTTACAAAGATGGAAGTTTAAATTACTACTATAAAATCATGCAACGGGCACCGCGTTGGCCACTACTGGTCTAATGGATTCACCCGAAATATTGTATAATGCAAATGATTACGAAGCGCTGTGCAGATGGGAAGAATCTCGCTTGAATTAAAAATGTATTGTTGCCGAGGCCTTTTATAGATTTGCTAGAATCTGCTACTTCAGTATTCGTTTGTTTATAGACTTATTAACGACGAACGGTTTTAATATTCTATCTGCAGATAGATTTGGTTACTAGCGATAGGTATTTAACTTAGGTCCATAATCTAACTAACTGCAGATTGTATATTGAAACCGTTAGTGTGTCGCCAAGTTTTTAGTGGTCATGTAAAAGTGGCGAATCGTGTTCATCTTAGATTATAAAAACTTTGCCTTAGTCATTTATATTATACGGATAAGAAATTGTGTTTTTGGCTAGATAACATTTTTTCAAATGGATATAGGTACTTTTTCGAGATGTATGAAACCATATTTAAATGTATGGTTTCATACATTTAGCTAAATGTCATTTAGATAATATTTTAAATATGATTAATCTTTAATTCTATGATATTAAAATACAGTATAATTCAAGTTTTTTCTTTCTATAAGAAAACCTTTTCCCAATTCCATAGTAAGATTTACTACGTGCCGTTTTGGGAGCCATTTTTCTGTCTTATGTACCTATAACAAAACTGGTACATGTGGCATTACTGACGGGACACGAAGCACTCTTCGCTGTTGCACGAATGCGCAGGTCCGTCCGGGTAAGTACCGCGACTTCACCAGAACACAGGTAGTGTTATACTTCTGCGTTTCGTTTGGTGAGAGCCGTAACCGGGGCCGTTTTTAAAGTACAGACAACGTATTTGCAACCCTACGATCTTGCTTAAAAATACGTTATTACGGTGTTAAGGCCATTGAACGAAGCCCGGGGAACTACCGCGGTGTCGCATGCATAGTTGCCTGTAATCATTCCGACCGGACTGAGAAAAAAAATAGGTCTCTGCCAAAAAAAAATCCGTGAGTTGATCCACTAAACGGACGTAAGTTACTAAAGTAGAAGTGTTAATTACAATTGAAGTAAAAACATTCAAGATGGAGCAGTGACAAAGCTAATTAACCAAACGTTGATTTCGCAGTGTTTTTTCTTTTCAATTCGGTAATTACGCTATAAATTATTTTAAGGGTCTCAACTGTAATTTTATGTTGGACATATTTTTTTCTAACATTCAATTTATCTTAGGTAGGGATTTAACATTAAATAGCTGTCTTGTTATCCTATGACGATGGTGCCACGTTTTTAAAATATAAAACAAGTAAAAAAATGTAAGATACGAATAAAATCTGAACTTCGTCTTATTGTACATCTATTTATTTTAATTCCATCAATTTTAAGCTTAAAATGTAATACGAAAATTCACAATTCATTTATTATCCAATTAAACGTAACTATGTTCCCACAATGTTCTTAAAAACATGATGAAAGGTTTTTTTTTTTAGATAATACGTGTTTAAAAAATTAATTTAAACTGCAATACCATTTGATTGCAGTTTTTATTTAATGAAATATGTTATAAATAGTCTTAACAATTACTAATTTCACAACATGTACCTACATATATTATAGCACATGTCATTTGTGGCAAATGTTTTCGCTTTCAGTTGAAAAGTAGATTAATTTATATTCATAAATAGTGTCTGTTATGTGAATCATTTACTGTCCACGTACACACGACAAATGACTTGCATAAACTGGATGCATTTATAGCCCTTTGTTGAAAAAGACCTGTGTAACCTTGGGAAATTTCTTCGCTATTACATCCTGTAAATAGAGAAAATAATTTAACGATTAACTGTACTGTATGAGGACTCCGTGGCGCGGTTTGAGTTGCCAGGTATTTACTTCATCGTGGGGGGTCGTCGGTTCGATTCCCACACGGGACAACATTTGTGTGAACGACAGATAATTGTTTTACAAATGGGTGTTTTCCCGCGTGAAATTTATGTTTCCAGAATGCCCTTACAACACAGGATAATGTTATCCTAAAGGGCAATGTTTAAAAAAAAAGAACTGTATAATCAGTCACCCCTTAACAGAAATTAGCCTTGTGCAAATAATGCATATCACTTATTGTAACCTAAGGTTTTTGAATTAAATACCAAAGTAGGGCGATGTGGCGTGTGAGAACTGCCATTATTGGGTTCAGTTTCCCGTCGCGACGAAATCTTGTGCAATAATTATTTAAACATACTTCAAATTTATATTTTACATAATTATTTTAATTTATTATAACCGAATTCGTATGGTGTACTTCACGCATGTACTCACAGTCTCCACAGGATGACTGCAGGAGTGCTAAGAAAAATACAATAATAAAGAATCGATGCTTTTAAAAATGTAAGACTAAGTCATGCCTACATGACTTAGTCTCGCAAAATGAATATCGTTAGTACACAAAAATGGTAAAGAATTACTATTTTTTTTCTTAATCTATCTCAATCTTTTATCCACCTTACCTACTTCGTTTTTTTCCAAACCCGTTTATCTCGTGGTAGTCTTCAACTGAAGTAAAATGAAAACAATACCCTATATTATGTTCTATTGTTGAGCAAAAGTCTGCACTATACCGAGTGTATTAAGGCATGGTCTACCAAGCGACCCCGTCGAGGACTGACAGACTTTACTTTGAATTTAACAGTTTCATTGGTGCCGACACCAGGATTGTACTCGGGTTGCTCGAGTATACTGAATTAAAAGCGAGCACTCGGACACAGCTATCACTGCTCTTTTTAACCGACATCAAAAAAGAAGGCGATTTCTCAATTTGACCGTATATATTTTTAATTTTTTTGTGTGTTCGCGGATAACTTCGTCATTCATGAACCGATTTTGACGATTCTCTTTTTGTTGGAAAGGAGATATCCCAAGGATGGTACCATGATAAGGAAACCCGGATCTGAAAATGGCATCCCAGAGAAATCGAGGGCAATCCTCAAATGTTTCAATCAATCAGTCAATCTTTTTAGTTTCCTGTTTGAAGTCGTTAAAAATTATAGCAAGCAAAGTTCCGAGCTAGCAAAAGTTCACACCCTGTGTTTCAAGGGTTGAACATTTTTTCGGTTGCCGAAACACAAACCTGTCTTCGCCTCCTCTTCACTTCGAAGCGGCTGAATGAATCCAAATGATATTTCGAAATACTGTAAATCAGTGTAGAATACTTTTACACCTACAAATAATAAATACTTACCAAATAAAAGTTTGAATATGAATTCAGCAACGATAAAACACTTCGTTCAACAGTTTACTTTTAACTACAAGCAAGTCGGTGTTGGTACATAAAAAAAATAGCTAACCCTCAGTTCGGGCTCGAGGCTGGCAACACTCATCGCGGCTCTCTGTTCAAAGATCGCGCAACACAATGGCGTCGCGAATGTGACGCACAGTCCGACCATAAACAATTGGAACGGTATCACCGCCAACGGGTACTTGCAGAACATTCCCCGTTTCGTGGCTATATTCGTTAACACTGGTGTGATGGCTGCAAATATAATTTATTTATTGATCGTTAGTTTTTTTTATGTGAGAAGGTGGCAAGCGAGTGGACCCATGGACATTTGCAACACTCGTAAGGTTGCCGACGGGTTGGCAGCTTTTAATAAAGTGGGCCCCAGCTACCTCACTCACCACACGAAACGCAGAAGTATGACACTTCCGCTTTACGCCGGTCTTCTGTGAGGTCGTGGTACTTACCCGGACGGATCAATACCAATATTGTCACGATGACAAAATTGTGAAATTGATAATACAAAATTGGAAGAAATATAATTTTTTATTCCATAAATAAATGTCTAAAAATAAATGTTTATCCAAACGGTTTTCTAACGCTCCAAAACCTGAAATTTCAAGGTTCTCTCAAGATGCGAATCGACTTTCCAAATAATAGGTATGTCACCGCTCGTTTAATATTCAATATAATTTAATCTAATTCGTTTTTAATCGATCATGGCAATTGATAAATACACAAATATATTTTTTTCTAAATTATTACTCCGGTGCTTTTTTATTCACGAAAAGGTAAAAAATGGGTTATTCAATGAAATAATATAAATGTTGTATATTACGTTTATTTTGTACATCACTTTGTAATCCGTGTTGCAAACAAGTTTCACCCCAAACTTAACATTAACTAGGACATTTTCACAATTGAATTATTGTCAACGTTTCATTCATAACAACACAGCGCTTAAAGCGTAATAGCAACGATAAGCTGAAAGAAACTTTAGTAAAACGTATGTAATTAATTCTACAAAAAGAAGAGAAATTATGTATAAGAAAAAATAATTTTATTTACAAAATTACGCATAAAAAGTAGAAGACGTAACAACAACAATAATATAAAATAACAAAAGTAAAATGCTAAATATAGAAAAACATAAAATAGTTTCAATTAATTGGCCTAGGTAAGAGAGTTTGTAATCTCAATGAGAATAATTTCGCCGAAAATTGCAAGAGCCGAGATTTCAATCACAAATAATCTCGCCGATAACGATTATATTATATCACGTTATTGACGACAGCAACAACAATTGAATTGACGACGTAGTTTAAGCACAACACTGAGTCCAGTTACAAAAAAAAAACATTTACATTAAATTTATCAACTCTCCAAATTGTTAATTTTTTTTTGGTTCTAAAGCTTTAATCAAAACAACAATCATTTACCAAAGTTTCAAATATATTTTGTTCCCTTGGACTAATTAATTCTTGAGAGTTGATTGAAGTCGACGAGTAAGGAAATGGCGTTAAGCCCTCTCCATTCGACTAACAAAGACTTGAACTCTCTGACTCTTTCTAACACGCGCTAAATGGCTGAAGAACGTGAGGAGGGGAAAAATTACAGCTAGTTTTTTTTTTAGCTGACTACGATGGAATGTTTTATCAGCCTGTATATGTTTGTTCCTTTTGTGTACGCTGTGACCAAATTAGATTTTATTGATTCTTACGTCAATCGAAAAGTCTTACGCCCGGTTTCTGAAACAATGATCATCGTAGAAGTTAACTAATCAAATGTCAAAAGGTTTTCAAATGTTATTTCAGTTGCCAAAAGGATTGTTAAACTCTCTGAATTGATCAGAATGATCATCTTAACGATCAGAATGATCACCTCATGATCAGTGAAACCGGGCGTTAATCTTGTACAACTAAAGACATGACGGTAATCAAACATAAATATGGCGACAATCGGGCACCAATACTTAATCTCCTCTGTAATTAATATTGTTACACATGCAAAAAATCAAAAGATTCGTTCGATGCACTGCAAAATAAGAACATAACAGCGTCACAACTTACAACCTAAGACTGAGCAATATCAGTACATTGGAATGTACCGGAAACTGAAATCGATCTTCACTTATAACGAACATCAATCAGCTAAGCTGCAAAAGGAATAAAGATAAACGTAACGGAATGTTCTAGTCTTTGGATAATACATATCACATATTAAACAACGTATACATAGGAATAAAAAACCGCCTCGATTTATTTTTTCTGTGGCTTGGTAATAATTGCACTAAGGAGTCTCTACGAGTTCGGATACCGGTAGAGAATTAGTTCTAGAACTGGTTTTCTTTTACAAATCTCCAACAAAAACGCGTCTCATATCGTATCTAAAACGCAAAACAACTACTGGATTATTCCACCAAAGCTCTCTCAATGAGGACCACCTCTTTACAATCCTTTGTTGAACACCACCTCAGAAAGGCCAGGATATTTCTCCTTGACCTTCTCCTGGAATTGAAAACATTTGCGACCATTATTTTTGGCAATCTTAAAATACATTTTGTATGGTCACGCAGCAGTCTTAGCTGTTGCACGATTGGGCAGCCTCGCCCACACAACAATAAAAATAGGAATTAAATAGCACGACATTTCGGAAGAAGTGAAGTGTAAGTGTTATTATCTATACATATTTAGATTTATATCATCATCATTTTAGCGTGTTCACGTCCACCGCGGGACATAGGCCTGCCCGATCCAGGTTCTCATGTTGTGCGGTCCCCACCTAGGTGAGATGAGGGTAGGAGGCTGATGATAAGCATTCAGGCATTGAGGGATATTGGAATTGGATTTACCGATTGACCTCTGCGTCGAAGTTGGACTTACCTAACAGGACTAACTGTCACACATAGCATGAAGCAATTATAGGTGGTGTGTATACGCTCTACGAAAACGAATTTAGCTGATTGTCTCTTTCCAAAAGTCGATGTGCTATATACAGGATGGCTTTTATAAAGGTGCCCAAATTCACACAGGAGGTTCAGACTCGGTAGTATAATGGTTTATTGAAATAACAACATTTTTTATTTTCAATAAATTGCCATTCTATTCCCTAAAAAACCAGAACTTGTTGACAATGCAGTAGTCATTCAGAAATGCGTTGTATATTTTTGAAACTAACTTGTGTGCGTGTTAGTTATGAATGATCGTGCGTAAAATGAGTTGCCCATAAATCACGCACTTTTTGAGATAAGTCAAAATTAAAGTATTTAATTAATTACCAGTGATTTTAAATATTTATCATTTTTTAACATTATTTATGTCCAGAATTTAATAAAAAAAAATGGATGCACTTAGAAAAGCCTCCCTGTATATCGCCGAGGAGTATTAAACATTTCCTTGGTGTGGATATCCATTAGAGGCGGTAACCACTAAACAAAAAGGTAAACACAATTTTCTCTTAAAAAACACCTTTTTCGAAGAAATGGTACTCTTTCCGATTTATTTGAGGCTTCGCGCTATACCGAAAATCTTTCGTCGCAGTAGACTGGCTAATTAATTTTTGCCTCTACAGTAATATACCGAGGCGTTAGAAGACTGACGTGGAGAGGAAGTGTTAATAACTTCGACGTCGGTGGTAGTGGGTTCGATTCCCGCATGGGACAGCTATTAATTTATGTATGTAAAAACGTGCTTACAACACAGGACAATTTATATATATTTATATCATTAATATGTATATTTATACTACAGTAAGATACACTAAAAAAAATAGTAAGCAACACTCACCCTAAGCTCTGGCTCGAGTTTGTCGACGCTCAGCGTCGCCTTCTGCTCGAAGAGGGCGCAGCAGAGCGGAGTCGCGAAAGTGACGCACATGCCGACCAGTATAAGTTGGAACGGCATCGCGGCGAATGGGTACTTGTTGAACAGTCCACGCTTAGTGGCAATGTTCGTGATGACGGGCGTTAAGGCTGAAATGATGCGTTCGAATTGCAAAATGGGCCATAGGGTAAAATCAAGAACATAACAGAAACAAATCGAATTTCTAATCAACAGATTACGTATACATTTTACACGAACAGTAACAACCTATTATACAGCATGTCGTTACCATCGCGACAATAAATGAACACACGTCTAACGCTACTTGCCAATAATCATAAAAAACATTTTTTTTTTAAATATTTACGTTAAAAAAATGCATAATTAAAAAAATATTATTCAAACAAACTAATCAAGTAAAAAAGAAACAAAATTTGTAACATCCTATACAACTACAACTGACTGATTCATACATTCAGAGACTTTTTCATTTGTTGCTACAGCGTCGCATTACAAGCCTCTCCTTCTAACAGTATGTTTTGTCTCTTTTTAATTCATTCGACCCATTCATATGCTTTGTGACCTTTACAAATGAACTTTACGTTACAGTTTTATACGTAAGGATGTTCTAAAATTCTTTGTTTTGGAAAATTTTATAACTCTGTATATATTGATGTTTAAAGAATGTAAATGTTTAATACAACTTTAAAAAATTATCCCTTATATGTGTGTTCATTTATTGTCGCGATGGTAAAGACACGCTGTAGAATAATCGGTATCGATCGGTCTAACGAGTCGATACTATGGAAATGACGAAGTACTTTCAGACACACTCATAGACATCAATTAGCATTTGTTATCATTAAATTCGTTCATCAAAGGATTTATTAACACTATTTTTAATTCAATAAATTAAAAATCTTCGTAGTCGTAGTACGCAGAACGAATGTTTAGAACGGAGGATGAATATAATTATACTATTATATTATTAATTATTTATCTTAATCTTGTTCATAAATAAGAGCATTAGGAGAAGATAAGCTGATTGACGTGTCTGATTGTTACGGAATATGAATTTTGATTGCAGTCGTACGAATTTTGCGTCTAAATTAAATTGTTACTCGTAGGTACAAAAGTGTATCTTCACAGTGTGATGGCACATGATTTTAGGCGTGATTATGTAACTACACATTTACCTCTAAAATTATTATAATAGTTTATATAATGCAGATAAATAGTTAATAGCCTAAACTACTACTGATTCCATCTAAATTTTTAAATATAAATGAATAGGAAGTAATGCCACATAACGCTTTCTAAGGATACGCCTATGTTGATAGAACGAAAAATAATAAAAGTTGGGCTTACTATTAACAAAAACTCTTGTAAAATATTCTCTTGTGTCGTATAATTAAGCACAATTTCCTCATTACCGCAAACATTTCAATGTAAACTGTTGTTTGTACATTTGAAGCGTGTTTAAAAACTAAATTCATCAAAAATGCTGCGTAGATATTTTTTTCATGTAATAAGATGACAAGCGAGCTGGCGGTCCACCTTATGGTAAGTGAGAACTGCCGCTCATGTACATTGGCAACACCCGGGTTTCAGATGTGACCTTTTAATAAAGTGGGCCCCGGCTACCTCACTGACCAGAAACGCTGAGGTATAACACTTCCACTTGTGATGTCGCGGTACTTCCCCGGACGGACTTGGTCAATCGTGCAACAGCGATGACTGTTGTGTGGCTCTACCACAGTTAAAATGTATATCTAATATTTAAAATTCATTGAACTCCTCCGAAACGGCTCGACGGATTTTCGTGAAATTTTGTGTGCATATCGGCCAGGATGGAGAATCGGACACCACCTATTTTTCATCCCCCTAAATGTTAAGGGTGGTCAACCCCAAATATTTTTTTCTACCCTACAAATTCCTTAGAAATTATTTATACGGCAATACAACGTTTGCCGGATCAGCTAGTATTTAATGAAAGTCGCAACCTATTTCGGTAATGTTGTTTGAGTATATACTCATATTTTATGTTTGTTTTACTTTTACTTTTGCTGGCACGCAAGCAAGTTTTAATATATCTGGTATGACTATTTATTTTTCATGTCGGTAAACTAAACGACTGGTGAATTTCAATGTAATGTAAGACTACGTTAGATTCGTCATATTATTCGTAAAAGTGACGTAACCTATGCAAATACCCCAATTTAAATATTTAAACGGTTTTTCCGCAGTCGGGGTCTTCAGTGATCTGTGTAAATGTTTCTTGTTTACAATTTTGTTTCAACATCCCAAACGTGTCAGAGTCTTAAATTAACGATTGTTAATGTATTTTTTTATTTTTTTTGTCTAAACTCAAGACGAATGTGATTTTTTTGAATAATGTGAATTTTTTGTTGAAAATTTGTCGAAAAAGTCGGCACTGTTAGGATTTTAACTTGCGTTTTGTTTGTTAGGTGGTAACAGGTTCTAGCCGACTAAGCTAAGCGGCTAAAAAAGCAGTTATTTTATAACGAGTAGCCATGCGCTTAACTGTCATTCAATTTGACATTAAGCAGTGATGTATACTTCTTCTAAATATTCGAATTATATATTTTTTTAAATATTCGCGCCACAACCCTTATCATTTTTTTTAAAGACAGATATAACAAACTTTTACCGCGATGCGTATATTTTATCAGTCTCATCGCAATGTTGACACATGAACGAACGAATCAATAAATAAGTGATTCTGCCCAATTGACCATTGTGGCTTTATGGAAGTTTTTTATTAAACACTTGCAAAACACTTGCAAAAACTCGATTCAATATTGTTTACTAAAACCGTCGTAATATTATTATACATCAGTGAAGACTCACTGGCGCAGTTGCTAGTACGATTCTCACACGGTATGAAGTGAGATTTATGTATGTAAAACGGCCTTACCATGTTATCCTATAGAAAGGGCATTGTTTAAAAAAACCGGGCAAGTACAAGTCGGACACACGCATGAAGGGTTCCGTACCACTATCTAAATCGTATCAATAAAAACGGCAAAAAAAAACGTTTCTGTTGTATTTCTTCTGTTCTGCTCAAATGTTTCTGTTTTCTAGTATTTGTTGTTGTAGCGGTAACAGAAATACAACGTGAAAATTTCAACTGCCTTACTATCGCGGTTCATGAGATAAAGCCTAGTGACAGACGGACAGACAGACAGACAGACAGCGGAGTCCTAGTAATAGGGTCCCGTTTTACCCTTTGGGTACGGAACCCAAAAAAAACACAAGAGCGTATATTGCTACCCGTACCCAATACGGAACCATAAACGTAAAGACACAAAGGAGCACTGTACTCACTCATCCCGGGGAGGGCCATGAACACGCGCGAGATACACACTAGGCCGATGCCCATGCGGGCGGCGTTCTTCGAATCGCCCACCCTTTGGCCGTCGGGCGTGAACACGGGCGTGCCGCTCATCAGCTCGCTGCGGAACAGGAGAGTATGATAAATTTTAAAGTTTTTTTATAGTGCTAATCTCTGCACTTAAGATTGAACATTAAAACATGTAGAAAAAGTACGAAAAGATTGTCGCCGCTGTGCGAATCGAACCCACGTCTTCGGCATTCGCGGCTTGACGCTCTAGCCACTGAGCTAAACGGCTGATAGCCGCAGCGACGAAAATCTTAACGCCTTCCTTCTACATTGTTATTTAGCATTTGAAGCAAGGAGAGTATGATGCTGGTGACGTCCGGAAACGACCGAGTGGAAACAACTAGACTTCGAGAGCTTAGACTGTTACATGATTGTGAACTGCAACAAAGAATTTCGCGTGGCCCAACCACAGTAGCATACCGTATAGGAGATCCAGTTTTATAACGGTGGTAGGGCCACGCAGCAGCCTCGGCTGTTGCACGAATGGGCAGGCTCGTCCGGTTAAGTACCATGACCTCACAGAAGACCGGCGTAAAGTGGAAGTATAATACTTTCGCGTTTCGTCTGGTGAGTGAGGTAGCTGGAGCCCAATTTTCAAAAGGGTGCCAACGCATCTGCAAACCCTTGGTTGTAGCAGATGTCCATGGGCGGTGGTATTCACTTAACATCAGGTGACCCAGCTGCTCGTATGGCAACTTTTAACATAAAAAAAAGTATTCCACGTAACTAAACCGGGTAAAAATCCCCATACATTCGGGACCATACCAATCATAGTGACATTCATTATAGCTTTCGCTATTAGTATTGAGAAATGTGAAAGTTTCCTCGAACACAGTCCGAATTTTAAGTTCTCTTTTTCCCAATAAGAGTGTGGTCTCTCCAAAGGGTCGCATTAGCAGAGGCCAAACCCATCAGCGGCTTTTGCTATTTCATGAATGGCCTTGTCCTACGAAGTACTGTAGCTGAACTGAGGATGGGTATCAAGTAGATGCTAACATTTGCTTACAATGATATTTTATACAACATATTATGTTCTTTAACAGGACTGGAGTGATGCCACGATTAGGTGAAAAAAAAAACTAAAGAAAGCTGCAAAGTTTAATACGGGAACGAGAAAAACGGATGCACCTTGAGATTTTTTTTTACACTTATGCTAAAGTGACGAACGTCCTCTGTTTTCTTATTGCTTTAATGACGCTATCATTTTCATACCATACGAACGAAACGTGTGGTGTCACTCGGTTTGGAAATACGAACACTTTTGAACGGTGATTTTGTATGCATTTAACATATCTGTAGTATAAAATTTCATTGCTTACTTAAAACACTATTTCATTTCGTCTAGCACGTGAGGCAATCGGCACTCAGCCTTTTAAAGGATGGGAACCACAAGTTGTCATAGACGTCCATAGGCGAAGACGACCTTTTTCCAACAGGTGAACCAAAAGCTCCAAGCTGGATACTGGAATTAAAACCGTATGCGTGGAAGAACGTACTTGCTCCTCATCATCGGGATGTTGATGAAGTTGGCGCCGCATACGGCCGCGAACGGCACCAGACGCGCGTATATCGGCTTCATGTTCTGTCGAAAATAAAAAAGGAACCGTCAGTTCACAATATCTTTACTAATATTATAAACGCGAAATTTTGTATTTATGGATGGATGTTTGTTACTCCATCACGCAAATACTACTGAATGGATTTTAAAAACTTTACAATAATATAGCTTATACATCAGAATAAGACATAGGCTATAATTTATATACATATTTTCATGTACATATCTTTCTTTCTGTCTGAATGTTACGCCTTAAGCCGTATTCTGCGCAGACGTAGTCGCAAAAAGTAAATTATTCTTGGCATAAAATTTGGGATACGTGACATTATGTGATTTCAGCATTAAGAAACGATTATGATATGTTAACGTTTGAGGCTTCGCAGGCTACGAATCAAGGAGACAGAACAGATTCACGTTTGGAGCAACTATTTATGGAACACACAATTTTTTTTTCGTTTACTAGACTACTATCACGTCGAACTGTGTCAGTAAGTGTGAATGATCCAGAAAATTAACCCCTCCATTCAATAATTTTGCATCTGTATTTTGATTTTAATTTAAACACGATTTCAATATATCTTGAATAGATTATCAACATACAGTTATAAAGAATAGTTCAACTTACTACACCTATCGGAAACTGTAAATGAAACAAAATCTTTGATTGCTGCTTATCCAGGCACCTTACATACAAAGCAAATATTTAAATGATATAGTGCTTAAAGTTGAATTGTAAAACGAATGACGTCGCTATTTAGTTTATTATTTTAAGATTAAATGATGTTTATGAAGAAATACCTAGTGATTGAAAATTGAACGGCTAATGTTTTGTATTTCATTTTCAATGGTAATATTAAGGATTTCAGACTACAACAAAGGCTTGTGTGTAAACGGAGTCATTAAGATTTTTCATTTTCAGAGGAAAATATAATCAATAGAATATTTAAGTGTACTAATGAAGATGTTTGTTGATAAATAGATTAGTGGGATCTCTGTTAAGTATGTATCGGCCTAATTTTTAAAGTAAATATTAAAACCGTCCTAAGGCAAAATAGTAACACGTGATCACTGATTGGTGAATCTAGGGTTTAATTTAGCCTAATCCTTTCTTCGGTGGAATATTATATATTTAAAAATTCATAATAGTAATACATAATATTCCACTGAAGAAAGGATTAGGCTAAATTAAACACTATAATAACTTAAATTTTTCTTTGCGTGGTTCTTACCTTACTAAAAATACTACTAAAACCTGCTTTGTTTTTGAACAGTAGCAAAATGCTAGTTATAATGATTTTTGTTTAAGAAACGGTGAATTTTTTAATAAATATCCACCAATGAAAATAACAATTAAATGATACCGAAACTTAAAAAAGAACCCATATTCTTAAACCGGTTTCGCTAACAACAGAATTAATTCGTGCGAGATTGAGGGGATTAAATATGCCAGATTGCGGACTTTCAAACGAGTTTGTGATTAAATAAGTACTTAATAAAGTTGAGCCTGTCACTCTGGGTCAAGGTGACAAGAAACTGCGTGTGATTTTTTGAAGATAGAATGGTATCCCGGAAGAATTGTTGTTAACATGTAAAAAGAAACAACTTGCTGGACCATATAGAACATTTTTTTTATGTGAAACTAGCAACCCGCCCCGACTTCGCGCGGGTGCAATGTATTATACATATAAACCTTCGTCTTGAAGCACTCTATCTATTGACTTCTTGATTTTACGCGAATATTATATATATTGAATGAAACTAACGGATTTTATCGCGTTTTTATTTTGCTTTGCTAAGTTTTTAGTCTATCTAGGTAATAAAAACCGCATCAAGATCCGTTGCGTAGTTTTAAAGATCTAAGCATACATAGGGCACAGACAAACAGCGGGACGACTTTGTTTTATACTATGTATGGCAAGCGAGCAGACGGTTCACCTTATTGTATGTGGTTATTAGTGATGTTCCGGATATCCGTATTCGTATCCGTATCCGCGGATATCCATCGGAAAAAAGATCCGTATCCGTATCCGCTACATTTTTAAGGCATCTTTTATGGATCCTTATAATCATAATAAAATGATAAATCTAATTAAGTTAATTAATACACTGTGACACTCAAAGTGTTAACTTTTGATTAAAAACACATTGAAAATAATTAAAGGAATGGTAAATTGTACTTCAAAAAGAGTAACTTGCCAGCTGTATCCCCCAAAGTCATGATAAAAAATAAATATGTGCGAGCGATATAAATATAAATATTTTCGGACACATTATTACGCAACGTTCTCTAAACTAAGCTACTCGTGTACTATGGGTATTAGAAAGTTTATAAACATACTTAAACATACTTTTCTTTTGTAAATAAATACATATTATACATTTATAGACACCCAGACACTGGATAAACAGTAAGTTCATCACACAATAATTTTCCGGTAGTGGGGGATCGAATCCACAACCTCTGGCGCAAGAGGCAGGTACACTTCCCCACGCCAATCGGGTCGTCAAGTCGTAAGACTGATACCTCCAAAATTTTTTACTGTTAATCTGCCAATACTTTACTGGATCATGGCTCTCTTGATAATCTTTTTTCTGACAGATACTGTATGAGCAAATGTAATGACTTGTCGTATCTATATTCATCATCAACATCACTATCTTACATGCTAGCCATAGACTCTTCTAGACTGGCAAAAATCATTGATTTGTCCTTAGTACTCTTTGTAGTTGCTGTGAGATTTACTGCATTTTACAAAGTTAAAAGCAATTTTTTTTATTCCTTTGACCCGTGGGTCAATAGTCCGTATCCACGGATATTGATGCCAATGATCCGTATCCGCGGGTCTACAATTTTTATGATCCGGCACATCACTAGTGGTTACCGCCACCTGTGCATATCTACAACACTCGAGGATTTGCAGATGTGCTGCCAACCTTTAAAAGACTGGGCCCCGGTTATCTAAGTCACCAGACGAAACTCGAAACTCGCTGTGGTACTTCTCCGGACGAGCATGTTCGTGCAACAATAGAAGCTGCTATGTGGCCCTAGTCCTACCAAAATGTATTGTCCCTATTGATTCTTTCCCTACTTCTATTACTCAAAGGCTTTTTCTTATCACATATTGTTCTGAACCGATTTCAACAAAGGTTCTCAATTAAGTTTTTGTTTACGTTTGTTACCTCAGATCTTCGTCATTTATAATTATTTTAAAATATAAATTTACATTAGGTTCGGTTAAGCCCTCATCAGTATTTCAGTATACAGCGTGTCGTTACCATCGCGACAATAAATGAACACACATATAGGGGATAACTTTTTAAAGTTGTATTAAACATTTAAATTCTTTAAACATCAATATTTACAGAGTTATTAAATTTTCCAAAACAAAGAATTTTAGAACAGCCTTTATAGGTAATAAAAGCGTAACGTAAAGTTCATTTGTAAAGGTCACAAAGTATTATGAATGGATTGAATGAATTTAAAAGAGACAAAACATACTGTTAGAAGGAGAGGCTTGTAATACGACGCTGTGGCGCGAGTTGTATAGAATGTTACAAATTTTGTTTCTTTTTTACTTAATTAGTTTGTTTGAAAAATATTTTTTTTTAATTATGGATTTTGTTTAACGTTAATATTTTTTTATGATTATTGACAAGTAGCGTTAGACGTGTGTTCATTTATTGTCGCGATGGTAACGACATATGTCTGTATATGGCTGTATATGTCTTATCTATGGCCCCCATGTGGTCCCATTTAAAGTCACTGGTACTGGACCTGGTCCGATACACCTCAAAACCGAATAGAAAATGTACATGAAAAAATTTAGCGAGTGAGATATTTGAAGTCGGTTTTGCTTTTTGTTAATCACAAAAGTACTTGTTAATATCAAAAACTTGTTACAGATAACGAACGGTGGTTATTTGCTTTTAGATTACGTGGTGTATGGGCGTGTGAGATCGTGTGTTTAAAGTATGGGGGTAAAGCCGTGACGTTTCGTCGACGCATCAAGGCTGTTATCAGAGTGTTTACGGACGAATTAGCGTGGACGCGTTAATGGGTGTATCATGGGTAATGATACTTCAAAGACGTCGCTCCGTGATGTAAGCGGTTTTTAATGATACTAAATGTTGCCCTGTGTAAATAAGCAAGCCCACGCTATTAATACATTATGTGACAGGCGATGTGAAATAGATTAAAGAAAGGCGATCATCTCTTGGGAATTTCCAAAGGTTGTAAACATTACTTTAGTATAATATTAACGATCAAGGCTACTACTACAAAATAATACTATAATAAAATAGAAGATGATAACAGAATAATGGAATATACGAGTGGAATATTAGGTATTTAATAACTATGTGAAACATTTGAAGCTTTATGTTGTAGGATTTTCATACGTACATAATATACGATTGGAATATTATTTAATGACTATGTGATATATTTAAAGTTTTATGTTGTGAGATTTTCAATAAATACTCGGTATAAGATCGGTGGCAACTCATCGTAAGGATGCTCGCTTTTATTTAAAGGCTCTCCAGTAAAGTGAGATCGAATCACGGTACCACCAGCACCAATGCGATTGCTTACATTTACATTATCTATGAAAAAATGTTATATATTGTCTGTAGTGCTACTCTCTGTCTCTCACTTCTCGCTGTTCATTAAAAAGGATTATTGCTCAGTATTGCGTATTTAATTTCTAACTATTTAGTTCTGGAATTACGAAAATACTTTCGTAAAATATCACCACTGATAATTGTTTCGGTTCTGGTTGCTTGTCCACGTAAAATTTATGTCGAACGTCCCAACACGGGATTGTGTTATCCAACAGTAATTGTAAGCGTAAGCGCTAACTTAACGAATGTTTTGCGGTGAAGGTCGGGTAAGGAAAGATCGTGAAGGAACCTATATGACTAAGAAGTAACTAAAGAAATATCTTCATAGGTGGGGAAGGTGCTGATTCGAATTGCGGCCGCGTGGTTGACCCTTTCGCGGGCCAGAAGAGATACGGCCAGCTTAATACTTATTTACTGTATACCACGTTATTGGTAACCAAATATATCAAAACTAAACGGATAGTTTGCAGCCAGCGTTAATTTGCTATCAAACCAATTAAGGAAACTAACGTTTCAATTCGCATGAAAACGATCATGTGCATCATCAGTGCTAGTTTGCTCGAACAGAATGAAAATCAGTTTTAACAAAGAAATTGTATTAGCTTGGTTTTAAAACATGCATTATCCACCTTATGCTAGCAACGGTTTCCGCTGCGTCGAATGAAACGCGGGCGTGTTTACAAACCGTTTGATGAATGGGCGCTTATTACACAGGCGTTAGCCTACTAAGAATGACGACAATGTATCGTGAACCAAACTTAATGCGATAAGAAGCAGAATCTCGGTCGGACCTTAACTATTATAGTTAAGGTCCGACCGAGATTCCGGTGTCGGTTCCAGTAATTCTCGGCTTAAACCAGGCCGAGTTCTCAATCTCGTCCTCGGCGTATAAAGGCCGAGAATATCGAGCATGGTCGAGATCGTGGTTCTAAAAACCTCATTCAGCCCCACCCACCAAGCATCGCGGAAGAACAACTACTGAGTAGAGCTTCATCATCATCATTTGAGCCTGTTTGAATCCACTGGTGACAAAGACCTCCCCCATAGACTGCCACGAAGTACAATCCTGAGCAAACTGCATCCATCGACTACCCGCACATTTGCACAGGCCGTCACTCCATCTAGCGGATCGAGATCATCTAGCTCTAGTAGAACTTAACCAACGATATTAAATACAAACACGACATTAGCTCGCAGAAACTGAGGTATTCAAATTACGGAAATCTGTGTAATTAGATTTAGTCGCATAATAACAGAGAGCTAATTAACACGTCTTGTCACTATATGCCAGAATTATTAAAATTTTGTCTAAAATGCCTAGTTCTGTATTCTGTATATAGTAAGAAAGTGTAAAAACTACGGTTCAAAAATGTATAACAGTTTTTTTTACACTCCATTGATTTACATGCCACACGCAAGAACATCACAATCAAGAAGTAATGGGTTCGTTTCCCGCAGCGGCGAAACCTTAAAACGTTTCGTCCTTTTTTCTAAAAATTTTAATATATATTAAAACCGTTTCACAGCCTATCTTTTGTAAGGCCGTGGTACTTTCCGGACCAGCCTGCGCTTTAACCAGCCTTAACAGCAGAAAATTCTGCCCAAACATACCCTTAGAATTTGGTTAACGATAAGATAGATCTTTAATCGATACAAACAAATAAGACGCGAAGTTAATCATTACACACGCATTAAACGATACGAACATTAATATCGGTAAAAACGTTCTGATTTCATTGTTTATTGAAGATATATCACTAGATACGAAATCAGTTGGCAACGGGCTAATTATATTTTGTTGATGATTACGTAATTTTCATTTATTTCCTATTTATTATACAAATCATTGAGAAAAAAGTACATTGTGAGGTATGATATGACAGACAGTCTGACAGTGGCAGGGCCACGCAAGAGTGTTCGCTGTTGCACGAATGGGCAAGTCCGTCCGGGTTAGTACCACCAGCTCACAGACGACCGGCGTAAAATAGAAGTGTTTACTTCTGCGTTTCGTCTGGTGAGCGAGGTAGCCGGGGCCCACTTTATTAAGAGGTGGCAACGCATCTGCAACCCTATGGGTGCTGCAAATGACCATGGGTAGGCGGTTATCACTTAACATCAGGTGAACCGCCAACTCGTTTGCCACAATCTCACATAAATAAAAACTTAAAACGAGTACACCGCAACGGCTGTCTGTACTGAACACAAGACTTTGTCCCGTGTGTGGTTTGAACCTGTAGCACCGCGCTGTGGCGGTTGACGAGCAATCGTTTATCGGCTACATCACAGAAGACGTATAAAATGATACGAGACGTATAAACCATGTAGTTTTGTTTAGTTACATAATGGTTTTTTAAACTGTGGCTGTGGATTATCGACCAGAGCCTCAACCACCATGCCCTAAAGTTTATACTTTTATACCATTGCGTTTCGACCTACGGTGAAATAAAAATAACTATACCTAAATTGCTGTGGTCACTGTAAAATTATTAATCGAAAGCTACAAATTAAGGGCCAAGCGAATCATTATGAACGCTATGAATTTGTAATGTAGGTATGTTAAGATATTAAAATACTAATCACACCGTCAACAGCAATTACCTCGATACGGTTAAACTGCAATACTTACTATACACCAATAATAACGAGAAACAAATGCAATAATTTAAGTGAATACTGCTATCCATACGATGACTAATGCCAAATTAACATTTTCAGAATTCTTTGGCTGTATGTCTGTCCGTCTGAAAGTTTGTCAGATGCGCCTCAATGCGTCTGAAGTTAATTAAAATATTCGTAATATTCAAAAGGTACGAACATAAATATTCATTCATGTATTAGACCCACGCGGACTAAGACGCGGACATAATCTTGTTTAAAATAAAATTGCGAAAAGAATTGAAAAAAAAAAAAAAAACATAAGGTTGTATGCAAAAGTAAACTATATATGTATGTGCCTCACGATTGATTTTACAAGACCGTGAACGTTTCGTACAACTGGTCTATGGCACGTACGTTGCATTCAAGGTCGACGCGCCGACACACCTCTCTGACGTAGACATGTTTTTTGTTTAAGCAAAATATCAGCGCTACGACGCTTGATGGTGATTATTTACGATAATGTGTATAAAAATTATAAAATTTTAGAAACCCACAAAAAAAAATTCAAATTAAGCTAAGGACCATCTAGATCAGCTCGGCTTTCAAACATAAAAAAACCGCACCATAATCGGTCCATTTGTTTAGGAGCTACTATGCCACAGACAGAAACAGATTCACAGTCACACTTATGACACCCAACAAGCTGCGAATCATATAAGACTAGCTGCTGCCCGCGACTACGTCTGCATAGAATAGGCTGAAAGCGTAACATTCAGACAGAAAGACAGATATACATAAAATACGTATATAAATTATAGCCTATTTCTTAATCTGATGTATAAGCTATATTATTGTAGTTTCATTAAAATCCATTCAGTAGTATTTGCGTGAAAGAGTAACAAACATCCATCCATACATACAAACTTTCGCCTTTATAATATTAGTAAAGATTTAGTGATAGCTTAGTGTCCGGTCGATCGCTTTTAATTCATTATACTCAAGGAACCTGAGTTCAAATCGGCACCGATGAATTTTAAGTCTGACTTGTCACGTGCTCAGCGGCGAAAGTAAAAATCGCGGGGAATTGCATATTTTCGAAATAATAACAATAAGAATCTCAATTGTTCCGTTCCAGTGTATTGTATTCACTTATAATATGGCTTATGGCGAATATTGGATCTCAAAAATATTAGAGAGGTGGTATAACATAAACCGGTAAGTTTTTCCTTTCATCCTTTTATACAAAGCTTCAACGAGCACACAGTTCACGGAAAAGCTACATTTCGGTAGAACTGGATAGACCTTATCCAAGTTGTGCATGTGAACATTTGTGCCAGGGCCGGATTTAGGGGAGGGCAACCGCGGCTACAGCCCCAGGCCTCCACAAAAGAAGGGCCCCCACAATAGAGACACAATAGAGATTATATTTATATGTTCGTTAAATTATAAAACAATCTATACTTGGTTTCACAATAAATTATTTATTGGAAACCTTGACTGAAAAAATTGTTCATTTTATTTGGAAAATAGTTTTAGGCCAAGGGCCCTCCACTGCCTTGGTGCCCCGAGGGCTCCAGACCTCTAAATCCGGCCCTGATTTGTGCGGAAACATAAAGTGGTAAAGGTAATGTCCGCTACAGGCCGCGAATACACGTGTTTGATTTACTGTCGACTTAGTAATCGATTCAAGATTTAAGCGTATTCCATACAATTTCTTGAATCTCACCTTGACTTTGCTGTTGAGGTACAACGCCGTGCCCAAAGCTCCACCGCACGCGGCGCAGTACGAAGCGAACAGTTGCCTGCGATTTTGTAAGAGAAAAGTGAAAGTCATTATCTCAACAAATATTAATATAACTGTGGTATATATGTGGTATATTCAACTATGCTAAGGGCCACGCTGCAGCCTCTGTTGCACGAATGGGCAGGCTTGTGTCCGACCTCACAGAAGACCGACACGTCAAGTGGAAGTATAATACTTTCGCGTTTCGTCTGGTGAGTGGGGTGGCCGGAGCCCAATTTTCAAAAGGTTGTCAACGAATCTGGAACCCACGGGTGTAGCAGATTTCCATGGGTGGCGTTATTCACTTAACATCAGGTGAACCGAAACGTGTTCTTAAACGTCTCGGGATTGAGCCGCTATTTCAACCTTATTCCTTCCTCTGGGTAGGTCCCGGGGCCAGATTTAGAGATCTGCAGGCCTCGGGGCAACAAAGGAGTGGAGCCCTTTGGCCCCAAATTATTATCCATTGATTTCTGTTAATATTTAATGTAAACATGTTTGTACAAAGTACTGTAGGTAAAGGTAAAACGCGAAAAAACGGGAAAAGTTGTTTGCTAGTCTGAATTTGAATTTTTTTCCGAAGTTTCTATTGTAGGGGCCCCTATTTTGTGGAGGCCCCGGGGCTGTTGCCCCGGTTGCCCTCCCCTAAATCCGGCCCTGGTAGGTCCCCTTATCGATTGCGAGGTTCAAACCTCCACTTCAAACCGACACGATCCAAGGGCCCCTTGCCCTTGGATCGTGTCGCGAAAAAATAGAGGTCTAAAAAGAAAATTAAGTAGTCTCACGTAGTGCTGATCGGCGCGTCGCCAGAACGGTTGGTGTAGTTGACGAGGGCGTTGAAGGTCTGATTGAGCCATTGCCAGAACACGGTAGCCGGTGTTGTTTTGTAGAACGTGATCATCCCTGTTCAAATTAAAGGATTGAAGGTAATATATTCATCAATGTACAAGTTCAATTTACCATCAATTTGTCGGATTTCCGTTGAGTCGATAAATGTGTCTGCATGCATGATTAATGACTATTGAACGTATTTTATTAAATTGATTGTCTTTAAAATTACACGTCTAATTACACAACTAATTATTAGTTGTTCAAAAAAGTTGTTCGGGTAAAAATTCGTTATATCCGTGCTTTCAGGCAACGAAAAACCGAGCAAAGCTCGATCATGAACGCACTTACTATTAAAGAAAGTATCTGGGATAGTTACTTCTCGTTTAAATAAATGTAAATTATTTACTTTATAAATATGCAACGGGCGATATTTGCAATTCAATTTCGGAACCGCACAATGGACGTTATAGGCAGATCGATTTAATAATGAAACGAACAGGGATTATATGGCGAACTAATTTTCCGACCAATAACCTCGGACGGTAGCACACTTTGCGACGTTTTTCACAATTGTTTTTTGAACTAACTACTAAATAATACTTTCGAACTAAAACAATGTGCCCGTAGGAGTCTGCTCTGTAAACGTTTTCACATAGTAACGAGGTGAATTTAACCAATCAATTGTATCTCCCACCGTCCGCAGAGCACACAAATTGATTGATGATAATTAAGAATGGCACAACGTCGTATTTAAAATGGCAATATTGTTTTATATCATGACAGAACGTTCACTCATCCGTGCTTATACAATAAATGTATCATGAAATTATCGTGGTTCTGGACAATCTTTGCGCCACTAATGTTTGACAAACATAACCCTTGTCTGATAACATGGGTAAACTAATATCTTCAAAGTGTTGCCTTTGTACAGTTAATTTTTCAAACTGTCTGTACACGATTAGAGACTTGACCAACAACTCTATTAAGATATATAATAAAGCCAATTCAACTGTCACTTTACTGTAAAATTATTGATTGATTCTATACTAAAATAGCGTAAAATAAATAAAATTAATGTCGTTTGCTTTCATTCGCTGGCCACAGAGTTTATCCTTTGCGGCTCTAAATTGGTATAAGTAAGTGAATCGATAATACATTTCGATCAATATCATGTACACGCTTAAATGAAAAAAGGCAATCGATTTCAAATTTTAATTAAGAAGATACACCTCTCGATTTAATTCGGTTTTAGTAGTGTTGCCACCTACCGCCAGTTATTAGCGTGTTCATCGGCGCCTGGGCCGCCATTCTGCCGAGCACGAACATCTTCTCGCCAGTGTCAGGGTGGAAGGCGCTGTCGTATAAGTATTTCTTCTCCCACAGCTTATCCTCGTCGTAGCCTGCTGGCATCTTGCGCGTTTTTCTGACGTCGTAAATTGAAATTCTATCAATTATTTATATATTATATCTGTATTCAATATAGATCCATTACACTTAATAAGTAATTCTTATTGATTGTAGTTACCAATTCGGAAAAAAACCTCCTAGCTTGAGAAGAACCGGCGAAAAAAAGACAGCGGGAGAACAGAAGTTCGCCTCTAGAGTCTATTGAGTCGACTTCAATAAAATGGATAGCTGCCTCTTCTTAAATACGAAGAGATGATAAACTGAAAAGCGGTTTACTCGGCGGTGAGCGATCACCGATAATTTTAAAAACCTTTAATACAGCCCCGTTACTTAAAGCGAAAGTAAAAATACATCTACATACTATTCTTCTGTTTAACTTTCGGAATTACCCTAAGCATAAGCACCTGCGTGGCTCCACCACAGCATTGAGAAGCAGTTATTCAAATGTATATTTTAAAATCGAATCAAATATGTCTATGTTTTCATTTCAACTGTACATTAACGAAGGGAGCTACAAAAGGACGAGTATCAGCGAATTGTCTATTTATATACACTAAAGGTAAAGTTAAGCGTAGATTAAGGCGCCCCATGGCAAGACGATCTACAAAAGGCTGCTGTTGGCAACTGGGTGCGCACAACCGAAAGAGCTATTCGACATGACATTGAGTAGCATATACACTTACGTTACATACGTCCAAGGTACCGAGGACTTATGGCGATGATGCCAATTACCCACCCCTCACTCCTCACCTGAACTCGTCGACGATTTTCTTCGCATCGTCCAGCTCCTTGTCGCTTGCCAGTATGTTCAGGGGATTGGTAAGCAGGAGGAAGTGTTTGGCGCGCCCCGAATATACGCTCTGGTCGTAACGGGGCTTGTCCAAGTCTATATTGCTCATTGTGGTCGCGGTCGGGGCTGTGGGGGTTTTTAATTATATTAACAGTTGATCCCGTCGGGAATACTATTGTCGCCAAGTTTCATTTTGAAAAGAGATTGAATATGCCATAATGCCTGTTCATTTGTTTGTTAACCAATTCCTTTATTATACTGCAATGGAGTTCCGCATAAAAGACCGATCCGAGGTTGGTTAATAATAATGTTTGAAATATATATCATGAAAATATACTATATAAATGGTACCTATATCGTATATATTTTTAATTTAAATGTTTTAAACATACGTTCAACAAAACTATTTTACCAATTTTACGATGTTCGAAACTTTAAATTAAAAAAATAATCAAAGGTAAGATGAAGCCACTGTTTACTATTCGATTAATTCAAGTAGAGAGTAGATTTAAAACCTAGTTAAACTGTTATTCGAGGTTCTTATCTAATAACAACTATTAATGAAGCGAATGACATACCATGTAATATCTAACAGATTATGACACAGACTTTATAAAAGTGTCCCACGAAACAAGTGACTACATAATCAATTTAGACGACGGGCATATTAAAAATGTCGAAATTCAACATATCTATCGTAATGTGACCTGACGCTAACAGCCTTATTAAAGCGGGTTTTATTAAGCAATATATACAGCGTATCTTTGAACTTGATAAAAACATGAATTAACAAGCATTGAGACGGTCTTCAAGTCTTATCGTATGTTAAGATACATGTATATTCAAAGACAGCACTTTGATGTTTTCCCTTGTGCGTATTTGTAAGCTATGGAGGAATTATAATTCAATTTTCAAAAATAACATTTCCAAATATTTTCTGATCAATTTTTTTTAAACATTGTCCTTAACTTAGGATAACGTTATACTGTGTTGTAAGGACGTTTTACAACATAAATTTCACCCAGATGTGAAAAAATTAACTGTGGGTCACACAAGTAGTTATTTCGTGTGGGAATCGAACCCACGACCTCCGAAACCTTGATAACTGCGCCACGGAGTCATCAAAAATTAAAGTGTACGTCAGCATTGCACGCTTTGGAAATCTGAAGATGATGATGATGATGAATTAAACGTTCTTCGTATTAAATGATTGGAATCGATTGTTTTTTCATGCGAGAAGGTGGTAAGCGGTGGTGGCGGTTCAGCTTATGTTAACTGATAACCGCAGCCTACGGACATTTGCAACACCTGAAAGGTTGCAGATGCGTTGCCACCTTTTAATAGTTTGGGATCCGATTACCTCATCCACCAGACGAAACTTGAAGTATAACACTTCCACTTCAAGCTGATCCTTTGTGGTGCCGTGGACTATCCCGAACGAGTTTGCAACGATTAACGATTGCCACGCAAAGATTATTGCGTGGCACTGCCACAGTGATGTTATCTTTTATTAAATACAAGTAATATATGTTTTTAAATCGGAAATCCATTCAACCTAGTGATGAAGCATGATTGATTCGCTCAAAGTTGATAACAAAATTCCCATGGACTTGATTTTTTGTTTTTATCACATCTTATCTTAGATAGTGTTGGTTGAAAGTTGTTTTATGTTTAATTTTTACAAATTCGGGGTAATAGTAACAAAATTCTCGTACCTAACAAGTTAATTGTAAATTTATATTGAATATACATATTTTACTGTCCCTAAAAAAATTAACGAGCTGATATAGGCATTAAATACGCTACTAACTTGGTGGTCCTGATAACATATGTATTATAATGGAACGGAAACGACTATACGCGTCCATGTATCACAAGCAAAGTTTTAGACCATTGTTGTCGTATAAGTAAAAGTAAAGAAAATTATGAACTTTTCCAAATGAAAAGATGTGACTATTATTAAGTATCGAAATATTTCTCGAAAACACCCTAGTGCCACGCAACAGTTTACTGTTGCACAACTGGGCAGGTCTGGGAAGTACCACGACCTCATAGAAGACCGGAGTGAATTGAAAGCGTTTCGTCTGGTGAGTGAGGTAGCCGGGGCCCACTTCATTAAAAGGTCGCATCGGCAACCCTACGGGTGTTGCAAATGTCCATAACTGGCAGCGGTTATCACTGTAAAGAAATTCGCTTAATACAAAGCTGTAATTTGAACAACATTCGTAAAAAAATACTTATTCGCGTTATGTACAAATTTACTTCGTGTAATTAAACAGGTTTAAAACGACATGCAAATTAGTTAATTAAGATACACGACGAATGAATAACCAATCGTTTATTAGTAATAGAATGCCGAATGATCAAAGATGTGACTTAACCGTCTTGATAAATGGTTTTCTTGAATACCTTCTCCCTAATTGAAAGGTTTTACTTAATTCTACGTTATTTAAAATTTTAAGAATGCAGAAGTAGCGGTATTACGTGCTGAAACATTACATACACTCTCCAATATACTTCTTATTAGTAATGCAGTAATACCGAGGAAAGTTCTGCCTGATATAATTTGATATTATCTTTAAATTGTTCTTTGCATGGCACTTTCGTGAGGAAGGAACAATACGCATTTCATTTTGTTACCACTGCAGTACTATTTATTGGCTTCGAGAAAAGTGTGAATTATATTTTTATAATTCTATTCATTACTTATTGGTGTTCAATATTATAAAGGAATAGATCATATTTGATAATATCAATGAAAACCGTGACCCAACACAACCCTTGTTATCTCTATAACGGATTCACGATGTATACAAGCCCACATCTAGGTATAAAATAATCAATAATTTGGTCAAACCTTGATGTCTTCTTTGATTTTGTTTAAGATTTTAATTTATTTTATTATTGTGCGTAACAAAAAATTGATAATTAATTTGTATTTGATAAAATAATATCAAAGTAATGAGTGAAAATATTAAATTTCTTTAACTTACCTCACCCTTCAATACGAAATGATTAAAATTAGATTTATTAAATATGAAAACCACTTAATTGAGTTTAATGTTTTCAAATCATAATAATTAGGTTTTTATTCACTTGACAGATTTAAATACTGTAAGGAGTTTAAATGTTGCGCCGCGACAGGAATGAGGAAATAGAGAAGTGACATAAAAATCGATTCTATAAAATGTGAGTTGTCAGTGGCAAAAAGGACTAGAGAAAATTATTCGAACATGGTGCAGTAAATTGTAAATGGCTAAATTCAAATTAAATTATTAAAAAAATGTTATTTATAATTTGCTTAATACATTTTAAAATCTATGTAATTGCTCAACCGTGCAATACATATAAAAATTAACCATGAGTTTCAATACACGTAAATTGGTTCACAAAAATATTTTTTTCTTTATGATAAAAATTTTATTTTTTTATAATAATGTAGTAGAAAGAAAGATTATTTAAAATATCATTAAGGTTTACTAATTTGCTAATATTAAATTGTGATTTGTGTAATGTTCTAAAAGTTTACCATGACACGTAAAACGGAATTTACTTATTTTACGTCCTGTCGTCGGGAGTCAATTGCAGAGAAAAAAATCTTTATTAAATAGCTTTTTGATAGGGTTTTAAACTATTATTATGTCTTTGATCAGTAGAAACATATTCAGAGCCTTAGTGCAGGTAAATCGTTTGTAAAATAAAACCATACGCATTTCATCTTTTCTATATATAAAAACCTATTTGGTCCTAAACTGTTTCGTAACGTGTAATTCAAAACTATTTTGATATTTTTTGTAAAAATTATAATTAAATAATTCTTAAATCCACCTATTTCGTGCGTGTCATTTATGTAATGCGTTCTCATTTGTCATATCCACAAATATATATTTTAATGCGCCTCACGTGATTAAATAGGTATTGAGTTACTATTTCGTAGTAATCTGATAAACTTTAAAAAATTTCAGGGATCACAGCATGTCGGCAAGGGGGTGCATACTAGTGCGGTAAACCACGACAATAAAAACGTATGTTTTGCGCCACAGTCAATCAGTTCCCTGGTGAGATACTAACTGGTTTACTAATAACATTGATCAATTATTTTATAAATGTAGTATGTATATTAAGAAATTAAGTGAAAAGTTTATGAAAATAGATAAATTATCGTGGAGCAACTCAAGTTCTTGTAACAAAATATTATTCAAAAATAAAACATAAATTGTTATATTTTAATATCTAAATGTTATTAAAATTGGAGACATGAAATTAAACATATGTGGCAAATAGTATTAAATTGTCCAACAAAATTGCAAAATGTATTTATTTAAAAATATGTATACTCAGTTGATTTTCTAAAAAATGTAATAATATTACCACTTTTTGTTTGTTCAAATTATAATAATATTGTTGTAGTGTACATACTACACAGGATGATTGTAGACGCAGTACATACTTTGACAATGTTAATTGTGCATTCCATAATTCAAAAAAATATTAATATTTTATTTTGAAAAGAAATAACCGGAAAAATATCAATTCAAACATTGTTTGTTTAGCCCGTTAAGATTGGTCACCCTATTGATTAGTAATAATGATTAGTTTAGTAATTCTGCGTTCAGTGAAGAGTTTTGGTGCTTGCCATACAGGAATTTCTAATAGGGTGTCTATAATGTTTGATAAAATTAAAAATAGTCTGAAAAAATCTGGTCACAAGTACGTACCAGATTTTCAGATTTAGAATCAAATTCAGCATGTGCAGCAGAAAATATGTCCGTCATCTATAAAATCATCCTGTATATTCCTCCACTTCACTTTAATAAAGTATGTAATATAAACACTTAGATTTACGTTTTTCTTGTTATTCTTAAAGATTGTTAAAGGTTCAACAGACCACAGTGGGAACTTTCCAAACAGTGGACCAAAGTTTTATTGTTACCTGCATATCTCCAAATTTATATAAACTTAAATGCATTTTTTGAGTTTATTCTGCCTTCATTGGTAGTACAGCGTAAGATGTTTTATTGCATGTATAATTTTAATAATTTCACACAAAAGCCATTCTATTTTACATTTATAATATATTTGGGATTTTTTTATCTGTTCACATACACATACACAAATATAAATTATATCATTTCTGGTTGGTTATACCTGTATAAAAATTCAACTATTAATAAAAAGGGCAAAATTAAAAAAAATGGTTTTTTAAATTGGTATTACAAATTGTTCTAACCATTCAATTACCAGTATTGGAAATTAATAGAATGGCTCAGTTAAATAACTGCAGCATGATAACGCCAATTATATGGTTTAACATTACAGCATGTTTCCTATTGTTTAAATGTGCCTTTGTATTGTCCCAATGTATTTTTTACAAATAACTATGTTGTGTCTGTCTATTTGGAAACAACTGTATATATAAATGTATTTAGGTGCTGGTGGTATTTATGATTACTCACTGCAACATACATATGTAAGTAGGTAACATGTAAGTTATTAATTTAGGGAAAATCCAATACAAAATAAAAATTTACAATACTGATGAAAGAGCTATTTTAGAATTCAGTATATCTGATAAAAAAGCTGAACCTCTATCATACATTAAATATGTTTGTTATTATATAGCCGTACAATTGTTAAGTCTAAAAATTCTACTTTAATCATTCAGTGAAAAATAGAAAATAAAAAATGTCTACATTTCAGAGTGCCAATAAAAGATTTATTTTTTATTCTAATACCATATACCTGCAACCGAAAAGTAACACCATTAAAATACACTTAATTCACAACTCACACTCAACAAATCCACTTTTTAATACAGAGCTGAAAATATTTTGTTTCTTACCAACAAACTTTAAAAAAATATTTTGCCATACTATATCCATGTAAGTGTTGATTAAAATTTTGTTTATAATACAGCAAGCTAAAGAGGGTCGCATAAAATGTACCCTAATTCCTGGAGATGGTGTCGGTCCAGAGCTGGTTTATTCAGTTCAAGAAGTATTTAAGGTTAGTATTACTTTTCTACCAATGATATCTTCTTTGACTATTTCTTATATTATTTCTGTTTTTTCTTCCTAGATTATTTCTTTTTGTTTCCATATTTCGATGCAAATTTCATGTGAGATTGTAATAAAAGAAAATAAATAAAGATCTAAAGTTATTTCTCCAGTTTCTTATGTGCACACATAACAATATCTAAGGGAATTGTTTTTAAAATAATAAAACATAATGGGACAGTGATTGGAACATAGGTCTGGCAATCCAAGGTTAGAAGTTTTAATCTTAATGATATTCGCTGATGAGTTTGGCTGTGCTCAAAGAAGCTTTTTTATGAAGAAAAATCACAAACATCAATCAATAAAACATGAGTTTTGTATTAAAGAATGTATAAAAAACACTGCCATACACTTGCATTACTTTGGATAAGGGATGAGTTTATTTATTAGTTAGTTTGTTAATAAATTTTATTGTGGAAATCAAAAACAATCTCAGTCTACCCAATCAAATAATGTAAATATGCAAAAGTTTCATGTTTCTTACTATAATATTTTCTGTTCACACGAAACATTAAAATTGTAATAATTGTGCAGGCGGCTGGTATCCCAGTGGACTTTGAGTCATTCTTTTTCTCCGAGGTGAATCCAACTTTGAGTGCACCACTTGAAGATGTTGTCAACTCAATTGCGAAGAACAAGATTTGCATCAAGGTATTTACTATCTTTCATTTGAATAATGAAACATTATCTCTACTGTACAACCTAATCCTGTATTTAGTGACTGACATACTCAAAACATGGTGAAGCGCTTTAATATAACACTTCCACTTCATGCATGTCCTTTGTGAGGCCGTGTTACTTCCCGAACAGACCTGCCCATGCCTTTAACAAATAATCATAAACATAGGAATAATCACCCACTGGCCCACTCAATTTAAAGGTGGCAACACATTTGAAACGGCCATGGGCGGCGGTTATCGCTTACATCAGGTGAACCGCCAGCTCGTTTGCCACTTGTTCGCATAAAAAATCACCAAACGATCCTATACAAACCGCAGGGCATCCTCGCCACGCCGGACTTCTCGCACACCGGCGAGCTGCAGACCCTGAACATGAAGCTGCGCAACGCCCTGGACCTCTACGCGAACGTGGTCCACGTGAAGTCGCTGCCCAACGTCAAGTGCAGGCACCACGACGTGGACTGCATCATCATACGCGAGCAGACCGAGGGGGAGTACTCCGCTCTGGAGCACGAGTCCGTGCCGGGTGAGCTTCGCCATCTTGCTTTATCTATATATATATATAATTCTTCTGTACGTGTGTATGTCACTGAACCCCTCCTAAACGGCTGGATTGATTTTAATGATTTTTTGTGTGTCTTCAGGTAGATTTGAGAAAGGTTTATATTCATAATTCGTTTGTTTTTATTTAAAAGTTCTCGGATTTAAGTCGCGTGTACAGGACAAGTCTGTTGGGTCGGCTATGTATAGCGTGTCTTTACAATCGCGACAATAAATAAACACACATATAGAGGATAACTTTTTAAAATTGTATTAAACATTTACATTCATAATCTATATTTCTTATAAACATTTTACGTTACGTTAAGAACTAGAGCCCTAGGACTAGAGCGGCGTTTCATAATACTGTTTAATGGTATGCAGTCCACGCTCTGCCGAAAAACTGAAAATAAACAAACCCCAAAGTGCTTCGTGGCAGTCTGTGTGGGAGGCCTGTATTACACGAAAACACTGTCATAATGATGATGATGAAAGTGAATAAACCTCAAAGTAACCGCACATAATCCCTCCCCTCCCCTCCATGAAGAGTGGTCTATGTCCGAAATGAGTTTGAGAGTTTCCCCTTTTAGGGGTGGTCGAGTGCTTGAAGATCATCACGGCCGCCAAGTCGGAGCGAATCGCGAAGTTCGCGTTCGACTACGCGGTGAAGATGGGCCGCAAGAAGGTGACGGCCGTCCACAAGGCGAACATCATGAAGCTGGGCGACGGGCTGTTCCTGCGGAGCTGCGAGGAGGTGGGTCCTCGCCGCTGTATTTGTATTTTGTGTGGACGGGAATGGGTGGAGTCCCAACAACTACGACCTAGAAGATCTATTGTAGTCTTCCCTTTGAAAACAATGTATCTTTACTGTAGAATAAATTTCATGTGGACTAACATCCAGGTACTAAACAATTATCTGCCGGTCACACAAGTAGTTGTCTCGTGTTAGAATCAAACTTACGACCCCCCGGCGCCGAAGCCAATAACTTGCTACTGTGCCACAGAGTCATCCCCGTTACATTTGGGCTTCTTTTTTATGTGAGAAGTTGTGAAGCGGGCAGGTGGTTTTGACGTCACGGCATCCATGGATTATCACGGGAATGATTCGTAGTCTGCCCTGTCTATCTCCCTAAATGAACGTCTTAGAGTCTGCAAACGAAATTTCATCTATTTGCAATATTCGTGTGAATACAAGAAATGTCCTAATACATCGTATTTCGGGATTTCCTAGATGGCGAAACTGTACCCGCGTATCCAGTTCGAGAAGATGATCGTGGACAACTGCACCATGCAGATGGTCTCCAACCCAAACCAGTTCGACGTGATGGTGACCCCCAATCTGTACGGGAACATCGTGGACAATCTGGCTAGCGGGCTGGTGGGGGGCGCGGGTGTGGTGGCCGGCGCCTCCTACAGCGCGGAATGCGCCGTCTTCGAACAGGTTCGAATTGCAATACTACGTTATCAACACCAACACCATTGCTGTCATTTTTAACACGCGTTTATTAGCTTCACTTATATCTATCGCTTTAAGACAATCATTAACCTGAATTTCACTCACTACTATTTGTCCAATTTGCTTGTAAATTTGCACACCTGTTAAGCTCCGATGACAATGCAATAATTTCAATCTGAGAACCTTTCATAATTAAGGCCCATTTACACGGTACCAGTTTCTTGCCTGTTGTATACAATTAAATTGAAGCAATAAATGAGTTGCATGGTCTAAACAACAAATGGTCTTAACAATTATTGCGCGCAATTCATTGCATTCAATTATTGCTCTTGTATGTACAAGAAAATGGCATCGTGTAAATGGGCCTCTATAAAGTAAAAACAACGTGGAAAGAAGCTACCAAAAATATTCCAGATGGGTCTTAAATAGCTTATTATGAAGTTCGAGTTATTGCAAAAATATGATAAGAAACAGAAAATTCCTTAACTTATGAACTGGTGGACTCCATATATAACAAAATATTAAATAATTTCATACATTTTTCGACATCAATCATCTACAACATTACTGTTAGTTAGCATCACAACCATGAATTTTATGATCATCACATCATCGCCTTTTATGTAGAAGTAAAGGAACAGCTTATATATTATGTCGTATGGGGAAAAGGTCTTTGAAGAGAGTGTATTAGGACATAGTCCACCAACCAACCGCCAATTGGCAGACTTCATTTTTTTTATTATTGTTTCGAAAATATACAGGTTTCCTTTCGTTGTTTTTCTACACTGCACTAACAGTTCAAATCCCCGTGACGGCTTCAGAATCACTACGGTATCAATCCATTAAATACGGTTCGAAAGTTCAGGAATAAAAAAAAACAAATAACCCTCTAAACACTCCTAGAATATATTATATACGATGTTTTACTTTTCGCGTAAATGGAAGTCAATCACTTCAGTTCAATTGTTATCAAAATGGTGGTGGTGATAAAACTGATTTTGTTTCCAGGGCGCTCGGCACATTTTCTCCGGTGCTGTGGGCAAAAACATTGCCAACCCAACTGCTATGCTGCTGTGCTCAGCCAACTTACTGGCTCACGTCAACTTGCACTCCTATTCTAAGATGATCAAGAATGCTATCAATAAGTAAGTGTCCCTTTAAAAATTGTATAATAATCCAAATTCTAATGCACACAGAAAAGATGAGTGTGAAACAAAGCTTCTAAAGATACAATTGAAGTTTAGAATATAATACACTCATGACAATAATCACATATGTGCGGTGATATTGCTTACGTAAATTTAACCTGTATTGCATCTGTAAATTATCTTTTTTCTTCACAGAGTTCTCTCTGATGGCAAAGTAAGGACAAAAGACCTCGGAGGTCAATCAACAACCAAAGATTTCACCTATGCTGTCATCCATAGTCTCGCATAAAATGCTAGAAAATTATTTAAGGCGTAATAAAATTGTAGCGAAATTCAAACTCCCAGAGTTATTTCATAAGGATAATTTATTTTATATTTCTTTATTTATTTTAACCAGAAAATGTGATCTGTAAACTTATACATAGTTCAGGATTGACAACTTCAGTATTGTTTTAAATGTATTGTTGCAATGACATTAAAAATGTTGCCGTTGTAAATAAAAAAGGATTATCAGTTGTTTGATTTTAGAATTTTTACTTTTCCCTGGCCTGGTCAGCTTTTCTGTATTTTAGTATCATACTTCTAACAGTAATAATAAATGTGCTGTGTGTTAGTCGCCATAAGTCGGGATAACTCTCGGAATAGCTAGCTTTTTAATTCTGTCCGATATAATGTATTTCAAAGCATTTGGCGGCACCTGAGGAGGAAAACATGAATGTTAAGACAAAGTTGTGTTATTCTGAAATCTGTACATGTGAAACCGTATATTAGTAATATTATTTACCTTAATCGGGTCTCTGTAGTTTGATTCCTGCGACAGCCTCCTGTATATCTTGAATTTTGGCAGCTCGCTAATCTGGTTGAGACGTGGCAAGAGCGCTTCGAGAGGCTTGCGCGGACCCCTCTGTCATTTGAAATAACAGTTGATGGTTAGAACATCGACATAAGATAACTAATTTGCTATACCCACAAAATATTATATCACCAGACCCAAAAAACCTTGTATACTATAGAAACAAATTCAAAATTATAATTAATTTTTTACTTAACGTCTTATTTGTTTGTTACCACCCCTCTTTGTTTACGTTAGTTTTTCTGACGTCGATTAAGTGTTGACTTGTTTGCAGTTTTATTGCTTAGTTGCTCGTGTACATTAATGAATATTGATTTAACGTTTATAACTTCTTTTAAACTTAACTTACAAATAATAATAACGTTACATTTTAACCGATCTTATCTTTCTCACTTTGTTTAATTAATGTCATCATATATTTGAACATAAAAAATATCAAAATCAGTTTATGTATTATCGATATAACAAAAATAATGTGGTGGATATAATTTTTAAAGGGCGTGAGACGTGACGTTTGACACATGTTTTCCATTCTAAAAGATTCATATAATATTATTTAGACTTTTATATTACTTGTTAGTAATATAAAAGTATAATTTTATAGAATAGGAAGGTCATCAGAGAAAGATGCACTTACCTATACTTGTCTTATACCGTGTAATATTTAACTAATAACGTAAATACGTTCAAATCTAAGCCCTAGTGAAATTACGTGCCTACCTACCTACCGAAAGCTGATGTCAAGAACTAACGCTGTTATATGGTTACTATTCACAAATTGATATTTTCATACCGTTAACGGCGGTGGTCTAAAGTCCTTTCTGGGTCCTGCTATCTGACTAATATAATCCATATGTTTCTTCCACTCGCTCTCGGTCCAGCCTTTTTTCTTCTTCACTTCTTTAGTGTCCTGTTTCTTCAAATCGAGCACACAGTTAGCCAGTTTTGAGTACATAGTCGCGTTGGCCGCTTCTATCATACGGTCCAAACGCTCTATACGCTCAGCGCTAAAGCGTGACTTGCACATGCGCTTAGTCAAAAGTAAGCGGCTGTAAAGTAATATTTTTATTGGAATACGGCGATGTCCAATGCCTAGGGCCATCAGGGCCCTAAGGCACAAAAATTACGTAATGAAAATTAAAAAAATTGAATGACAAAAAAATTTTTCCCCCATTATCTTATATTTTTATTTATTCTATAAACTTCTGTCGGAATATATCTACGATAAATAGAGAAAATAGTGTAGTTTAAGTGAATTCGTAGGCCATGCGGGGCCTCTCTGACGACACGGTTCTGGCAACGTCATTAAATTTTAAATACCCCTAAATGTATTGACTTCATCGATTATTGGATTCGTTTAGTTTTTGTGCATTCTTCGATATTATTTTATCGTTCTCTATCAGGAATTGGAATTAAGAAAACCGCCGGGCAATCCCGCCGGAAATCGCGACTTCGATGGCCCTTAGATGACACACCATAGTTAAACGCACGCATGAGCACATGCGTGGCCCTACCCACAGCGGAGGGCCCAAACCCGTGGGTTCTGGCTAGCCCACCGGTTCTGCGTCAGATGAAGCTTTAATAGTCTCGGGACTGAAAGCAAAAACATCAGTTAATACAAGAATTAAGAAATCACATTTTTTAATGGGTAGATACACGCAAGCTGTGATAGTGTTCGGGCTCTGGCTTTTAATTCAATATACTCGAGCAATCTGAGTTCAAATCCTGGTGCCAGCGCATATTAAATTGTCAATTTTAAGTGCTGACTTATTTTTTTTATTACTTTATAAAGTGCTTGTCGGTGAAGGAAAAGATCATTCTTGATCTACTTGCATTTTTTCTAAATATTTCGAAGATATGTAAGGGCCGCCAATCCACAGTGCTGTCCGTGGTGGATTATGCCCTAATACCTTCTGTACAGAGGCCACTGATGGGCAAGGCCTGATGGGCGAAAAGGCCTTGTACGGCAGAATACCGCCGCCCATGGACATCTGCTACACCGCTACCTCAATCAGACGAAACGCGAAAGTATTTTCATACTTCCACTTTACGCCGGTCTTCTGTGAGGTTTTATAAATAGGCGCCGAGGCTGCTGCGTGGCCCTACCACCGTTACGTAATATAGGCTGTTTACTTTTATAAATAGGCGAAATATAAGTATGTGAGTCATGAATTATGTACACTGGCACTGATATTATTAAACATCATTATTGGTTAGTACAGAATACTATTTGAACGCTGTAGAGATTTATTTACAAACCGGATTAAAATACTTTATTTACTTACCGTATGTAAGGCCATGCTGCATCATTAACCCTATCAGATATATGAGCGTTCAATGCAGATTTTCGTATACCTCTCGGAGTTAATGTTGGCATGCCTTCTCCGGTATCTAGGTAAGATTTCTTTGGAACACTCAACATGGTATACCTTCTGGGTATTTTATAAGGAAAGGACGGAGTCGGTGGATCGAATTTTGGTTTGACCATTTTCAGCTAGCTATTCTGAGAGTTATATTGTATTTTGGATAGCCTATTACTTGAACTATTACATTATCCTTATGAAAATAATACTTTGCTCTCGGCTCATGTCATTTTTGTTAGACTGTTGCTATGCGAAAATATGAAGTCAATTATTGTTGTATTTTTTAAGGTTGCCTGGCAGATATAGTTGTTTAAGCGATAAGGCCGCCTATGTTTTTAATTATAGCGACTGTGTCTCTTGGTGTAACTACAATAAAGAATATTCTATTTATTTTTAATGGATCCTATAAAATTAAATCAAATCAAAAGTAACGGACACTATTTTTCGCACTAGAATTTTGAAGTCTGCGCGTTGTTTAATATATATATATATATATATATATATATATATATATATATATATATATATATATATATATATATATATATATATTTCTTGACGTTGATGTATTAAGAAATTACTTACGTAATTTTTCTTTAACCTTCTGTGAATATAGCATACTTCATAGCAGACTTTATGGGGGAAATATTTTCTATTATACCGAGCACTCAACCTAAAAACCTTAAACTTAGTAAATCAAGTGGACAAATATTCACCGCAAATAAAAAATGAAACAATATTTGGTAAATATTTCTTTTATTTCATTTATAAATAAAATATATATTCCATAATAACTTAACAAAATACTGATCTCATAAACAACCATAATCAATAAATAGCAGCCTTTTTTCACATCTGTTTCACCTATAAAACCAGTCATGTGACAAAGCTCAAGTTCGGTCTTAAGATCTTTGCATGAAAAAACAAATTTTCTTACGAGATAAAACACAACTGTTCAACTAAGAAGCGGTAAAAATTCATTAATATATATGTATACAAAAAGCAAACATGGCCGGTATGCGTTGTTAATTCATAGACATTTGGTGTTCTTAAAAAAACAGTTTCAATAATGCGAGAATATAAGTTGTAAAATATAAGAACTTTTTCAACTTAGTTCTAAAATATTCAACAACTTCTAAGCAAAGAAAGTCAAAAGAACACATAATTCTCAGTAAATCCGGCTTTATCACACCTCATCCTGGAACTTGCTTTTGGATGGGATATAGAAAATGTATTTATTAGTAGAAAATTAACATTCATACAAGCCACATTCCAACTACATTTTAACGACTATGCTGAAATATAAACAGTACTAGCGTTAGAAGATGTTTATTACTTAAAACCTAACATTTGTTCTTGAGCGGATAAAAATATGATTAGATGTACCTACATCGGGCAATTTTAGATTTCAAGGTTTAATAAAATGCGCTTATATCTCATGAATTTAGATATTGAAAATTTATTTTATAGGTGAAATCAATTTTATAACAAACCAGTAGTAAAATGTCATAAGGAATGTCATTTCTGACAGCGCGGCGCCAAAACATATGAAGGCATCTGCCACATATATAAATAGTAAAAAGTTTTTTTTATAAATCTTCCCTACAATATCTAGAAAATATCATATAAAATAGCCCAAAAATTGAGCTAAAAATGCCCTAAAATGGTACAAAGTCACATTATTGACAAAATTGACATTATTCAATATAACTTTTCCAATTCGCTTAACAAGATCTTACCGCAGATAAAAAATAATTATCAATGATAATACTTCATTGATTGCCTTGAAAAAATTTTGAGGAATGTTGGCAGTATTTTATCACAGAAGGTGAAATATTCAAGAATCCAACGATTCTTTTTCTTCTAAAAAGTTGTCTTTTCGCGGTACACAATTATAACGGTTGTAATGGCAACTCAGACCATCTTAACGTGTGATCGGTGTTGCTTCGGTAAAATCTTGCAGCGGAACATTCATGCGATGCTATTTGACATCAATGGTAGCGATGAGTCCGGGCTCGGTGTTCCCGGATATGGGGTTGCCGTTGCCTTCTTCAAGGATTTTCTTGTGCTGCTTTCTGTTGTCGAAGCTGTAAGGCCGAAGCGGGGCGTGTCATTCGCTATTAAGTCTTTTACGCCTAATATGTATGCTACAGGCTATATAATTGATCAGTGAAGATTGAAAGCTGATATTGACACCGAATATTTATATATCTGAACAATTAATTAATCTTTATTTGTTTAAATCGATAGATCTACGAAATTTCTTAACATAAATAAATATATATTTCAAGATATTTTAATCGGACGCAATCATTTTACAGGAAAGCATATTTATTGGAGACACTTGAGAGAATATTTTAATTTCAATATATCTTATCTCTATTTGGAATAATGATAAGGAACAATAAACGTCGCAATACCATAAGCCATACTGGCATATTTGATTTAAAAGGTACACAAGTCAAAAAACTGTAAGGATTGTTGACTGATTTGACGACCCGAATGGCGTAGTGGGTAGTGTACCTGCCTCCGGCGCCAGAGGGTGTGGGTTCGATCCCCACTACTGGAAAAATATTGTGTGATGGACATGGTGTTTTTCTAGTGTCTGGATGTTTCTATATGTATAATATGTATTTATTTACAAAAGAAAAGTATGTTTAAGTATTTTTATCAGTTTTCTAGTACCCATAGTACAAGCTTTGCTTAGTTTGGGACTAGAAAATGTTGTGTACAAATGTGTCCTAAAATATTTATTTATTATTTATTTATTGTATCAACAAATTTAAAGTGCGAAAAATCAGCACAATGACAACTTTAATACCTGATTTATTATTAAGCGGGAATTTCAAAAATCGTATTTTCAGAACTGTCATAGTGCCATTTAAATTAAGTAGTGCTCAGAGATTCGATCAGCCATTTATACACGGTCCTATTAATATTATTATTAAAGAGCGTAAATAAACCAATTTAATTTTGGTTAGTCAAATGATGTAACCATAAAAGTAGCTGCATAAGATATTCTCTCAACGGTCTACCGCCATGTGAGTGCAAGCAAGTTTCCCGCCACCGTATAATAGTCAGTCGACCGCCACCAGCCTTTACCGGTTACTGTAAACTCCGCTGGCGACATACCTCCCAAACTAAGCAGATCGGTATGGTTATGATGGCGGGTGGTGACAAAATTGTATGGAACATAGAAAGAAAAAAATCAATTGTAAAACTCGAACTTGCAATATGAACATAGTATATTATATATTATAGTATATTTGGATTTATTTAACTTGTCATAATAGTTTTAAAACGAGCAAAACATATTTTTAGATAGGGTTAAAATAAAAAACGCAATGCCTTTTCATGTGTTTTACGGTAAAATTCGGAAATTGGAAAATTTTATGTGAGTTTCGCAACAAAAATGTAGCTTAAACGTATTATTTAAGAACACGATTGATTCAAATAGATAAATTATATGAATAAAGTTTTCTATTCATATAACCGAAAAGCTAGCGCCTACTGACGATGACAGAAAACAAAAGTTTACTACATTATCCTTTTCAATCCCTTAGTCCATATTAATACGAGTGTTTGTAAAAATAAATAAAATTTTTGCCATTATATCTTAAAATAGATTTTATTCTATCGTATTACACAATTTAATATGCCTTTTATGACCATCTCCCAAAAATTACTTAGTGAACGTCACACTCTCTCAAACAAGACATGAAAATCACACAAAACAGTTCAAATTGACTCACCATCCCTTTATTTTCTGGTAGATGTAGATGGCCGTCATTGGGACGGGTGTCATGATCGCAACAGATACCGGGACAACTGGAACAACAAAAGATATAAATTAAATTAACATCCTATGCTATATGACCCACTGCTGGGCAAAGGCTACCTCCGCACAGAGGATACTAGGGCATAGTCCACCACGCGAACCCACCGCAGATTGGCATACTTCACAGACTTCTTCTAGAAATATCGTGGGTTCGATTCCCACAGGAGATAACTAGTTGTGCGACCCACAGTTAATGTTTCGGGTCTGGGTGTTTGTCCGCGCGAGATTTTTGTGTGTAAATTGCCTAGCAACGCTCGATAGTGTCATTTTAAATTAAGGGCAACGATGACTCCGTGGCGCAGTTGCCAAGGTATCGGCTTCGGCGTCGGGGGTCGTGGGTTCGATCCCCACACGGGAAAACTATTTGTGTGACCCACAGATAGTTGTTTCGTATCTGGGTGTTGGTCCGCGTGAAATTTATGTTTGTAAAACGTCCTTACAATACAGGATAATGTTATCCTAAAGTAATGTTTTTTAAATTTGAGATAGAGATTTAAAAAAAATAGAAAGAAAAGAATATGATGACTGCAATGCAGGTACACCATGTTTTTACAAACAATGACTATCTATTTATCTTTTTTATGTACGTTTATCAGTTATCTAGTACCCATAGTGCAAGCGTTGTTTAGTTTGGGACTAGAAAGCGTTGTGTCATCTGAAATATTTATCTATTACTAGCTGCTGCCCGCGACTACGTCTACGTAGAATAGGCAGAAGGCGTTATATTCAGACGCATACACATAAAATATGTACATAAATTATAGCCTATGTGTTATTCCGATTTATAAGCTATATTATCGTAAAGCTTCATTAGAATCCGTTCAGTAGTATTTCCGTGAAAGGAGTAACAAGCATCCATCGCGTTTACAATATCAGTAAGGATGATCTTACCCGTGGTGAGATCCGCTTCGGGCTGGGGCAGAGCGTATCGCAGCAGGAAGTAAGGATGATCTTACCCGTGGTGAGATCCGCTTCGGGCTGGGGCAGAGCGTATCGCAGCAGGAATATGGCGATGCCGGTGTTCTGGATGCCGGTCTCTATTGAGATGGCGAGCGCGTCCTCGTGCGGCTGCCGGCAGACGCGCGCCAGCACGTAGCCGGCCAGGTAGCCCAGCCACGGCACGCCCATCCCCGCCACGATTATCTGGCACGAACGAATAAATAGGTAAATGATAAAGAAACACATATTATATACAGGGTGATTTCATAGACGACGGAAATATTAACAGAGCGTATGCAGAATTGGATTCTAAATCTGAATCTGATACGTACTTGTGACCTCATTTTTCTTTCGAAGATTATTTTGAATTTTTTCAAATATTATGGACACCTTAAGAAATTACCGTCTCAATACAATAACCTATTCACGAGCACTAAAACTTTTCGCTGAACGCATAATTACTAAGCCGTTTATCAATAGGGTGACCACTCTTAACGGGATAAACAAACAATGTTTGAATTGATATTTTTCCGGTTATTTCTTGTCTAAATAAAATATTCATATGTTTTTTTGACTTATGGAATGCTCAATTAACATTAAGTCAAAGTATGTACTTCATCTAAAATCAACCTATATATGTGTAATAATAATGTATGAAAGCGCGGGAACCGAAACGTTATTTTTAAGAATATTATTTTTAACTTAACGGTGGTAGGGCCACGCAGCAGCCTCGGCTGTTGCACGAATGGGCAGGCCCGTCCGGGTGGGTACCACGACCTCACAGAAGACCAGCGTAAAGTGGAAGTATGACAAATACTTTCGCGTTTCGTCTGGTGAGTGAGGTAGCCGGAGCCCAATTTTCAAAAGGTTGTCAACACATCTGTAACCCTTGGGTGTAGCAGATGTCCATGGGCGGTGGTATTCACTTACCATCAGGTGAACCGTCTGCTCGTTTGGCAACTTTTCACATAAAAAAAAAAAAAAAAAATAGTGACGTCAGCGTCGCTGACGTCACAACTAATTTCATCGGAGTTCATAATTAATTTAAATTAGTAATAGCCACAACAATCGAACAATTTTATTTAGTTTCACAAAACATGAAAGCAACCATTTATCTACACAACTTTAAACACTGGAAAATCACAACACTTATTAAGGCTAATAATCGTTAATAACAGAAATACAGAATACTTAACTTAAGAATTGAGGTGTCTACACCAGTCCAAGGCTGGAGCGAAAGTGCCAAACCTTCTTTTTCTTAGTTCTTACAAAACCCACGACTTAAGACGACTAGCGCCCTCTGGACGCCATCTCTTAATGTCACGCAAGTTGTGGATTTTGTAGAAACTTTACAAAACAATCGGACTCGGTGTATTTGCATGTTCTATACACGATTAATAATTATTTAAATAATGAGAATTATAACAATGTTAATTGTTTTTCGAAACCACACATTTAGTTAAGCGGATGTTTACAATTTTAAAAATAAACTTGCAAGAACATTTTATAATTTATTAAAAAGATTACTCTTGGTGAAAATTAGTCATTTAAATCATAACTTTTTATTACATTGATAATTATTTATTTGGAATAAGGTTATAAGAATAACTTTATCATTTAAAAAGTGAGCGAAGTTCCGACTCACTTTTTAATTACAAGAAACGTTGAAGTGATTATTTTATAAGCAAAACTAATTATTTATCAGATAAACAAAAATGATTGAAAGAGAATACAATTTTAAATTATTATTGTAATATTTTATGAAATTAATAAAACGATGATACTAATAAAATGTTCGAGTGACGTCTTCACGCCGACATGTATAATAATAGTAAATAAATAATATGAAAGAAAGAAACTCGTTTATTCACGGTCTAACCACAACAGATATTTAACCAACTCGAAAGATAATGAAATTGCACAGAATGTTGTACAGATTAAAATAAATGAAAACATAACAAAGAAAGCAGTGAAAGTCTGTGTAGCAGCATACCGTTAAATGGACGGGACTCGATAAAAATCGAGATATAAGTTGTTTCCCGGTCACTATACAAGGTGGACGTACACCGGCGCACACACTAGCATGACATTTCGCCATACGTCACGTACGCTCGTGCATATTCATTCATACCCATTCCATTCAGGTACGATGCACAATGTACACTCATTTCGATTCTCCATATGAAGTGTACAATCGAGATGAAAAGCAACCTGCCGCATAGAATATTCTCCGTACACAACTCCACTTGCTCATCAAATGTACACTCGGGCGCATTCCATACGAAAGCATTCATGGCATACGTTCATGTCGTACAGTCAATCTCACACGGCGATACGGTATTAATATAAAAAATGTGAATTTTCAAGTGCACGGTATTAAGCGTGACAATATCAAGTGTTCAATCCTCACCTCCCAAGTGAACAGCTCGAAGATGTATAGGTTGGTGACGATAGCGAACACGATGATGAAGAGCAGGAGGGTGGTAGAGAAGCCCTTCAGTATTCGCACCATGAAGGCGGCGAGGCGGGGGGTCCAGCGTTGCATCGCTAGCCCGATGCCCAGGGGCACTATCAGGCCCACCACGAACGTGGCGATGCGAGAGTACGGCACCACGATGTTGGCGTTGCGGAACACCACTTGCCCGAGGGAGAACAGCCATAGGGGCATGAAACCTGCGAAACAGTATTGTAATAAATAAATAAACATTTCAGGACACACTTTTTACACAGAGTTCTCTAGTCCCAAACCAAGCAACGCTTGTACTATGGGTACTAGAAAAGTGATTGACACACTTAAAAAGACTTTTCTTTTGTAAATAAATACATATTATACATATATAAACACCCAGACCCTAGAAAAACCCAATGCTCATCACACAATATTTTTCCAGCAGTGGGGATCGAACGCACACCCTCTGGCGCAGAAGGCAGGTACACTACCCACTGCGCCTTTCGGGTCGTCATATTGATAATAAGTATCGTGGGAGGCGTCTTCTTCTTCATCTACCTTTTTGTATGTGATAAGGTGGGGAAGCGAGCTGGAGTTTCACCTGTGTTTAGTTATAACATTCCCCTTCACGCCGGTCTTCTGTGAGGTCGTGGTACTTACTCGGACGGACCTGGCCATTCGACAACAGCGAAGACTGTTATTTGGTGCGTCAGTCCTTAGGTGGGGTCGGTTCAATGTCAGTGATGTTGTCAGTGATACTGGTCAGGTTTTTTACGACCACCCAGATCCGGAACAATTATCTGTGAGGCACACAAATACTTGTCTCGTGTGGGAATCGAACCCACAACCCCACCGAAGCCAATAGCTTAGTAACTGTACCACCCAAGGATCATGGAACGTGATAATGTATTGTCTCCGCATATTCTAATCTGTAAACAGCTTAGCAACCAAAGTGATCAAATTGATATTCATGTCAATTTAACAAAATTTACGTTGACTTTTATTATAATTATTATTTCTTTCATTTCTATGTCTTATTTTTTTATATTGCTACTAAAGTTAGTAGAGATATTCGTTAAAGTTTTTATTAAATAGAATGTGTTATAATTCTAGTTTCATATTATTTTATATAGGTAGTTGAGTTCGCCTCTACGGTATTCGTTGACAAATATTGCACGTCGACCTTTGGTAACAGACAATATGCTAATTTCAATTTTGTGGAGCACATATGTTATTTTTTTTATAAATTTACGTTATATGGTAACAAATGTTTTTCTTTGAACGAACGTTGGTGGGTGTAATAAACAAAATACGAAATCAATTAAATAATCTAAACATAATATACAGCGTGTCGTTACCATCGCGACAATAAATGAACACACATATAGGGGATAACTTTCTAAAGTTGTATTAAACATTTAAATTCTTTAAACATCAATATTTATAGAGTTATTAAATTTTCCAAAACAAAGAATTTTAGAAGACCCTTACCTATAAAAGCGTAACGTAAAGTTCATTTGTAAAGGTCACAAAGCATATGAATGGGTTGAATGAATTTAAAAGAGATAAAACATACTGTTAGAAGGAGAGGCTTGTAATACGACGCTGTGGCGCGAGTTGTATAGGATGTTACAAATTTTGTTTCTTTATGTTTTAATTAGTTTGTTTGAAAAATATTTTTTTTTAATTATGGATTTTGTTTCACGTTAATATTTTTTTATGATTATTGGCAATTAGCGTTAGACGTGTGTTCATTTATTGTCGCGATGGTAACGACACGCTGTATATGGTGTGTTATGTAGCATGTCTAAATGCAAAACACTTTCGACTCACCGAAAGCGGCGAGGGTCGATATTGAGGTCATGGCCAAGGACAGATTGAGGTTCCCGCCCAGGATGAAGGTCCAAATGTTGGAGGCGCCTCCGCCTGGGGCCACTCCAGTGCAGAACATGCCCAGATGCATCTCCGGCAGCGTGGGGAACACCAGGAAGCCAAGGCCGAACGTCATCTGGAACGAATATTCAAATGGAATATTCGATGGTAGCTCAGTAGAAATTAATAATATATCTTAGAGCCACGATTCTGCCACACAAAAGGGCGAATGAAAGAACGTCATTATACTTTTGCGCTTCGTCTGGAGGATGGTGTCCAGGTGAACCATCCTATTGAAGCGTCGTTGAGACGTGGAGACGTAACATTTAGTTGAAAACTATTCATCCCCTCAAGAAGAGATTCACTACAATAGTGTCTGCCAAAGGTGATTGAGTGTGGATGTCTAATTTTACGTACACTTTAAAATTAAAAAAAATACAGATGATATTGTTGTATACTCTGTTGAACTGCTATTGAAATTTATAAGCGGTATTTCCTCCCATTTTTGTATACTGTTCCAAATTTGTGAATTAGTAACGGTAGTTTTCGACGTCCAGTAGTACTTGAAAAAAGTCACACCGGAATTAAGAAATGTTGCATATCTTCCGAAACTAAACTTCTATCTATCAGATACTTTAGGTGTCCAACGGCTTAACTCGGGTGCACTACGTACTTAATTACTCATAACGCAATGAGAACCAGAAATATTGTATTTCCATCGAGAAAAAGATTTCCTTTAATCGGCACAAGGACAATCGAGCTTTGGTAAACGTTAAAAAGTTTGGTGTAGGTCACCCACTCATTATGATTTACTTCCCTGGACAAGCCGACTCAATGGTGGAACAGAAAAAACTGTTGCGTGGCTCGTCCACAGAAAGAATTAGGCTGTGCAGAAAATGTATTTCAGTACCGAATCAGTTATAATTAGGGAACATATGAATTACCGATAGAATAGTAAATACATCCCATCTACATGGAACCAACAACAGAGCTGGTGCGGCTTGTGAAGCGGCTGAAAAAGCTAAAGCTTGCAAATACAGGGGTCTAGGCTCCGAATATGATTTTGTCCCATTCGGTGTAGAGACCCTTGGTCCGTGGGATCCTAGCGCTATAAGGCTTTTTAAGGAAATAGCAAAGAGGTTAGTCGACATCACGGGAGACCGAAGAGCTGGCAGCTACCTTGGACAAAGAATTACGCCCGGTTTTTGAAACACTAATCATCGTAGATATCAACTAATCAGCTGTCAAATGCTTTTCAAATTTCATTTCAGTTGCCAATAGGATGGTTAAACACTCTGAATTAACCAAAATGATCTTCTTAATGATCAGAATGATCAATTCAAAGAGTTTAACCATTCTGTGGGCAACTCAAATAACATTTGAAAAACCATTTGACAGCTGATTAGTTGACATTTACGATGATCAGTGTTTCAGAAACCGGGCGATAGTCTAGCTTTTCAAATGGGGAACGCTGCCAGTATTTTCGGAATCTCGGACTCCTTTTATTAATATATTTTAGTTTTTATAGTATATATTTTTAAGGTTTTTAGTTTTAGGCTACAGTTATATTATGTGAACATATTAGTAATATCATTTAGTTATCTTAGATATGAATAAACTTTATTTAACTATAATAAATATCTGTCTGAAGTAATTAACAGTGAAATTAGAATAGTTTTCTATCATAGGGTGCATTGGTATAATTTATACAATGCTTTGCGGTACATTATCATTTGTTGCTACTTATGGAGCCAACACTAGGCCAGTCACCCAGATTGTATAGAATGTTTTCCTTGCAATGATAACATTTATGTAGCCAAGTGTTTGTCTTTTAGTAGAAATCCCATTCTTCAGACAGGAACACGATATAATAACGCGTTTATGAATCCCCACAAATAGACCTTAAGAATATTCCTGATGGACCGAAAACACGCACTAAAATACTGATAGCAAATAATAAATAATGTAATTCTAAGTGGGTAATTGACGTCTCTGTGTGCACCGGAAATGTTAAAGAATTCTATCGATGAATGAATCATCATCATCATATCAGCCGTAGGACGTCCACTGCTGAACATAGGCCTCCCCCCCATTGACTTTCACGTCGATGAATGGCTGTCGAAAGCCAAAATTGGGAAACGTCGACGCAATAGGAAAAACACAAGGGCTTTTTTTTAGGAATGTGTCACAAGTAAAAGATTTATCTACAAAGTTATAATTAGCAAGGTAGCAAAGCGTTTAAAGTCGATTGAAAAGTATATTGGAACCACTCACCAGGGGCATGAACAGGAACTGTCCGCACATACCGATAAGGGGGCCGATTGGTCTCCTCAACACCTCCTTTACAGTGGGCCAGTGCATCGCGCAGCCGAAGTTAATGAAAATTAGCGACACCTGAAATTAACTAACACTTAGCGTATAGACCTTTAACAAGAAACCAAAACTACAAAAGTACATAGCGTGGTTTAATCTTTAAATACCGAACATTTTCGTTTCGTAAAGTGGTCTTACCAATGAAATAGAAGAGGACTAATGTACCGTATTTTACAATATAAAAATGTTTACAAAGTAAGTGATGGTTAAACTATTTTCAAAAGGTTGTCAACGCATCTGTAACCCTCGGGGTAGCAGATGTCCATGGGCGGCGGTATTCACTTACCATCATGTGAACCGTCTGCTCGTTTGACTTTTCATAAAAAAATCAAACAAGCAGTTCTACAGATGGTTGTGATCAAAGCTTTAACCGGTTAAAGTTTATCATACGTCAAAACTCCGTTTAACGTTGGACGAAAAAAAGTGCTTCCGTTGGCACCGGCCTACTGCGAGGCCTATCTCTCGGTCGATTGTTGGCTATACCAGAGACAATAGCAGCGGCAAAGTCTGTACTTACAAATGTGGCCACGCTGGAAGTGAAAATCGTGTCTATGACCCGCTCAGGACGGAGCACGGTGACCGGAATTGTGCCGTTTACGGGATATTCCGACGATCCTCGCTTCACCTCCAATAGCATATCCGTGCGACCTGAAAATGGAGCGGCGTTGAAGTTTTTTCGAAGACGCAATTAGAACATAACAGAAGTTAAAACGATAACAAGTTGTACCATCCAAAACAACTATATGACCCTTATGACCTATATTAACATGTGAAAATGAAAAAAATTCAATTGCGTCAATCGTTTAAACCGGATAAATCATCATCATGGTATTAAATATTAAGGACTTAAATGTCAAGGAGACAACAAAAGTAACTTCATAAATAACAGTTATTTATACTTACTTGGTTAGTGAAGGACAATATTAAGCTGTATTTGCAGATATTGAATTTGAGGAGAAAAAATGAAGCAATGATAAAAATTACGTTGGATTTTCGTACGTCATCTTACCAAGAAACTTTCCGGTGATTTGGAATCGTCCTCTCCACCGATTACTAGAAGCTTCTTCCTCGCTAACAGTATGCGTTGAGTTCCAAGTTGCATCTGCCACGTGGCTATTCGGAACCCTTATTACCATTTCATCGGCCGGAAGCAAACCATCACCTGAGAGAAGAACAAGTATGGAAAATTATTCACTGTGCTGTCATATTCTTGGTGTTGCCGTTGGTGCAAGTAGTAACGACCTACGCGAGTTCAAATCATTTGAGTTCACTGCTGAACACAGGCCTCCCCCACAGACTGCAACAAAGCGCGATCCTGAGCCACCTGCATCCATCGACCTCCCGCACATTTGCACAGGTTGTCACTCCAGCTAGTGGGGTCATCCTACACTGCCGTAAGGGCCGCCAGTAAAGGGCTGCCACTCAAGAACCTTTTTCCCCCATCGGTTATGGGTTCTACGAGCTATGTATGTATGTGTTCTATGGCCGGCCTATCACCACTTTAGCTTACTAATCTTCTATGTCGAGCTATATCGGTTACTTTTGGACAAATACGAGGATATAATTGTACTGTACTGTATTCAAAATATTCTTAATGCTAATATAAAAGTGCTGTGTCACCTGTAACTTCAACATCTATGAAGTCAGAGTAATCCATGTGTAGGGTGAGGTTGTTCGGGTTGAATGTTGCCAGGAGGTTTGGTACCGCCTGACATACAACCCACATGGGGCACAGCGCCAACAGGTACAGGATGATGATGTGAAGTGGCCATATTGGACACATTATGGCGCGCGTCACTGTGAACACAGGAAAGTTGTCGATTAGTTGTAAGTGAACCCACTACACATGGTTATTTCATAGGAAGGGCATTTACAGCAAGCTGTTTACACGGTGCGAACATTCCCCTTGGGCATTTACAATACGGCGAAAAGAAAGGCTAGTTATGTAGATTGTACATTGAAGCTTTTTTATTTCAAGAATTCACAACTCAAGTGCATTCTTGCAGCTGTTGCGGGTGTTTGCGGGTGCCGTCTTTCGTAACAAAACGTGGTAAACAAAAGATCTTAATAATCATGTGTTTTGTATACTACGAATTGTAAAGACTAATTTCTCCGCTTTTTCAATTACCTAATATTTATTCAAAAGTATCTTGTTGTTGTTTTATAATCTTTTTCCTATATTTCGCGTTAAAATATTCTGATTTATTTAAAGTTTATAAAGAAAATTTACTGATTTGCTGTCTATGTAAGCAACGCCATCGGTGGTTGTGCCTTCGTTAGTTTTATCTTGTTAGACATTTATCTTGTTAGTTTAGTAAAACATGGGCAAACACGGCGACATGGCAAGTACATATTGGCAAAACGAAAAAAAAAATATAAAAAGAGAGTCATTTGGTTTAGAACCATCCGCGCGCAAATAGCCCATGGATAGATAAAGTAACATTTGGCAGAAGAATGGTCTTGTATTAACTGATGTTTTTTCTTTCAATCCTGAGACTATTAAAGCTTCATCGGACGCAGAACCGGTGGGCTAGCCAGAACCCACGGGTTTGGACCCTCCGCTATGGGTAGGGTCGCGCATGTGCTCATGCGTGCGTTTAATTATGGTGTGTCATCTAAGGGCCGTCGAGGTCGCGGTTCGGACCGAGACCCCGACGGCCGTCGACTGTGCATTTAGCTAATCGGTGGCTGGGAGCGGTGAAAACCGCCCCGGAACGCGGCTGTACCTTGTGTACGCGTTGTGTGGATCTCGCCGTGCTCGCAGGCGAGGGCGAACTGGTGTGATTGTTGTTACACTAACTGTGGGTGTAGTGTTATCCGGCGGGACCCCCGGCGGTGGGTCCATCGTATCTAAGTCCTCTTCGTCGACCGGGTCGATGAGGACGTTTCGCGGGCGACGCTTGTTTACGTTCGCGTTAGTGTCAGGTTGGTAGTTTGCTGCGCTTACCACCAGAGGGTTGGGATGATGCTGGACTCTATCGAAGCACCGTTTTGTCAAATCTTTAGTGTGCGCGAATCGTCGGGAGTCTGCAATCGCTGTGCAGGTCGACGTTGCGCTGATACCACTGCGCACCGGTTGCGCGGCGGATAAACTTATTTTGTACTATTTGCAACTTGTACAAGCGAGTAGGGTGCGTGTGGGCGAAGATCATGCATGCGTAGGACATAATAGGTCGTACGCAGGTCTTATATAATAATAATTTGTGCCTTAAGAGCATTTTACTTTTAGCATTAGTTAAATTGTGTAGCCGGCCGGAGACGAACGCGGCTCTATTACGAATTACGAACGTTATTAATGTGCGTAGTAAATGACATACGCGAGTCGAAAGTGACTCCTAAGTATTTGACCTTTTTCTCCCAGGGGAGCGGTTGGCTATAAAGGGATATTTGCCCCAACTTTCTGCATTGGCGAGGGCCATTATAAAGATGTGACGGGTAGGTACTTCGTGTGAAGTGAATCGCCACACTCTTTTCGGGATTTATTTCTATTCTCGGAATATTATTAACATTTTATTTGCGGTACCAATCGCCGAGGCGGTCGGCGGCGCTTTGGAGTCGAGTGGTTAGTTGACTAAGGTTGCGGGCTGAATAAAAGAGCGCGGTGTCATCCGCGAAAAGCGCGAGATTGACGTGGGGGTCTTTGGGTATGTCGCTCGTGTAGAGCGTAAAGAGCAAAGGTGAGAGGCAGGAGCCTTGTGGTACGCCGGCTGTGAGGCGGCGGCTTGTGGAGAGGGTGCCCTCGACTCGATATCGAAAAGAGCGATTCAACATAAAGGCCCGGATGATGGTGTGTACGAGCCTATCTGGCACTTTGAGTGTGTACAGCTTGTAAAGCAAGCCGTTGTGCCAGACTTTGTCGAATGCTTTTGCGACATCGAAGAAGAGAGCCCCTGTGCTGATGTGTTTGGGGTGGTTTAGGCCTTTTAGGATGTGCTCCGTTAGGCGGTATAACTGGTCGGGACAAGAGTGTCTAGCTCGAAAGCCGAATTGTTCCGTCGGCAGAAGAATAAAGTTGGAAAATACGTGCTCTTTGAGCCTGTTTAACAAGAGCCGCTCGTAGAGCTTCCCCAGGCAACTGAGGAGCTATAGCTAGAGGGAACGATAGCTAGAGGGCTGATTAGCTTATTCGGCTTGCGAATGCCGATAACCGTGGCTTGCTTCCAGTTGTCCGGAAAGGAGCAACTGGAGAGAAGGGTATTGAAAATGGTCGCCAGTAAACAGATAAGCGGCCCAGGGAGAGCTTTGAGAATCTTATTACTTATATTATCTGGGCCCGGGACGGATTTTGGTTTTAAATTTTTAATAATATCTTGGACCTCTTCGGGGGTCACTGAATTTAAAGGTTCGCCTTCCGGTGGAAGCGCAGCCCTAGTCTCGATTACGTGGTCCACCTCCGTGAGGTGGACTGAATCGGTGTGTTCGCGCGATGGCGTACATTGCTGCTCTAGGTTGTCCGCAAGGCATTCGGCTGTTTCGGAGTCATCTAGGGCTACTGAAGCGCTATTAGGTCTAACTAACGGCGGTAGAGATTCGCGGGGGTGTGCTTTCAGACTGCGGGCCAACCGCCAGTAGGCGGTGTGCGATGGCTCGATGTTCTCTAGGAGAGTGTCCCACGTTGTGTGTCGGTGTTCCGATACACGATCTTTGACTTCTAGCTGAAGGCGTCGAAGTAGGGTTCGGTTCGATTCCGATTGGTATCGGTCGAAGGCGCGTTTGGCTGCATTTTTCTGTCTAATTAGCAGTCATAGGTCGGGCGGAAAGTTAAACCGTCGGTCGCCCGACAGTTTCACTGTCCGTTCCGAGTCTGTGACTGCGGAAGTAATAGTTTCTCGGAGACTCGCTATCGCTCGATTTGCGTCATCGAACGTAGCTATCGTCTCGGGTAAGTCTACTAAGTCCTGGGGGTCCAAGGCCTTGAGTTTGACCTCAAGACGATACCAGTCCACTCCGGATTTGGTCGGAGGGACCGCGCCGGCGTTCTGGCCCAGTTTACACTTTGAGTCTTTCTACTTTCTTACTTTGAGAGGCGGGCAGCTGTTGTGCGATCGGTCGTGAGGCGACCGGGATTACCGGCGTGGTTACCTGCGCGGCCACCTGGGGTTTCGCCCAGGCGTTAGTGACGGTTACGGGCGCGGGAACGTATTTAACGGGCGCGGGTTTGGGCAACGTAGATTTCGCGGGAGATTTTCTCGCAGGAGTTTTCGGGGCCTTAGCGCAGCCTCTATAACTAGCCGGGTGGCCGGTAGCATGACAGTTTACGCAGTCCGGTGGATCTGCGCATTCTTTTGGCCTCGTGCACTCGGTTGTGCCGTGGTCACCGGTGCATTTGACGCACCTAGGGTGAGCGAAGCAATTATTGGCCGTGTGGCCAAAATTTTGACAGTTGTGGCCCTGTGCCACAACACCTGATTTGCGCGGGAGAAGAATGGTGAAAACGGTTTTGCTAAAACTGCTTTCGCACATTCCTTAAACATGTGTTTATATTTTATGAAGAAAGTACCATCTAACTGCCATATATATAATAGTTGTTTATTTTCAGCATGTATTGATGGAGTGGAAAACTTCAGAGTATGTTTTTACGGTTTAATTAAATAACTTGATACAAAATAAACGACCTAGTTATTGCTATATTTTCTAAGATGGCTCACTGCCGAATGATTTACAAAACGTCACTTTCATCGTTCGGGTCCATTGCGAGTTCAATAACGTGATGGCAAAAACCAATTCATAATATCGAATGAATTATACTTCACTAACAAACTTACCCGAATTAAATAGTAAGTAGTAAGTACCTTGAAGATGGTTTTTTTTTTTGGTCAATCGTATATTTTGGAAATTACATTTAGATACAAATTACTGACTAATGAAATATGCATAATATTTTACGATGTTAACGACGTAATAATAAGAAAATATGAACTGGTGTTTTTCACAAAAGAAAGAAATTTAAAAAAAAAGGGAAAAAAGAACAAAATCATCTGGATGGACAAAAAATAAAAAATAAAGAAAGCAATGATCTGGTATCGTAAAATAAAAAAGTATGTAAATGATCGTGACACGAACCTTGTTGAACATTGTTTTTTCGTCGAAATTTACCGTCATATTCGAATGATATTTTGCATTCCCTGAAATCAGGGATAAAAGCACATTTTCTAAAAATGAAACCTAGCTAGATCGATCGATTACGCACATGCTAAATTTCATGAAATCGCTGGAGCCGTTTTCGAGATTCGGATTATATATATACAAGAATTGCTCGTTTAAATGATAAGTAAAACAAAGAAACTCGTTTTCTAAGTTTTTATTTTAAAAAGCATTTAATTTATTTATCAATAATTAAAATTTATTTACTACTACTAATCAAACTAAGTTAATTTGCGTTTAAAGGGAACAATGCGAGCAATGTTTTGTCTGAATATAGTGAGCGGATATACAGTGTCATTTATCATTCAATCGAAAGCGAATCCATTGTTAGAGCGGGAATTTATTTGTGGGAATGTATTTCAACACACCGCTTGACGGCGCGAATGGCAAGTTTCCGACACATTACTAGTATTACGTTCGGTTAACACAAAATGTTTGTATTATTTATTTAAAAATATTATTAAATTTTTATTCGTTTCTTTTATATTTATTATACACATTTCGGTCTTTTCCTAAACTGAGGAGGCAAGGATGTCTGGGCGGTCTATCTGCTCCAATTAAAGTAAGCTTCCTGGGAGATAGCCAACAAATGAATGAAAGGAATATTTCCTTTGGTGCAGAGTACAGAAAGCCATATTT